ATGGACTTCAGTCTCTGGGTGAAGGGACGAGAGACGAGAGGTTTGATGGCCTCATCGCTGCCTCCACCACTGCCAGAGCTCTGGGAGAGTTCATTCACTCTGGCTGTGACCTCCGTCACCACGGCCTCGGTTACCTTTTCTGCACTTCGGCAGCTGATGTCTTTGACGCCGATTGCCTCGGCGAATGCCAGGGAGATGGTGTCCCCTAGACACCCGCGGACATCGTCTTCAGAGACACCGCTTTTCTGGGATCCGGTAGATCCAGGAGAGATTATGTTGGAATTGAGAGTGTGTTTCCTCTTCGGTTGGCTCTGTTTGAACAATACGTAAATATGTTCGAATATAATATTAATTATATCCATGCACATGTTAGTAATTACATCCTCTGTTTTTTTATCTAGAGACCCGGACTCCAGCAGCGACCATTGTAGTGTGGTCAGCTGCTCCAGGCTCTGTCGGACGAGTGCGCGAACACTCTCTGTCGCGGCTTGATCCATTTAGTCGGTTTGTATCTTTGTATCTTCAGTCCTGAAGAATCCAAACTTCCTGTGTTCGTGTCTTTGGTCTCGAAGTGAAAGTGTCCTGAAGAATCCAAACTTCCTGTGTTTGTCTCTTTGGTCTCGAAGTGAAAGTGTCCTGAAGAATCTGAACTGAACCAGGCTGGATTTGGATCCAAGGTGCATAGTTTCAGACAGAATGTTCGTCTTTGTATCAAAGGAACGTTCTATTGGCTTTAATCTTTGGATGACATCATGACAATCCAATGACATCACTGGACTTAAAAAAAACCTGCAACATTCCCACATTAAAACAATTTAAAAATAAACACACTAACTATTTAAAATTCTGATTCATAATAAAATTAATTAACTACTATTAATAGCAAGTACGTTTAAGGATTTAGAATTCTGCATTGAATAAACTACGCTGAGTTTGTGGAATCAGTAAATTATTTAGTTTATCTTGCATTAATGCATTAAATTAAGTGGTAGTAATAGGTTCACTGACTTACTTTTAAGAGTGGATGTTTTTGCAATGCAGTCTGAAAAGTTTGCATGTCAGCATGTGGTTAGAAAGTGATATTTACAGTATACTTTACTAATAATAATAATGTGTGAGCACAAGGTAGCTAAAATTAGCTAGCTAGCCAATTAACATGATGACAATTACCCAAAAATAAAACCAAATAAACCACTGTGAGAAAAGAGACATATAAACATAAAATCCTGCTTGTAACGAGACATTTGCTATAGTTAACGACATTTGTAAAATCATAAGTGCTGGTACGATTTGAGTACATTTGTCATTGAAATATACAATGTCAGAGTGGCACTGGTATTAGCCATAAGTTAAAGGTGTATTGAAAACACCTAAGATGCTTGAACAGAGAGATCAAGAGCTAACTCAGAGAGAACGGAAATTCAAGTCAGTATTAGAGAAATGGAAAACCCAAGTAAAGGATGCTAGTACAAGATTGAAGCAAGAGTGTTTGTATGACATGATGGATGTGGTTGAGAAGCTGGAGTCTGACGGTGCCATCCTCTCCTATGTTCAGTGGGGCAGTGTGTGCTGGCCTATGGGAGTGGCAAACTGTCCAATACTTCACAGAACTACTGCACCACGCGCTGAGAACTGCTAGCAGTAGTGGAGTTCACATCACATTTCCATTACCTCCTGGGGCAGCCCTTTATTGTCAGCACTGACCACAGCAGCCATTGGTGGCTAACAAAAATGAAGGAGCCTGAAGGACAGCTTGTCAGGTGGCTCGAGAGGCTCGTGAGTACAACTTCAGGATCATCCATCTCCCTGGTCGGTTTCACAGACAGCCTCTCCAGGAAACCCTGTCCCCAGTCATGTCTATGTAGTCTGCCAGGCCCCTCCCTCAAGCCAGTGAATGTCGGTTAACAGGCTTTGCAGTGCGAGTTGGACTCTGTCATCAACCAGGTGATGCTGAGTCCAGTGAGGGTAGAAGGACATCCAGCTTCCACAGCAGTGAGTCTAATGGGGGTGGACAAAGCTCTCCCTGCTGACACAAACAACTTAAAGCCGCCTGCAAGAATCTGCCCAACGAGGACCAACAACACTGAACTGTTTTGCAGCTGGTCCCTGGAGGAGCTATGGCAGACACAGGAAGCCGATCCAGATATTGCATCTATCAAGACATGGACGGAGGCCAGCAAACGGTTTTGACATACAGCCCAGCCACAAAGACCTATTGAAGCAAATGTAAGCAGCTCTACATCCAAGATTAAATACTGGTTAGGCGGTTCTACTGCCTGGACACCCAGGACAAGTAGTGCTGGCTTGTGTCCTCCGGCCTGACGCCACGAGACAGAAGCATGACAGGCAGGTTCGTGGACATTTCGATGTGGAGCGCACAATTGCCCAGCTGCAGACCCGATACCTCTGGTAGCAGATAACATGTCACTGTCTAGTGTGGCACCTGTACCAGCTGTGTGTCCAAAGCTCGGCCACGTAAGACACCACAAGCCCCCATGGGTACCGTTAGACTGGGAGCCCCAATGTTGCACATTGCCTTGGACATTAGGGGGCCACTAACCACTAACAGAGCACAGCAATTGGTATGTGCTTTTGATACAGGACTATTTAACCAAATGGGTGGATGCTTTTCATGTACCCAATGACAAGGCTGTAACTGTGCTCGCCTCAGAGTGGGTGTGTCATGTTGCACAGTGAGCAAGTCCGGAAGTTCAAGTCTGAAGTGTTCCAGAAAATGTGCACGCTGTTTGGTATCAAGAAAATGCTTCCGACCTCAATCTGATGGCCAGATTTAAAGATTCAGCAGCACCCCACTGATTCTAACCACAACAGCTGAGCGTTGCCACTGGGACTTCATTGTCCCTTATGCTGTCATGGCCTACAGAGCAACAAAGCACAGTGCTACTGGTTCCACTCCCAACTTCATGATGCTTGCCGGGAAGTGACTGAGCCAGTGGATCTGGTGGCCGGCCTGCCTCTGGACCCTGACACCACCCCTTTAGCCCCAGAGTAGGTCCTGCACCGGCTGTTTTCCACTACTGAGGCTGAAGAAGCCTCCAGTTGCACCTCATAGGATCCAGCAGTAGATGCTTCACTCCCGTCTACCTCTCCTGAAGAGAAAGTAAAGGGGGTTAGCCCTGAAGTAAGCATTAACTTCCCTGTGCTTCCTGAGCCGAACAGGATTGCCTAACATAATGTAACTGGTCATTGAGATTAACCAATTAAATTTTTGAGCACATTTAGACACAAAAATGGAAAAACGATAGCTAACTAGCTAGTGTACATCAGTAATTACCTATAACATCTGAAAGCTAATGTTGACAAACTGCTAGTTATCTAGCTAGCTAATTCACAGCAGTTCTTAGGCAGTTAGCTAATGTTTTGCTAACATTAAGTTTTATCTTTTAACCATCTTCTAAATCTTCTGTCTTTTCAACATAGCTGTAAAGTGAAACAGTTGTTGGTTCAACTTAATATCTTAAGTTCATTAAAGACGTTTTATCAAGTTCAGTTAATTGCTTTTACAACTCTAAACAAGAAAATGTTGTTTAACCAAAGTCAATTCACATTTTTAAAACAGCAAATTAATTTTTATTTTGAAGTTGAAACAGCTCAAGATGTTGGTATGATGTCCCATTTAAACATTTATAGAAATATATAGTGTGTTTTAGAAGTTAAAAAATGATCTGAACCAGTAATGATGGATGTCAGATGAATGTAGTGAGATAAAAGGTAGAAGTTGGTATAAAGTCCAAGCAATGATGAAGACTGAGATGTGGCTAAAAGCTCCAGAACGTTTGCATTAAATGTAGATTTTTGGTTCAGAATTGTTTTGTTTAACTATTATTTTAATGTTATATCCTCGATAGATTTATTTCATATTATTTGATTAATCTCCATAAACCTTAAAACATTCAATGTAAGATCAGAGTTATATGATTGTAGCATTTATCTTCTGCATGTTAGTTCACTGCAAACTTCAGTTACTGTATGAATATATTAGTTTTAATCATAAAACGTTTTCTCAGCTGGTGTTATTCTGCCCTCTAGTGGCAGCATCCAGGTGCAGCAGTGAGGCAGGTGGGGGGGCAGTAGCAGGTGTGTGATCTTCCTCTGGTTTGTTGGTAGAAACAGAGCCTTCGATAATGGTCTTGAGGTCAGACACCACATCGTGGATCAAGTGTAGCACTGCATCTTCCTCCTCCTCCTCCACCTCCTCCACCTCCTCGACACCACTGATTTCAGTCTTCAGCTCCTTTTTTGTTCCACCTGTTAACAAGAGATAAAGAGGGAGAGTCTGTCCGTCCACTACGTTGGTTCAGACACTCAGGATGAGGCTAATTTTAGTAGTTTTAGTAAAAGTTGTGCTATTTGTGACTGTACATTGAAGTGCGTATCCGTGATGTGCCGTCAAAGTTGGCCACGTTGCATCGAATGTCAAACTGTGATGCCATTTCCGACAATTTCAGGGCTTCTACTTTAACTAACTCCTCCTAGTGAATTGATCAGAAAAACTTCAAAATTGGGGAATACAACTGTACTAAAATCCTTTTACCGTAATTATAGAAAAACTCTACTGTGTTTAATTAATGAGTCTAAGGGAAATAGTAAAGTACCAGTATGCAGAAACCTGTGATTGATTTATGGTGAAACAGCTGAGTCAGGGTTAGGATGAGCACCCTGGAGAACACACGTTTGTGTCTTTGTCCATGTGTGAAGACAGAGGAATAAACTTCACCATGTTAAAAGTTAAACACACTTCATGGCACTCTAGTTTTCCACATGAACAACATTCATAAACCGAACAGATTCTGATACATGAGAACCCTCAGTCAGATCAGATTGTACAGGTTTTTATGGAGCACCTGAATGCTGCACTACTTTACACTCAATATATTTCATCCATCTGACTGAAGCTGACCTTTAGCACAGTTTGGATTATGTTTCCTCCTGTTTATTATTTACCTGTGATGTGATACAGATGATAAACAATATACATCTCACAGTGACTCAAAAACTGTTTATTGAAAACAATTGAATTCAAAATAGAACAGATACAGAAAATATAGGGAAAATAGAATTATACATATATGAGTTTTAAATACAAAATAGTTCAAAATTAGCTCAATAAACTGCAACGGTGAAATTCAGATTTTATATAAATAGTCATAATAACAGCCACAGGAGGCATTTTCTACTTTTACTACTTTTACTTTTAATTCACGTCCAAGTCTTACAACTCCTGGAGAACTTTGGCGCCCTCTGGTGGTGAACAGATAAACTATGCATTTATATATCTCATATTACATTGTACACACTGTATAAACATCTCAGTATATTCACATTCACTGTATATTCTTTAGATCCTGAACTGCATTTTGTTTAATCTACTTTTTACTATGACTATTTGTCATACTGGAATCAAATGAGGGAAATGTTCAGTCCATTTTGAAACATAAATACGGAAACTAAAATGAATTCCAACGTTAATTAAAAATATAACATTATTTATTTATAATGATGACCGGGCCAAGAGTCAGATACAGCAAACGATTTCAGTAACTGTGATCCTGTACAGACTCTACTGAATGTGTCGCTAACAGGAGGAGACTCTCCTTCCTACAGTGAACACAGAGACAGTGAGGCAGAAGGCCAGACTGCAAACCCAGGATAAAGAGGTTCAGTGAATATGGTGTTGAAGGTGTGGAGATGGATCAGTGTATCAGAGGAGACTCTGTAAAAGGACAGAGTGCCAGCAGGACAGTCCACATACACTGCTACTCTACCAGAGGAGGAGGAGATGGAGGAGATGGATGTTCCTCTGTTATTGTGAAAGACAATGTAACCATCATCAGAGCAACTCAGTCTCCAGGACTGATAGTTCTCTCCAAACCTGCACTCAGCTCTACTTCCACTCCTCCTGATTCCTCTGTAACTCACTGCTATATAAACCCTTCCACTCCACTCGACCTCCCAGTAACAGCAACCAGTCAGAACATTTGTACACAGCAGCTGAGGACATTTCTCAAATCTGTCTGGATGATCAGGATATGACTGATCCTCCTTCACATGAATCATCTTCCTGTTGTTGTCAGACAGTTTGATCTCTCTGTTCACTGTGTTTGTGTCGACTGTGAGTTCACAGGAATCTGATGGAGAGAACAAGACAAAATACAGCTGCAGTTATTGATCTATCATCTGATCATTGATTGACTCTTTGATGATGACATCAGAGCTGTGAATGAGTGATGTCACAGTGTGAAGATGGTTGAATGTGTGCTGCTTTGTTTTCACACTTACACTTCCTCAGACCTGGTCTCAACCATCGGACTCCAGCAGGCTCCACCCTGAAAGGAGGAGGGGGCAGCACATCCTCTTTCAGCATGCAAACATTACATCACTTGCACTGATACGTTCACATGTATAACTTAACAGCACAACAAAAACCTAAACATATCAGCTGAGATTTGTGCTACATTTCATGAGTTTCGGACCATTGTCTGACTGTCTGTGGCTGCAGCAGGCCTCTTCCTACCTGAGAGTGTCCAGTCTCCACTGTGGAGAGAGCAGGTTCACTCCTGAGTCTCCTGGATGATTGTAGCTCAGGTCCAGCTCTCTCAGATGGGAGTGGTTGGAGCTCAGAGCTGAGGCCAGAGAAGCACAGCCTTCCTCTGTGATCATACAGCCTGACAGCCTGCAAACACACAACACAACATACATGGCAGATCAGCTGAAAGTACTGTGAATTCTGACATTAAAACCACTGAGATAATATTTTAGGAAAAAAAAAATAACTCGTTCTGACCTGAGAGTTTCCAGTGTACAATGTGGACTCTCCAGTCCAGCAGACAGAAGCTTCACTCCTGAATCCTGCAGGTTGTTGTTACTCAGGACCAGCTCTCTCAGACTAGAGGACTGGGAGCTGAGAACTGATGACAGAGCTTCACAGCTTCTCTCTGAGAGGTTACAGCCACTCAGTCTGAAAAGACAACAGTAAAGTTAAAACACAAGTACTAATTGTTCTTATCTGCTGAAAACATCATTTTGTATTAAAATATTTTCAGTTAAAGCAAATATCTATGTCCTTACAGAGCTTTGTTGGAGGCTTTGACCACTGGCAGCAACCTCAGAACAGCCTCCTCTGAAGCAGAGTATTTCTTCAGGTCAAACACGTCCAGATCTTTTTCTGATGACAGTAAGATGAAGACCAGAGCTGACCACTGAGCAGGAGACAGTTTATCTGTAGAAAGTCTCCCTGATCTCACAAACTGTTGGATCTCCTCAAGAAGATAAGGATCATTTAGTTCATTCAGACAGTGAAACAGATTGATGCTTCTTTCTGGACACGGGCTGTCCTCAATTTTCTTCTTGATGTACTGGACTATATCCTGATTAGTTTTTGAGCAACTTCCTGTCTGTGGCAGCAGGCCTTGTAGGAGATCTTGATTGGTCTGCAGTGAAAGTCCCAGGAGGAAGCGGAGGAACAAGTCCAGGTGACCATTTGGGCTCTGTAAGGCCTTGTCCACAGCACTCTGGTAGAACTGTGTCTCTGCAGATTCATCTTTTCTTGTTTCAGACTTCTGGGAGGTTGATTGTTCTTCTGCCAGCAGATTGACTCCAGAGCTGATGAATGTCAGATGGACATGAAGAGCAGCCAGAAACTCCTGAACACTCAGATGGACGAAGCAGAAGACCTTGTCCTGGTACAGTCCTCTCTCCTCTATAAAGATCTGTGTGAACACTCCTGAGTACACTGAGGCTGCTCTGATATCGATGCCACACTCTGTCAGGTCTGATTCATAGAAGATCAGGTTGCCTTTCTGCAGCTGCTCAAAAGCCAGTTTTCCCAGAGACTCAATCATCTTCCTTGTCTCTGGACTCCAGTGTGGATCTGTCTCACCTCCTCTGTCATACTTGATGTTCTTCACTTTGGACTGAACCACCAGGAAGTGGATGTACATCTCAGTCAGGGTCTTGGGCAGCTCTCCTCCCTCTCTGGTCTTCAACACATCCTCCAGAACTGTAGCAGTGATCCAGCAGAAGACTGGGATGTGGCACATGATGTGGAGGCTTCGTGATGTCTTGATGTGGGAGGTGATTCTGCTGGCCGGCTCCTGATCTCTGAACCTCTTCCTGAAGTACTCCTCCTTCTGTGGGTCAGTGAACCCTCTGACCTCTGTCACCATATCAACACATTCAGGAGGGATCTGATTGGCTGCTGCTGGTCGTGTGGTTATCCAGAGGCGAGCAGAGGGAAGCAGGTTCCCCCTGATGAGGTTTGTCAGCAGCACATCCACTGTGGTGGACTTTGTAACATCAGTCAGGATCTTTGTGTTGTGGAAGTCCAGAGGAAGTCGACACTCATCCAGACCGTCAAAGATGAACACAACCTGGAACTCTTCAAACCTGCAGATTCCTGCTTCTTTGGTTTCAGTAAAGAAGTGATGAACAAGTTCCACCAAGCTGTAATTTTTCTCTTTCAGCACATTCAGCTCTCTGAAAGTGAATGGAAACAGGAACTGTATGTCCTGGTTGGCTTTGTCTTCAGCCCAGTCCAGAGTGAACTTCTGTGTTAAGACTGTTTTCCCAATGCCAGCCACTCCCTTTGTCATCACTGTTCTGATTGGTTCAGCTCTTCCAGGTGAGGGTTTAAAAAAGTCTTCTTGTCTGATTCTTGTTTCTGGTCTGTTTGGTTTCCTGGATGCTGTTTCAATCTGTCTCACCTCATGTTCATCATTGACCTCTGCAGTCCCTCCCTCTGTGATGTAGAGCTGTGTGTAGATGTCGTTCAGAAGGGTTGGCTTTCCTGCTTTAGCAATCCCCTCAAACACACACTGGAACTTCTTCTTCAGGTTGGATTTTAGTTTTCGCTGACAATCAGGATCACTTCCTGATTGAAAACACAACAAATAAGATAAACTTCAGACATGTCTCATTTATCCAGCGAGTTAAATCTTTAGAGAAATCCTCTTACCGATCTGCAGACGGTCAGCCAGCTCCTCCTGCTTCATTCTCCTCAGGAAGTGCACAGTGATCTTCAGAAAAGCCTCTCTGCTGCTCCTCCTCTGCTCTTCATCCTCACCATCCAACACCTCCTCATCCTCCCTTTGACTCTCTAACCATTCTGGGTAATCTGAACTTAGACCCTTTTTAATCTTCTTCAGCTCGTTCTTCACAAAAGTGACAATGTTGTCCTCCAGCAGCTGGAACAGAATATTATATGAATGACTCAATCAAAGTCAAATCATGGAAGCAAACATCAGATCCATGTTGGACAGACTGACAATCCACTGGTCTAAAAAGTGCTGTATGGAGATTATTGTGAACACAATAGATGTAAATGTAGTTGTTGTCCATGTACAGACCATAAATATGGAGTCCAGGTGTGTTTGATGCTGCTGGGCAGACTGACCACTGGGAACCTCTGAGCTCTCCTGGTCCACTCTGTGGAGGAATCGTGAAGAATGAGCTCACATTATGTCTGTCCACACAGAGACAAACACAAATTAAAGGTCCTTTGAGTTAAATTGTTGATTACAACATTGAATCAGATGTTTTCCCCTGACATTAAACTGTTGGTCATAGTGCTGATCCCACTGAGAAACATCGGTTCTTCCCCCCAGCAGTGCAGTTCAAATTGGTAGTGAGTCAAAAGATGATGTCAGTTAAACATAGATAAAACTACAGAATACTTCATCAATCAAAGCTACAGGTAATTTCAGAACGAACTGTAAGTTGGATGTAAGCTAGAATGTATTTATCTGTGCTACATGTAAGCAATCCGTAGTTGATATGGCTGTTTCTTTTATACTTTAACAATATATGTGTATATAAAAAGCTGCGCCTAGTCACCAGAATGAAAGTATCAGAGGATTGTTGCAACATGGACATTTTAGCAGAGTCCTTCCATGTTCTAAATGTTCAGTCTCCTTGCTGATTGTTCTGAAATTTAGCATTTAAATACATGCTGTTCAAATACAATTAAATAAATAATTCAATTAATATCATAAACATGCGACGACTAGTCGGCTATTGGCTTTATACACGATGACTAGTCAACTAGGAAAATCTTCAGTCGGGGCACAGCCCTACAATGTAACCTACAGTTCTATAGTCATACAGTCATCAGACAACAGTCAGAACATTTGTGTGGAGAAGAAGTTAGAACTGAAGTTAAGAGTTGAAAACTGGTTATACTGGTTATACTGGTTGTACTGGGAAGCTTTTGGATAGGGGAATTATTAATGGATGTAAAGAAAAACGATGCTGAAATAAAAAGATTTAAAAAGATGAATTAAGTACTATTACTATTTTAATTAGTGTAATGTGTAATGTTAACAGCTGACTTTACTAAAGCTTTACTGTTATTGACACATAACAAAGTGAACTGTCATCAGCAGCGACACTGTTGGCCTGTATTCTAAATAGAGCTGCACAATATTGGAAAAATTATATTGTGATACCTCTTTGTAGCAGAGGGTTGTCGTCCTTTAAAATGAATGATGTGACTCATTGACTGGTTGCTCTTTAAGGACACACAGCTGGGTCCAGGTCCAGGTTCAGGTCCAGGTCCAACAGAATCTGCTGTGTTCTGCTGCTCTGGGCTTCAACACAACACACACAGAGCTTTGAGTGTGAATAATGATGGTGCAGTGATCTGAGTGCTGAGCTGTGACATGGACAAGAGTCATGGACAGTTAGAGATCCTCATCTCACCTCTGAGCTTTGGTCCTTATGTCATGTTCCCCCCACCGAGTCCTTTTAGAGGGAGGGGCTCCCTCCTCTCTGTCCTCACACTGACTCATGCTGCTGAACTCACATCCACATCAGCTCACACACACTTTGATCTGGAGAGGAAATACAAATCATTCATGTGCACATCAACAGAAATCCTCCTTTCCATCATTTCTCCTGTAAGAAGATCAGCTGCTCCTCCTTTTTGTATATTTATTTATGTGTCTCAATCTTTCTTGTGAATATAATTTAGTTGTCCATTTTATGTCTTTCTTTTGTGCACATAACATAAAAACAACATAAAAGGAGGAGCTGGGGTGGAGGTGGGTTGCAAAACAGCTTGTAGAGAAAGCAGCAAAGATAGGTTCGTGGCCTGCCTGAACTAATGCTGTGCTTAATATACTTCCTTTCAAAATAAGAGACGGACAGTCTCAATAAAGCTGGTAAACTGCAATTTAAAGGAAATCTCTCTGATTGGATTATTGATCACATTTAAGTACAAAATGACATAAAGAAGCAACTCTAGTTCCTGTTGGGAGAGCTCGTTTGCAGTCGCAGTTTCATATTTACACTGACAAATGGCGGATATATTTAATGACGGTTGTTTCAGCTCCTTCGTCCCCAGTTAACAGATAAATAGAGTTTGTAGAAATTAACAGATGTTTGCTGTTTCTAGTAGGGCTGCATATGATGAAAACATCATATTAAAATTATTTTGACAGATATTGTGATATAATTGATTAGTGTGAGAATGATCATTTTTATCACATTCAAATTATTAAAATCCTGATGATGTGAGATTTTTTATGGTCTGTACCAAACAAACAAGTTTTCTTAAATCTGGAGACTGAGAGTTGAAGGCCAGGACATTTCTGCAGAACTACAGTACTTTCTTTACTACATTAAAATGCTGTTTGTAACATTTTACCTTGTGAAACTGCAGCTTCTATATTGCACTTAGCCATGCTGCGATTTCGATCATATTCTGATTAATTGTGCAGTTTATAGTGTAATTAAGCAAACGACAGCTTGTGTTAATGATTAAAATATTTCAAATTTGTTTCATTACCTTCAGCTGGAGGTTCAGATGGAGAAAACTGTCTGTTCCACAAGCTTCATAGAAGTGAAACTAAACTTTAAACAGTAAACACCCAGAGAGGGGCGAGTGTGTGTGAAAGATTAATTTTATCAGTTAACTGCCAGTGCAAGTGATAGAGTGGATGTTTAAAGAGAGCATATAAAGATAAAACACTTGTTGACCTGGAATATCTGGAAGTTGATTTCTAGTTAATTTGGTTCCAGAAAGCAGCTTTAGTGCGTTTTTAAAACTAACTGAATGTTAGTTACTGTTGTAACTGAGTTGGTCAGTTCAAAAAGTTATGTGGTGAAAAAGTAAAACTATTATGTACATTTTGTGATTCTAAAGAGGCTAAAATTATTAACCTGACACATAATTAAAAAACCTGGAACCCAGTTTCAAATGTCAAATTGCATTTTCAGGCCCCCAAAACAGCATTGTAATCAGGGCTTCTTAGGAATCGGCCTCATAGAGACCCAGTGCACCTGCTAAACCAGGTCCAAGGTCAGGGATTTATTTGTAAAATTAAGATTCATAAGCTCGTTGAGGACAGTAGAAAGTCCAAACAGGAAAAAGGCGCAGGCAGGCAAGTACAGATTCAGGTTTAGGGCATGTGGTGGATGGATGGAGACGTAAAGTCTGGGAAGTTCCTTTCAAGCATCAGTGATATTGGTGAGATGAGGTGCAGAGCACAAAGGATACTAACACAGTATTGTACAAATACCATAAAGCTGAATACATTGGTTTATTACCATAAATCAACACTCTGAAGACACTAATAATTTCACTATGTGTGGATATTGGACTTTTATTTGTATAGAAAGGGTGAAATGTTTGCGTATGACCTCATTTCAATATGTGCAAAAAGAGACGCACACCTTTAACATTTGTATATGTTTTCATTTGTTTCAATAGTTCAACAACAGGAACAAATGAGTTATATTGATCTCAAACTGAAATAAAGTGTAGCTAATAAAGCCTTTAAATGAGGAGCATTTCTCTTTATTGGTGATGTGGCCTCTGGTGCTGATCAGGGTTGAATTTGTAGAAATGAACAGATTTGAAGTGTTTTTATTTGATAATAATACCTCAATATACTTATTATAAGTATATTAATGACTGCTGTTGACCATACTGGTACCAACAGTGATTCCTTCAGAACAAAACCCAGATACACTGTAAAAGAGAGACAACCACAAGGTTCAGGAAAACAAATGTAACATTTAATACATTGAATTCAGTTTCAATACGGTTTCAAACCAGTTTGTTGCTCAATGACATAAAAGGGATAATAAGGAAATCTAAAGTTGTTTGTTCAAACCCCAACTTCTCACTCTCTTTACTTTTCACATCCTTGCATCAAAAGCTGAAATAAAACCACAAACCAGCATCAAACACCAACAGTGTAACTCAGAGACATACAACAAAGTTTTTAATTCTCAAACATTTCAACAAGAAAGTGTTATGTTGTGAAATATGTACATTATGTCAGATAATGAAGGTTACTGGATCCAGAACATGTCTTCTTTATGTGACTTTCTTTTCAGCAGTGTAAACATTTGTATGGATAAAGAGATGAAAAACAAGAAGCACGTAAAATGTCACAAACGTTATTGCCGAGTCCAAAGCAAAGTCTTTAAAAACTGACAAGTACATCAGGAGGATGAGCTTCTGACAGGTGAAACATTTGACCAACTGTGGGTTTGAGTCCTGCTGTGTCTATTTTATGTTTATATCACTACTGCGTAAGAAAGACCTGCACCTGGTCTGTTATTGCTCAGCTCCACCACCGACAGGAACTGACGATAAATGAACATCTGAACTTACAGCTATCTAAAGGTCAACATGTATTTTATCTTTATAAGATCTCATGAAAATAAAGAGTTGATTACAACATTGAATCAGATGTTTTCCCCTGACATTAAACTGTTTGTCATACTGCTGGTCCCACTGTGATTCACTGTGTTGATTCACCAGTTAACTTCAGTTCAGTTTTAGAATAAAAGGTGTTGGATGAGAAGAGACCGGTTGGTTCAGCAGTAAGAGCAGCACTTGTCATATCAGGTAAAATGAGATATTGAAAAAGTATGAAAGATATAATAGGGCTGCACAATGAATCCAAGTATTACTGAAATGTCCAAATAGCAGAAGCTGCAATTTGTTAGATGAAGGTAAAATATGTGACAAACAGCATTATAATGAACTACTGTAGTGCTGCAGAGACACCCTGGCACTTATGAACACTTACCCAAGCTCGGGCGCTCACGAAACTTTGCACAAAATTCAAACGTTGGAGAATTCGACATATGCAGTTGTCCCCGTGTCAGACCCCAAGACACGTAAGGCCGACATGTACTAAAATCAGTATGCATGTGTATCGTGATTTTAAAAAAAAGCAGAAAAGTAAGAAAAATACCTCAAACTAAACAGAAAATCGGCCATTTCTGGCGATTTGCACACGTTATATTTGAACAAACTCCTCCTAGTGAATTGATCTTGAATTGAACTTCAAAATTGCTTAATACAATGCAGAGAAGTTCAGGATGTTAGGTTATTAAAATCTTTACATTCGGTCAAACGGTGTGTCCGTGGCGTGCCTTCAAAAATCAACCTTGACATGACAATGGGAACCCTAACCCTAAAGTACAGATTCTCCATTTGCACCCAAACTTCACAAGTTTGTTAAGAGTCCTAAACTAAACGCATCTAAGTGCCAATATTCATGTCGCCGTCTGCACGTTACACTTGCACGTGACGTGGCCACAGCACACCCCGAGTTGCGGAGTGCGATGGTCCCTTCATGTCATATCCTGTGAGATTTATTTCATATTATTTGATTAATCTCCATGAACCCAAAACATTCAATATGAGATCAGAGTTACTGTGTGAATATACTAGTTTTATTCATAAAAAGTTTTTAGCTGGTGTTATTCTGCCCTCTAGTGGCAGAATCCAGGTGCTGCAGTGAGGCAGGTGGGGGGGCAGTAGCAGGTGTGTGATCTTCCTCTGGTTTGTTGGTAGAAACAGAGCCTTTGATAATGGTCTTGAGTTCAGACAGCACATCATGGACCAAGTGTAGCACTGCATCTTCCTCCTCCTCTTCTTTGACACCACTGATTTCAGTCTTCAGCTCCTTTTTTGTTCCACCTGTTAACGAGAGAGAGAAAGAGGGAGTGTCTGTCCATCCACTACGTTGGTTCAGACACTCAGGATGAGGCTAAGCCCCGCCCCTTTTTGGTTTTGGCTTAGATATGCTAATGTCCTAGCTAATTAGCTTCTGTTGATATGTAGATGTAATATAGATTAGCTAGCTTGTTAGCTAGCGTTTTGCCAACTAGATCTTTTAAACATTCAGAATGTGGTTGTCTTTTCAAAATAAAAGTTCCTTTGTAGGGACTTTAAGTAAAAATGCACTTCACGATATAAGATTATTTTGACTCATTCAAATAAAAGCAGGATTTTACTGCTGTAGTTTGTTGAGGTGGAACTCATTTTCAACTATTGTTTATCAGACTGCAACATTACACAGATAACTAGTAGGCTATGTAATACAATTAATACAGAGTTTAATTAAATTAGTACTTTCCCAAACAGACTGTCAGAGTGGACGTACCACAGTTGTAGAGATGTCGAACTTTCTCAATGTCCGTCGCTGTCATTTTATTTCTCTGTCCCATGTCCTTCACGTCACTCTTGGATATAATGGTGGGAAGACCGTTGGCTGAAAAAAACTCACTGAAACAGGAATAAACATCATAACATTTACAGAGAGAGAAGGAATAAAACTCTACATCCTTTTGTGTTTAGCACACTTTACCTTCCGTAGTGCATTATAGAGCCAATGTCATAATGAAGGTCAAAGGTTTGGCCTGATTGCATTTTGAAGTTTCGCTCCATCCCTGAAACACAAATTAATTTCACTCCGAGAGGAAACAAACATTTAATCTTGATCATTTCTCTTTATTTTAGATTTCTTTTTCCCCTTTTTGAGAGGTATGGAAGCCAATTTCTGCCAATGTTTAATGTCATTATAATGAGAACCTCTCAAAATATTTAATTAGTATCTGAAAATACTTTAAATAAAGGAAATAATATAACTGAGGATCAGTCTTAAAGGGTTAAATTAAATGTTTAATTTCAAACATTTACCTGTCATAATATTGTGGGGGAGGACTGTGATGTACTGCTCGCGGTCCGTCCTTGTGTGTTCGTGGTGGAAACCCAGAGCGTGAAGAATCTCGTGGGCGATATTACCCACGATGCACTGGGGCGCAACAAATATGGGTTGCTCGCCACTGATGAAGCCCACATAAGACGCACAGCTGGAATATGACAGATGCACATTCAAGACTTTTTACTGAACATATGGATTCATCAAGTTCATTTTACAAACAAATAACAAAATATACCACTACTGAGTTTTTAAAAGAAATGTAATCAATTGGCACTGAAAATGCTGCCAGTATTGCTAACAAGACCTTTTTCACAGCAGCCAGTTTTCGAGATACCTCTACCGGATGTACCACAAAGCACAACACACCCTTAAAATCAAGAAGGCTGTGCGACCCTTTGTGAAGCTTTAGTGGGGTTCAGGACCTCCAAGTTGGGAACAACAAATATAAAATATATATCTCAATCAGGAAAAATACATAAAAACATTAACATAAATTTAATCTAATTGTTTATTTTCTTTTTAATGTGGGAGGAAACCGAAGCTTCTCGGAGAAAACCCACGCCAACACAGTGAGCACTCTGTACTCCTCACAGCGAAAGGGAACTGAACCATCCCCTTATAGCTGCAAGGCAACAGTGTTACACTGAGGCACCTGTGTGGCCCTATGATGTCACGTCCAGATATTTTGTCTGATTGAAGTTTTTTTTTTCATTATGTGTAAAATGTGGGCGAACCGAAGCCTCTCGGAGAAAACCCTGTGTCAACAATCATTTAGTACGCGTGTGTGTTTGTGCGCGTTTGTGTCTTTCTGCATCCGAAGCACGCAGTGAACGGCTTGAAGAGACATGAGAAGAATCTGGTGACACCACTTTTGTTTTTTGGTGTCACCAGATGCTTCATCAGTGTCTCAGTGAAGAATCCGTAAATAGCTGCATCCTGGGAGAGCAGGCCTAGCTGCAAGATCTTTGCGCTGCCGGTCTTCTTGCACAAGTCTTTGTGCACTGCCCTGGCCACTCTTTTGATGTGAGGGCCGCTTGGTTTTACGGCAACATCGCAGCCTGAAATCTGTTCCAGGAGCATTTCTGCCAGTGACTTGCTTATAGTTGCAATTCCATCATAACTGAGACGGATATCGGAAGTAATTGGACTTTTCATGATTTTGTGAATAAGTGCAACCACCACAAGCCTACAGCGGATTTCGTCCCACTGATAGGTGGATTGTGCCGTGGTGTCAACTACAGCTTCACCTGCTCCACTGGTGATCGGTTCCTCGATGGACTGGACGGGGGTGGAAGTTGGTTCTTCTTCATCCACCAAGATGTTACTAGCCTCAACTCTGATTGGGGACTCGATGGACTGGACCACCAGAGTGTCACCTGTGTCATCGCTGACAGCAGCCTCCAGATTGATGGAAGCTGGTTGTGACACAGGTGTCACGCAGCCGTCTGTGACTAAGGCAGTCTCTGTGACTGATTGCTGGGTGATCACTCCCCTGATCTGCTCGACAGCGAGACTTGCATGGTCCCCTTTGTTTTTGTTGAGCTTCAGCTGTCGGTTGAGCCAGTTCCGTACTTGCTTCAAAAAGGTGTCCACCTCGCTCTGGATCTCAAAGCGAAAGTCCATGGAGGGGTCCTGCTGTAGATGGTTGGTGATGATTTCGCCGAGCTCTACGGCGGCCATGTTGGTTTGTCCACTGGAGATTACCTCTGCGATTATCTCGTAAGGGGACTTGTCCTCTGTGCCCTCACTTGCGTCCTCTGTGTTTGAGGAAATGATGCTGCTTAGTACTACATCAGCCTCCTGCATTAACCGTCTCACAGACGACTTTTTTTCTTGGGCGCTTTTGTATTTACGCCTGAGCTTTGTCACAAGGCCAAGCAGTGACCCCATTGCAAATCTCTGGGCATAAACTGCCTTGAGCTTATTTCCCACGGTCTTCCAGAGGGATATCTTCACAGATTCTGCCACTGATTCCGGTAAAGAACCATCCGAATCTAGTTGGAGCTCTTCAATGATCTCCTTTACAATTGTAGAAGCCACCTCGTCGCTGTCCTGAGAAAATCTGGACTCAAACGTGTCGTTATCTTCATCCGATATTTGGACGTTGTAAATGATAGGTGTGACTGTTCTTGCCTGTTCTTGGAGGATCTTTTTTACGGCTGATGTAGTTTTTTCAATGAAGTCGTCAGTCTCGTCATTAAAAGGTAAAACGGGTGTCTGCCATGACTCCCCGGTTGCAATTGGTTCAGTGTCCTCTGGCAGGTTGTCCAGCATTTCCTTGTTTTGTTGACCTCTTTTGATGGTTACCTTACTTGCACAGTTTTTTAAGAGTCTTGCTACATGTTGTACCATGGACTTCAGTCTCTGGGTGAAGGGACGAGAGACGAGAGGTTTGATGGCCTCATCGCTGCCTCCACCACTGCCAGAGCTCTGGGAGAGCTCGTTCACTCTGGCTGTGACCTCTGTAACCACGGCCTCGGTTACCTTTTCTGCACTTCGGCAGCTGATGTCTTTGACGCCGATTGCCTCGGCGAATGCCAGGGAGATGGTGTCCCCTAGACACCCGCGGACATCGTCTTCAGAGACACCGCTTTTCTGGGATCCGGTAGATCCAGGAGAGATTATGTTGGAATTGAGAGTGTGTCTTCTCTTCGGTTGGCTCTGTTTGAACAATACGTAAATATGTTCGAATATAATATTAATTATATCCATGCACATGTTAGTAATTACATCCTCTGTTTTTTTATCTAGAGACCCGGACTCCAGCAGCGACCATTGTAGTGTGGTCAGCTGCTCCAGGCTCTGTCGGACGAGTGCGCGAACACTCTCTGTCGCGGCTTGATCCATTTAGTCGGTTTGTATCTTTGTATCTTCAGTCCTGAAGAATCCAAACTTCCTGTGTTCGTGTCTTTGGTCTGTAAGTGAAAGTGTCCTGAAGAATCCAAACTTCCTGTGTTTGTCTCTTTGGTCTCGAAGTGAAAGTGTCCTGAAGAATCTGAACTGAACCAGGCTGGATTTGGATCCAAGGTGCATAGTTTCAGACAGAATGTTCGTCTTTGTATCAAAGGAACGTTCTATTGGCTTTGATCTTTGGATGACATCAATACATTCCAATGACATCACTGGACTTAAAAAAAACCTGCAACATTCTGATTAAAAACAAACAATTTAAAAATAAACACGTAAACCATTTGAAATTAAAAGCTAGTAAGTCAATCAAAATTGTATTTTTAATCACCAATTCATGAAGTTTTTAAATTGATTGGGTTCCAAAGTAGTTTCCACTTCATTTTTGTCAATACAACTTAAAAAAAAAAAAAAAAGTTAAATTTTAATTTAATAAGTTAGTAAATTATAACTTATCTTGCATTAATGCGTTTATTTAAGTGGTAGCAATGAGTTCACTGAATTACTGCTCGATGGTTTACATTACTTGCAGAAATATGGGTAATATATGCGCACAAGGTAGCTAACATTAGCTAGCTAGCCAGTTAGCATGAAAATTACCCAAAAGATAAAACCAAATGCAGCTAACGTCTGTGTGTCCTTTAGTTTGAGTTTAATAAACGCTCTGCCAAACCTCGTTAGCAGGGAGTAATAAGTAAAGAAATTAGTGCGGTCATTTAAACGCGTTAACGTTAACGCAAACCCATTTTAACAAGATTAATGTTCTTTTTGGCGTAGCACACTTAGTTTTTTTTACATGCTGTTGCAACAACTAGCAATGTTAGAAAAACTACAACACCACACCGGATCTAGCTAGACCAGAAACAAAACAGGCACGCCGCACACACTTGTTTAAGAGTAGTAGACGTTACGTTTTGAGTGGATGGCGAGCGCGAGACGCCAAAATGGATGCCAATAATATTCTGAATGGAAAGTTGCCAAATGGTTCCATTGACAAGTATTTTTTTCACCCTTTTGTTGATGGACAGTGTTACATTGTGTGAGAGATTATTTGCTCCAAGTGAGAATGTTAGGATGAAATTGAACACTACAGTATATGTCAGTGTTGTTTTCAATTAAAAAAAACATTTGCACAAAGCAAGCTGATCCACTTTTCCACGTTGATAAGAGCATTAAAATGAGAAAAAATATATAATAATGGGACAAAAAGAAATCAAGGGACATTTAGAATAGATAAAAATGTGCGATTAATTGCAAGTTAACTATGACATTGCGATTAATTGCAATTAATTATTTTAATCGTTTGACAGCACTAAAAGTAATATTACTTTTGAAAAGAGTTTGACAAGAGTGGGTTTTCTTTGGTCTATTTTATTTTGTAATTTTCCTCCTCTTGAGTCTTTTTACTTTACTTCTTGTGTCCATTTTCCCCAATCTTGGTTATTTTCAGCTGTGTGTTTAGTGTTTTGATCTGTGTCAGTTCATTCATTCTCTGGATACTTTTGAGTTTTGTGTTTTTTTTCATGTCTTGATTTATTGGGTATTTTGACTTTGGTTTTTAATACAATCCTGAGTTTCCTGAGTTGTAACAGAGTCATGCTGTTAATTAGCAATAAAGGAAGGAGATGTAAATTGACTGTTCGGGGCAGGACTTCTATCAGATATGTATAGTTTGGTGCAAATTGGAAAAAAAATACCCTCAAGTTAAACTACTACTACATTTTTTTTTTTATGAAAGGTAGTTTACAGAACGTTACTCTGTTTGCTTAACTGAAGATGTATCTGTCCAGAAACAGGATTTTTAAGATTTTATGAAGAATAAAAAGCATCTGAAGCTTTTCAATATTTTCTGGTTCTATCAGATTTCTTTAATGAGCATTAGCCACTAATTGCTCCAATTGCTCTTGCCAATCAATCACCACATTCCTGTTCATAATCAATATTGTACGTGTGTCATCGATGGTGACCAAAGGGTTATGCAAGAGAATGAAACTCGTCGTTGCTGCAGCCCGACATTCGTTTTGAAATATTAAAGGTTTCCGTACCCCTTGCTCGGTTTGAAGAACAGGTAGTTGGTCTCAGAGGTTCGCTTGTGGAAGGACACACAGGTTTGTTCGGATACCATCGCCATAGCAGAGAGGATGTCCCCCGTCCGACTCGCTGGAAAAAATACACAACAGTAAAGTCAATGTGTCACATGACTGAGCCGCATCTGAGCCGACTGTAGGGCCACAGCGGGTCCTGCTCTTACCCAACTCCCAGCTGATGGTGTATGGTATCTCCAGCGTCGGCCATATGTTCTCTGCTGCGTTCCTGTCGCTCTGTGGGGTCAAACAACCAAGAGAGAAACTCCTAACTGGGAGAAACTGTTTGATTAACCAAAGTTTACATATTTACGTGTATCAGTAAAAACTGATGTTGCTGATGTTTTTGGAGATTAACCCATAGAATCTGACCAATAATACTTTAACTCACATTTTAAAACCATTAAAACGAGTTAGTTCCACTCACTGACAGCACAATGTCTCCTTCCAGCACTGCGTGGTCCCTGGTCATCAGTTCTGTGACAGAGAGACAAAAACATCAATAAAACATAAGTTTACAGGTTTTTTCAGGATTTTTTTAAATACATGAAAATAGGTAAAATTTCTGCTTATTTAAAAGAAAATCGACTTTTTTCACATGAAGTTAAAGTTAAAATACATTTGCAAATCCGTAATCTATATTAACTGTTAAATTCAAGTTTAATACATTTCTAAAATTATATAAAATTAGTGACAAATAACAGTAAAAAAGTGTTGTCATTTTACATGGATTTGTTTGTTAATTGACGGATATCTTATATAATTATAGATGTTTTATCAGTGTATAAGCATTGGTAAAATACAGTTTTATCTGTGAAAACAGCAATAATTACTGTAATTTCACAGATAATTACTTTTATTACAGTTCTACAACTTTTAAAATTCAGATACAAATAATATCAAATAATAACAGCACTCTGCTGTAAATTAAAGTCTGTTCATTTGTATTATAGCAGAGTTCACCTGTATTTATAGCTCATTCCATTTGTTTTACAGTGTAAATATCTTTAATTAAACATTAAAAAGATCAATTACACAAAATTCTATGTTAAATTAAAGTTAAAAACTGTATTTTAATGATACTCAGTTATTTTACAGTATTAACGTGGCAAATATTAAATATTAGGTTAAACAGTGAGTGTTCACCTTCTAAAGTCTCTGGGTTTGAGTCCATATAGTGCACCACCCTGCTAAACCAGTCCTTCTGAAGCGCTGTAAAAACATTAGAGAAACACCCAGACAATAAAGAAACACACAGACAATAACCGATGGCTCCAGGATTGAATCATACTGATTTTACCTCCTTCGGCCTCTCGTATCGGACCGCAGTCGACTGAAACACAACAGACGACAGTACAGTCAAACGTTTGCTTCTCCAGAGAGTAAAATGTAACAGCGCTGAGCTCTTACCACCTTCAGGGAGCTGAACAAACAGCAGCACAGCCAGCAGTAGCAGCAGCATGGTCTCCAACGCTTCCAGCTCCTCGTTAGTCTCGTTAAGTAAGATCACCTGTGAGCTGCTGCCTCATTTATTCCTGTGGAGACTCAGAGACTCATTCATCCTCTCTGACATTACACACACACAGATAACTCTCTTCATTCAGTTTGACAGCAAGTTCAGCAACTTTAGAAGGATCAGTGATATTTTGGGGGATTTCTAAAAATGTTTTTTAATTACACTGAAAGACTATGGAGGCCTATTGGTGCTTTACAGAGTCTGAACAACTCTCATGATGATTCAACACATCTTATAAATCCACTGTTCACTATGTTTTAATCAACTCAATATCTAAGTAATATTAATATTCAAATACCAGAAAAATTCTATGTAATTGGATTAAATTATTATTTTTTAAATACTTTAATAGTCTGTATATAAAAGGCTGTAAATAATGTTTGTATTTGTCTCAGTGAATCTGAATTTAATGTTAATATTTCCCCACAGACAGTAACTGAGTTCAACCTGTGTTCCCTCGGACGGACAGCAGGTGGCGCTGTGCAGCTCCTCCACTCATCCGCCGGTAAACAAATAGTAGAAGAAGAAGGAGGAGGACTTCCGGAGGATACACAAACACATGGGCTGAAAACGTCTCGAGGTAACGTTGATTAGAGCTTAAATCGATATTTCTTGATCGATATATAATTTAATATAATCCGCTTTCATTCTGCTGCGTCACTGTTCAGCTCTTCGTTCAAAACTAGCGTGTTTTAGCTGCTAGCTTAATGCTAACAGGCTTTTTACAGGAACGTTTCTGTTGATGTTTATTTATCATAATAATAATAATAATAATAATAATAATAATAATAATAAAGCATTAGAGTTACAATAAGGTAGTTTATCTTTCTCCACCTGTTTTCAGTCAGCAGCTTTATTTAATATGAATCTATTCAGAAGAAGCTGCAGTGTTTTAATAAATCTAAAATGAGCTTTAGATTGAGGTTCTGTTGTTCTGTCTGCACATCTGGTTCTCCAGTACTGTAACTGTGAATCTTCTGTGGAGTGAACCTCTTCAGTATCTGGAAGCTCACTGATGTTTACAGACAGACAGAGAGACAATAACATATAAACAAACATTCATACAGCAGAGACATTTCTGTCTCTTCAGCTGCAGTCATGACGCGCTGGGCGAGGGCCAACAACGTCCATAAACACAAACCAGCAGAGGCCACTCCCTGGAGCCGGCTCAGAGGAGGAGGAGGAGGAGGAGGAAGAGGAAGAGGAGGTCACCCAGGCGGCTCTGGTGGTCCCTCGGGGGCCCAGAGTGACCCTCTGAGGAGGACTCAGCCCGGTGGATCAGGCGTGTACAAACCCAACCGTAAGAAGAAGGAGTACGTGGACGAGGATGTGAACGGGTTCCTGGAGTATCTGCAGCAGAGCGGGAGGCCTCTCCCCCGGGGGGACCGAGGAGGGAGGGAGGAGGAGCAGGGGCTGAGGGAGGAGGTGGAGACAGCCCTGAAGAAAGACAGGAGGAGGGAGGACAGACGGGTAAAGAGGCAGACGGACAAGAAGAAAAACATGGTGAGAGATTTCACATTAAAAACCAGAACCAGAACCAGAGGACCAGGATGTGTCCTACTCCTCTCTGCTCTCTCCTCACGTCCTCTCCTCTGTCCTCATGTCCTCTCTCCTCACATCTTCTCTCCTCATGTCCTCTCTCCTCTCACATCATGTCCTCTCTCCTCATGTCCTCTCCTCTCTCCTCACGTCCTCTCTCCTCATGTCCTCCCCCCTCGTCTCCTTCCCTCCCCAGCTGTGTTTTAACTGCAGGAAACCGGGTCACGGTCTGGCCGACTGCCCGGAGGCGGACCGGGACGAGGAGATGGGCCGGGGGATCTGCTACCGCTGCGGCTCCACCGAACACGAGATCCAGAAGTGCCGAGCTAAAGTGGACCCGGCTCTGGGTGAGGACGCGGTGGCGCCGGCGGCGCACAGCTGGAACATCTGGACCAGATTACTGATGGATCTGCTTTAACACTGTGGTTTCTCTCAGGTGATCACCCGTACGCCAAGTGCTTCATCTGTGGTCAGACCGGACACCTGTCGAGGTCCTGCCCCGATAACCCGAAAGGACTGTACGCACAAGGTACACACACACACACACACACACACACACACAGATACAGCACACACACACACACAGATACAGATACAGACACAGGCACACACACACACACACACAGATACAGACACACACACACAGATACAGACACACACACACAGATACAGACACAGACACACACACACACACACACACACACACACATACACACACACACACACACAGATACAGACACACACACACACAGATATACACACACACATACACACAGATACAGACACACACACACACAGATATACACACACACATACACACAGATACAGACACACACACACAGATATACAACACACACACACACACACACAAGATACACACACACACACACACAGATACAGACACACACACACAGATACAGACACACACACACACAGATACAGACACACACACACACACATACACACACACACACACACACACACACATACACACACACACACACACACATACACACAGATACAGACACACATACACACAGATACAGACACACACACACACACACACAGACACACACACACAGATACAGACACACAGATACAGACACACATACACACAGATACAGACACAGACACACACACACACACACACTCACACACATACACACAGATACAGACACACACACACAGATACAGACACACACACACACACACAGATACAGACACACACACACACACATACACACAGATACAGACACACACACACACTCTCTGATATGATGACGGTCTGTGTGTCTCTGTGTCTCTGCAGGAGGTTGCTGTCGGGTTTGTGGATCAGTGGAACATTTCCAGAAGGATTGTCCAGAGCACCAGGCTGCAAGTGAGTCTCTAACTATTGATCACAACTGATTATTATTTGGATCACCGATCATTCTGACAGATTATGTCGTCAACCCTCTGAGGTCGTGTTCACTGGGAGTGTGTCACATTTAGTTTCACAGGAAGACGCAATGATTGGATTCTGATAGAAAAACACAAATAAATTGATTTATTTGTGATTTATTTTGTCATAATTTGTTAAACATGGGATCAATATAACTCAGGATGTGATCTTAAAAGGACTTTCAATCTTTTTCTCCAGCGAACTCGGTGACGGTCCCCTGGTTGTCCAACAACATGAGCGCCGACCACGAGGACGTTCATGTTCCAGTGAAGAAAGCGAAACCCAAACAGACCAAAGTGGTGACGTTCTGACATCGTCACTCCTTCGACCTCCGGACTCTAATAAACGACTGATTACCACTCGCACACACACATTATGATTCTCTCTGTGTATATTTGTAATAAAGCCTTTACAGACTTTATTCTGCTGTTATTGTGATATTTAATATTTCTGATTATAGATTTATTTATTGTTTATCAGGACAAAACATTGATCTGTTACAGTTTTGAAGTTTCTCCTCAAACAAACAGATTCTATCAGTTCCCTCCCTGAAAAGTAAAAAAATATAAAAAGCTTGTAAGAGTTAATTTAACTAATTATTATAAATAATTAAAATTGTTAATACTGATTGCATCATTTTAAGTAAGTTTAAAAAATATTCTTGTCAGGTAGCTTCAGTAAAGTGACACTGACTTTATGTTGTGATTTTTATTTGTAAAACAGACTAAAAAGGAATATTTCTGTAACTTATAAAAGTTCTGACATTGTTTTGATGTTTGTTTTTAGTTAAAATAACTTAAACTGCGTCTGTGAACCTTGAGAGCATTTTGGATTTCTACTATAATTATATCAAAGTTTTTCATTTAATCAACCAGAGGGAAGTTTCATAAAAGCAGAATTAAGAAAATCCAAACTTTATTATTTATTATGTAACAGTAAACAAACAGTGCTGCATTCACAACCTCGAATACTGGAACACGTCTGTACTGATGCCTCTTCTTCTTCTTCTTCTTCTTCTTCTTCTCGTGGATGTTAGAATGAAAATCAGCTGTTCTGACCACAACAGAGCAACGTTCACAAACCCACGATCATCACTCAGAACTCTGTTGTTCTGTGTGTGATTGAAGTGTTTGTGGGTACGAGATCAGTTTGTTTTATTGACGCAGTATCTTGTTATTTATTGTCGTGGTGTGTTCACTTACCTCCACAGAAACGTGTTTTATTCTCTAAGTCTCACTAACTACATTTGGAGTTGAAGATCTGAGAGCAGCGAAGAAGAGCAGCTTCCTCGAGTCCGAAGAGGTTGTTTTGTTTTTACATTTGTTAACGGAGGCGTGCCAACCCCGACCACTACAGCAACTGAAAGTGGAGACGTCCATCTTTTATGTGTCGTTCATTATTAACAAATAGCATTCAGTAAGAGTTATTATAATTATTATCAAGACGTACTATCATGCACTTTTTTACACTTTTAAACTCGATTATGTGTCTTTTTATATATTTCCTTGAGTCCTTTCTGTCTTATGTAAATTGTGAGTTGTTGAGAGCTGTTTGAGAAATAAAGTTCCCTACAGTGTAGCTGCAGTTTGAGGACTCGGCCACTGGGGGGCAGTACTGGCTCAAGCTGAGCTGGACTGCAGTGTCCTGCTGCTCTTACTGATGGAGAGATGTTGTAATGTAGAGGGAGACCAACTGTACACATTTAACTTATATATATATATACTGTGTTATATGACTTCATTTTATTTTTTATTCAAACTATTATTGTTGTTATTGTGATTAGTTTCTCCCACGCTGTTGGACAGACAAAGGACGTCCCGGAGGGGCTGCGAGCCGAGCTGCTGCTAACGTTAGCTCAGCTTGTTTCTCTGATAACTTAAGATCCAGACGTCCGATGACTAAAATCCTTCATCCGGTTCAAATCTAGAGTTAAAAAGCACCAAGATGTAAACAGTGGATGGTAACAATGTGGCTTCAGACTGGATCAACAGTCAATGTATGACAGCTTCTGACAGACAACCACAACGCTGACGCAGGCACAAAGGGGATATAGAATAGAATAAACTTTATTGTCCCCGAGGGGACATTTGTGTTGGGCACAGTGCTACAGTTTGTTGCTTCACAGAAACAAACATACCTCAACAACAGACACATCAAAAAACAATTACAAAATCAACATAAAAAAATCTTAAAACATGGAAGACTCTTTACATTTTAACACTGACAATGTGGCAGCTTAAAAAGAGACTGTAAGAGACTATAAGAATTAAAGTGCTACAGTGCTGGGTTGTTCATTGCACACTGCCCTATTGCACTGATTTAGTATTGGAGTATCGGGACGAACGATGACTTCAGTCTGTTTGATTTGCACTTTGGCACACTCTTCTTCCTGACGCCATCGACAGGCGACCGGTGAAACGCATCGTTACCTGAATAAAATGACAGATTTCTCTGAGTTTGAACATTGTTGGAAACATTTGGGATAATAGAAGAACTAAAATACATATAGAACATAGAGCCAGAGTTTATACGTTATTTAATATAGATTACAGCTTTAGAACTGGCAGCATTAGAAAGTCAGTGTCTCATTTTTCAGACTTTCTTGCAGAAATATACATCTAGAAATTCATAAACATTCATATAATAGTTCAGGAGAATAAGATGAAGGTTGTTCATACAAACAAACATTACCTCTTACATTTTTTGTTATTTTACATTGAATTTGATAATACGTGTGGGGGGGCGGTCAACACCCCGACTTTATAAAGGAACCGACCCCGGAGCTCAATGCGTCAGCAGCTGAAGAGCAGGACTCTCAGAGGAAGCCTCGTAAACTGCAGATCGGACTGGAGTCCTTTCAGCTGCTCTCTCCAGATCGTTTCAATGAAGATAAAGATTGTAGGGTTCTGGGACACAGTGTGTGTGTGTGTGTGTGTGTGTGTGTGTGTGTGTGTTCCCCGGAGAGCATGTTAAAAGGTCTTACATCACTGATGATGCAAAAGGTTTCTTGGCTCTTTGAGTCCGGCCCACAGCCGACCAACCTTGTACCGTAGTGTTTGAGAAAATACTGAAACTGTCTCATCTGAGCTTTAATGTGGATTTCAGGCTGCTGTAGAACCACATTACAGCTTCTGGTGCAGCCATAAAAGTAGAGTTATGATACATAATAAAGCAGTAATAACCGAGCGTCAAGCCTAATATCACAAAGCACAAATTAGCCTCAACAGTCAATCTATACAGCGGGTACCTCCATCTGTCATTAAAGACTCCCGTAGACTGAATTATACGACTGTACCAGGATGAAATATTATTATATATATTATTATGAAAATGTCTGAATGTTAAGAACAAAGTCTACTGTTTGCTGACAGAGGGGACAGTTTGGGATGACTTTACTTTAAACCGCTGCGCTCATTTCCAAATGTGTCCTGATGGAGACGTATCATTTACAGCAGGTTATGCTAGCTGTTGCTAACCCTGTACTCAGTTTGTTTATATAATGTCGCAGTGGTTCGGACACTGTAGAAGCACCGGACTGCAACCTCTCTGAGCTGCTAGGTTAGCTGCAAACAGGTAGCACACAGAAACAAACAGCGTAAATGTGCTTCTAGTGACTTTGTGACAGCAGCTGCTCATTAGCTCTGTTAGCTCTGGCTACCACCTCGCTGTCTCTGCTACGCTGCTGTGGTCAGTCTGTCAGTCACTCTGGTCACTGACTCTGCACATAGCATATCTCAGTACAGGAGAAGAGGAAGTTGACCCTGGTTTGCTCCACTGTGATTGGAGCACAGATCAAAAAGGGGGTGGGACTTAGCAAGCCTTTGTTAATAAAGCAAACTATCAGCAAAAAAAAAAAAATTCTGGAAGTTGACAGGCAGGAAATACTATCGATGATGTGTGTAAACAGAATATATCAACAATAAAATTACAGTACGGACAATTCGAAGAGCAACTTTAAGACTGTAGACTTAAAATTCTGTACAACTTAAACCTGAATGTAATTTAAAGGGGTGAGTTGTACAAATGTACAGTTGAGCAAAAGGCTGTAAACATGTTTATTTCTGCAGTACAGTTTAATGTGAGGCCTCATGGAGGCTGACTCACTGTGAAGCCAGCCAATAACAGAATAACAGAATAACGGCGCCACGTTGGCAGCGATGTTGCGAACACACTCCAGTGCCACCATCTTGTTTATGATCCAGTCATATCAAATTGTCGTCGTCCTCTTGGATCAGCCTCCAGAACTAAATCCGCCTCATTACTTTAGAGCACGCTGCTAATCAGTCAAATTACTCGCAGAGGAAATGATGAACTGTTTGTTTCATGTTTGTGTGTTTTGTCTTTTTATTTTCCTGCCAAATAGTGAAACTCAGCACATTAACACAACTGTACTTAAACACACTACAAGGAGTTTTTAACTGGTTATAAACTCATTCACTTAAACACTGATGCGTCTATATGAGCTACAATAACCAACATCAGAGGGAAGATTTATATATTCTCAATATCTGCCACCGGGTCGGATTCCCCTTGAAATCAATGAAACGAGGCGGTAGAAACGCTACCACTTTAGTCCACAAGGGGCGCCAGAATCAACACAAAAGGAAATGAATCAAACGAAAAGCATGAACTAACTTATTTCTGACATTCACCCGTCAATCAATCTTCAACGTTCAGCGACACAGAGCGAAGATTCATTAGTTATCTATCTCGCTAACAGCATGGCTAGCTAGCAGAATTCACAGATTACTGTACAAACACAGAACTTTATCTGTTTGGGTGAAACTGGATCAGATTTTATGGAGAGATTATTGTCTGGTTGTCTCTCTGACGTCCTCCGCTAACTGCTAATGTAGCTGCCGTCAGCGTTAGCAACTGAACCTCAGAGACGGACAGAGGACAGTTTGACGGCGGTACCGAGGTGATTTATGGAGTTACCAGATGGACTTGTTGCTAAAAGAAGCGAACTGTCGCTAACAGTAATGCCGTTAACTAGTTGGCTAGTGAGTCAAACCCGGCAATAAAACCTCCTCAGTCCTTCAGATGCTGCATTCAGTCCCGGTCTGGACCTGCTGTTCACTGGGAGCTTCCAGTCCGACAGAGTCAGCTACTGGATCCACTACAGCTGCTGGACTGGGGGGACGTAGCACATATAAATATATATACACATATATGGAAGCTCTTTAGGTACAATTACGTACTGAATGCTTTTACCTGTAGAGTATTTCCACAGTGAATTATCAGGATCTGAATATTTCAGATCAGTTAAGAGACTCTTGTTCTCCAGGAGCTTATATGAAGTAGTTATTTTGACCAAAGAGTCCCTGGTTGGGTTAAAGTGAAATATAAAGTAAATAAAAATGGAGGTTGGGGGGGGATTGTTCCTGGAGGTTACCCTCAGAGACACCCCCGGGGGGGCAGTGGCTGGTTTCCACAGAGCCTGATGCTTTCTCATGGAGGCGAAGTGAAACTGCAGCCAGACAGCTGCACACTGCCAGGCTGATTACACAATTTACCCAAAAGTTTGATCCACAGGAGAGAGAGAGAGTGTGTGTGTGTGTGTGTGTGTGTGTGTGTGTGTGCGCGCCTCATAACAAAAGCACAGAGGGTTCATTCACTCACGTCTCCTGGATCCAATTTAAGAGAAGCTGAGAGGAGGTCTTTCCTCCAACTATTGTCTTTGAGTCATTTGATTGCAACATCAGTCTGTTGTTACTGTACGTCCTCAGATCAGATCAGAGTTTAACATCCAGAGTTTAACATCCAGAGTTTAACATCCAGAGTTTAACATCCAGTGTTTAACATCCAGAGTTTAACATCCAGAGTTTAACATCCAGAGTTTAACATCCAGTGTTTAACATCCAGTGTTTAACATCCAGAGTTTAACATCAGAGTTTAACATCCAGAGTTTAACATCCAGAGTTTAACACTCAGTATGTTCCCATCAGTCTATAACCACCTGAATATAGCAATTACTGTGTTTTTGTGACCTTATTATGAGCTGTTTTTATCTACAGAGTCTTCTTCTGATGGAGTCCGCCATGTTTCTACAGTAGCCCAGAACAGACAAAACAAGAAGCCTTTGATGTTTTTTGTGAGTTTCGCTTCTTCCCAGGTTGTCAAATATAGATGTGAGCAGTATTCAGTTAGTTACAATCTGAGAGTTCACCACTCGATGCCACTAAATCCTTTAATTTTTCAACTACAATGAATGCTGGATGCTGACAAGACAACCATGTTTGGAAGATGGTATAAAGATAAAAGTGACATATATATGTATATATAGATAAGATGTGACTATATAAATGTGTTTGTCTTTACAACATAGATTAGCCTAGCACGTAGCATATCTAAGGACAGGAAAAGAGGAAGTTGAGTTGTTTGCTCAACTGTGATTGGAGCACAGAGCAAAATGGGGCGGGACTTAGCAAGCCCTTGCTAATAAAGCAAACTAAGAAAAAAATCAAAAGAAGTGGACAGTTACTGACATTAATTTGTAATGTAAGTCTCATAATTAATAATTGGATGGTGCTGTTTGTCTTTCACAATAAAAGCTGATGTTTGGCTCTATCAGAATAAAAGACACACACACACACACACACACACACACAGGAACAACCTCCACTATTGGATTCAACTCCTCCACTGCTGCCTGAAGTTCTGGGCCCGCTGACAGCAGCTCATCGGGGTCCCTTTAACAGTAAATATCCATAATCCCTGCCATGTTCCAGGACCCTCTTCGGGCCCCTTTTCTGTGCCGCCCCCTCCGGAACGAGGCCAGCCTTAATGAACTTCACTACCTGCAGTTATGGACCGTTTTAACTGCCCTGATGGTGGAAGACAAACTAACAGCAAGGAGTTTTTGTGGGTTTTTTTTGTACTAATGTAATAAAACTCCACAGCAGGTTAATTTAAATGTAGTTAATTTGACTGATAGCAGTTTCAGTCTCATTTGAATTTGAAAGATGGTAAAAAAAACAACCCACCTGAAATGACCTGAATAAGTCCATAAAGAACCCAGACTCTTATGGTTTGGAAATAACAAAACCTGCAGTTCCTCTAACGACCACTAGACCACCGTTTCCATTAAAGTTCAAAGGTTTAAAGTTATGAATAATTAAGCCCACGCTCCATCTATTTGCACATTTTTAATACAGTCTATGATTGTCGCTGAATATGTTAATTAACTGGTCTGAGCCAGCATCTAGTGGCCGTCGGTGGTACTGCGTCCTGGGGCTTCACTTTTTTCAGTCCTGGCGATGCTTGTTTAGCTCAGCTCAAATCCATCTCCAGTGTGTCTGTCGGTCCGTTTACACACAGAGACAACAGCTGTGGATCGACGTAAGAGCCAAACAGGCTCATTAACGTCAACAGGATTTAGTCCCTGTGGTTCGGTGCAGCCAGGCTGTGGTGAGCGTCCTGGCAAAAGTTTTGGATTTAAAGTGTGTGGGTTTCTCTATTGTGAAATGACCAAAATGTTCTCGCTTTGTTTATGTATAGTTTATAATCATTACCTCTATGATGAAAATGTCTCCACTAATGATGTGAATATGAATAAAAAAACATGAAAACAAGTGGATAAAAAAGTGATGATTCCTGACTGTGTCCGGATGTACAGACAGCAGCGTTCCCGGTCTGAAGAGGACTCCAGAGAGCCGGTCCTCGGTTGTCCTCAGGCAGACACGACTAGCAGGAAGCGCTCGTTACCTAAAAACTGAGCTGGAAGTCATTACTGCAGGATCTAGCCTAAAGTGCCTGACGCATGTACAGGTTGTCGTGCACATATGTCGGCCCCGAGGCTACAAGGAGCCGGCGATGCTAAAGAGGCGAGGAAGGAAGGATCCCCGAGTAGAACGGAGGAGATGAAAGTGAAGAGTTACAGTTAATGACAGAGGAGAGCAGATGAGAAACCGAAGGCCCCCGTGTGGATCTGTTGGGAGTCTATTGGACCTAATAAGGCTTTGCTGTCTGGTCAGGGGGCCCCGCGGTGATGCCGGGGGCCGCCGGGAAACATGTTTCTGTTTATCTGATGGGTCCCAAGCAAGTTCAAAAGGCACTGGATGGGTCCGCTGTCACTTTAATTAGGAATGAGGACATCAAATAGTAACCTTTTTCCTTCAAGGAGTCATTTTCTATCATTTATTAAACTGACTCTGTAAACTAGAAGATAAAAAAAAGTAAAACTAGAGATTTGGATTAATTTTTAGAAGATTATTTCCTGTGATTATTGATCAGAGACCAGTTTTTGTGATATTTTGTAAGTACTCAAGTTAATAAATGATATCTGTAAACGCTTCACTAAACGCTAACGATGGTTTCTTTACTTGTTGCTAAAAACAAACAAAACCCAAGTTTAGTCAAACAAACAGTTTATTGTAGCCTGGAAATATAGCATGAGCTACACATGTGGTTTAACGCTAGGTGTTTGCGAGAAGTGACCGTTTGCTCAAAAACAACAATGGCGTCTGCTGAAGAGGTTAGCGTAGCTGCTGCTAGCATCAGTTATATCAGAACTGGAGAGTATTTATTTATTTATGTGACCGAATCACCGAGACCTGTACAGAGAACCAATATCAATGCTACAGTTAGCTAGCTGCACCCTAGTAGTCAGTCATAAGAGATTGATCGATTGGTTCATTGATCTGATTGGTTTAACTTTTCCTGTGATAGACTGATAGACAGATGGTTCATCCAATCACCTGCTGAGTATTTTTGATTTCAACAGTTTCCAATTTAAACTCTCACAGATGTTTCAGTGTAACGGAGTAACATAAAGAGTTAAATGTTATCAGAACAAAACCAAACCTATCAGATCCCCGTCGTAATAGAACCAGAATGACCCTTTAAAGTAGAGTCTTGTCCATCTTCCAAACACAACTTAACTATTCAGATATGACCGTCTCTGCCCGTTCCCATCAACACCCACCACACCAACCAGAACCCCATCCTTCTTGTGCCAATCTAAATAAATGACCCAGGTCCGGTTTGTGTCGACCTCTTCTATCACCAGTTCCCTCAGAAGTCTGTCAGGATCAACCAGCCTCGATCTCCGTGAATAAACTCTTTATCCTGAACAGCTGCTGTGGCGCTGACTCCGTGTCTGGAAACAAATGCACATACAAGGCTTCTAAGTTTAGCGGTCGTCTCCATTCGGTGTATAAAGAAGCATGTTGGACAACCCGTTAGCATCTCACCAGCTGAGTGACGGGTTATTATTCAGCACAGGTTCAATGGCAGACATTGTAAAGATGAAACTCATCAGATCTTGAGTAACCAAGCTTCACTCAGCCAATATAAACAACATTTAGCTTAATGTTAGCTTAAACTTAAAAAGCAGAAGTAACGTGTGGTTGCTCCTAGCTTGTTAGCCAGACATGCTAATGTTAGAGTATACAAACACATCATTCCTTATACTATACTATATACTCTCCTGTTATTGGATGGGAAAGGCTAAAAAAGATCTCAGTATACAGAATATTTCTGTTACTACAGCTCCGTGTAAATACAATAAAGAGAGCTTCTAACATTACCTTAAACTCCGATAGCATCCAGGACCGGTTTACTCGCAGTGGGGTAATATTCAGCACAGTTTCAATGGCAGACACTGTAAAGGAGAAACTCAGCCAATATAAAGAACATTTCCAGGAATAACAAAGTCGGCAGAATGTGTTTAACCACAAATCCAACAGACAGAAGAGCATTGTTTTACACATATTCTGCATCCTACACTTACAGGACGTCTCTTTCTCTTTCGAGGCTCAGCACACTGGACCAAATATGTTGGACAGTAATAACAAAACAATAACAACAAGCCACGATGTGTTTACACAGACGTCTGGAAGCCAGTTTGGTTAACTGATTGAGGCTGTGTTATGACGGCCTGTGGGCAGGATGGAGGAGGTTGTGTTCACTGTGTCCACGTCCAAAACTGACAGTATCAGTCTAATTAAATACAGATACTGTGTTGATTCTCTGTGTTGGGACGATGATTGAGTTCATAGAAGCTGTTAAAAACCTGCAATTTTAACACGTACAAAACTGTGGGAAAAAAACCCATAAACATTAACATATCATCACCTTGTTATTGAATGTGTTAGCAAACAGATCCAGCAGTTAGCATTCATCATATATAAACCCAATATCAACTCTCTTTCAGCTCTGTATTTCCTCTCTTTCCTGAAGGAAATTATGGCTGTTTAATTGCTAAATATTAGCCTGGCCGCCATTTATGTGACCGGTTAGCTTTTACTTAAAACTTCTACCTGAACTGAATAAAGTGATTCATGACTTTAGCGCACCTCCCTAATCTCAATAATCAGTTGGTCTTGGTTATATGTTGCCAGTGTTTGAAATTCGGGGAACTACGAGGAGCTCCAATCCCCTGAAAGAAACATGAGCTCCTCACGAATTTAGGGCGAGCTCTAAAGTATCGTTTTTCTGTACCGATTGATATGTAGTTGTATTTGGAGGCAACGTCCGTCTCGTCTGTGTAACAAAATAATGCTGACCTTTGCTTGTCCACTGTGCGTTGGTAGTTTTACACTTCAATGTGTAGTTTGCTTAGTCCAACGTTAGCTTAAACACCGACAGCATCCATGACTTAATTATTTTCTTCTTTTTTTTCCTTTAGCATAAACTGTTAGCCTACGAACTGTGTTACGCTATTTAAGTCTTATCCTTTAAAGTGACGGTTGGTAGCTAGTTAGCCAGACCGGCAAACACACCAGTCCTTACACTTTTTTTGTGTTTTTAGATCGGAAAGGCTAAAAAAAAGACACCCTGAACTCTTTGTATACAGAATATCTCCGTTACTACAGATCCATGTACTCCACTTCTACATGTGGTTCGTAAACTTCTCCAAATCTCCAACTCCAAAACAGAGCCTCTAACATTAACTTAAACTCCGATAGCATCTAGGACTGGTGAGTAGTGCTACTAGTCAGCAGTGAGGAAACAGCTTTATTAAACGTAACCTGTAGCCTTATAGTATAGTCTATTGGCTAAATATTCTCTGTATGAACTGAAATGTATTGATTCTATATTTTTTGCATGTAGCTCCCATCTCCGAAAAATAGGGTCCTCAGAAAGCCAATTTGAACACTTTGTGTTGCGTATCATGTCCTGGTTTCAGACACCTGAATAAACAGGTTCTTCATATAAATATTATATCAAAACAGGCATAAGGTACAAAAAAAAAGCATCTATCTAATTAAACACAGCAGTTCACTAACATTTGCCTGCGTGTAGTTCAGTGAAGCCTTTAGTTACTCAGTTTAAGCTGATAATATGTCTTTATTTCTAATGTGATTATACCATATTTCCAACTATGCAGTGCAGTCTGTGTGATGTCTGCAGCCCATTTATCTCCCCTAGTTTTGGCACTAAAGGCAAGAATTTCATACTCTTACACGTACTGAATTACTGACTTATACAATTAATAACATTGCATTTTTAATTATAAAACAGAAATTTATGTAGTTACTAAAGTAGGACACAGTCTCTGATAGAAAGTAGCCTGAAAATCAATTAAAGAACTGCGTGATTAGAAATCCAAACACATAAACAGGATGGAATTACTGTCGGGGCCAACGAAAATATAAGCAACCACAACAACAAAAGCATGAGTTCATTACTGAGTGTTATTTGAGTTGGTGCTCCTGGTAGCTTCCTTCCACCACTTCAGGGTAGGAAATACAGCCAAGAAGCACAAAAAAAGAGAAAAAGATTATAATGGAGTTTGGTTATTGTATTATCTCCAATGGTCTGCTTATAGTAACAGCACGGTTCATGTCAAGCCCCAATCATGACCTTCTCACGCACCCCCCTCATCATCCTCTTCATGATCTGTGGCATCTGCGGCTCCTTCCTGTTATACGCACCCTTGGACCGGCGTGCCCATCCATGCGAGCAAGGTTGGTAGCAACAGAAGGCAACCCACGGGTCTCTCGAATCGCCATACACACAGCATCCTCCTCCTCATCCCCCCACTCGGGATTCACCATATCAGGATCAGCCTTGATGGAGTCCAGGTATTCACTGATCAGATCCTTGATGATTTGCTTGTTGGCAGGATCAGGTACTATCCCTCTGTAGCCTCTCAGATTTTGGTTCCCGCAAGCAATCAACAATTCATATCCGACCCATGTAATCTGTCGGAATAGGGCAGCTCTCACAACACCAAGGTCACGACGAAAGCCATAGTACACCTTCCCATCGATATGACGAATGGCCTTGCGATATTGTTCCCATTGCTGAGGGTACATCCGGCGAATGATGGGCCACTGAAAATCAGGATGCTCGTGGAGAGCCTGAGCTGCAATGTCCAATGATTTGAGTCCGGATCCGGTAGCTTCTGCCAACAGTACTTTGAGCCTGATGGCAGCCCCAGGAACCAGCTTCAACCATCTTTGGAGAATCTCATGAACATTCCCATCATGGATGTATTGGCGAAAGTTCATGTATGTCAGCCTTACATCACCTACTGCATACATCTCAACCACAGCTGGCATCAACGGACGTAACTCGTTCAGAATGCGCTGCTGTTTGGCCTTAGACAGAGTGCCTCGGGTCGCAAAGGAAATCAGCATGATGACGATGCAGTACACGATCCGACCTCGCTGCCTGGACTCTGGGTGCTTCATGATGGCCAGTAGCAAAGCCATCTTTTGTGCCAAATTAGTTCCAGGGACCCAATGCCTCTGCTGAAGATGCCAGCACCCTTCGACTACCCCACCCTCACCGACTGGGAGTCTCCCAATGATGTTATAGAACCAGGCTTCATTATTCAAGCGGCGCTCATTGTCAACCAGTTTTTTCAACTCAACCACAGCCGCAGCTTGTTCCATGCACATGGTCGGAGGCAATATTGGAGCCAAGATTTCGGCAATAACCTGCTGTCTCGCATGTGACGCTTGACTCTGCTCAAACCGCATCGCAGACAGGACACCTGCCAATGCCAGATCCGTAATCCCGAGCTCGAGGCCGTTCATCCTGATCGCGGTGAATGGGGCAATGTTGCAGTTTTGGAAGACACATGGAAGCACTCCACCAGTGGCCACGAGTTGTGCAAAGACAGCGGCATTGTCAGCAGGACCCCACTTAATCACAACTGGGATCTCAACCTGCGGCGGAGGGATTTCCTGTTGCTTAACTTTAACAACACCAGGTGCAATCCCAAGCGCACGATTTTCATCGCGCAACGCTCTCAGCCTCTGCTTCCAGAGGTTTGGGCCTTGTGCTGCTCCAGGTTGTGCATTGGCACGCCAGTTCAAGTTCCAGTTCCACATCCAGTTCCACATCCAGTTCCACATCCAGTTCCACATCCAGTTCCACATCCAGTTCCAGTTCCACATGGTTCAAATTAATAGTTGAGATGGCTGGATGGATCTGAAAGACAAGGGTTGGAAAAGCCTCAAACACTCCGCTTTTAAAGAGATTCTATTCTATTAACTTGCAGTGGGGAGTTTTAACATAACCTGTAATCCTGCAAACTGTGTTATGCTGTTTAACTTTTATCATTTGTAGTGATGCTTGCTCCTGTAGCTAGTAAGCTAGTTAGCTGTACAAACAGTTACGTTAAACGTAAAAAAAAGTTACGTTTGCTTTGCTAATATCGTACAATCACTGTTTTGGAGTCGGGTTTAGCGAACAATCAATTGTAGCAGCTTTTTAGGTAATTGTGGTTTTTGTAAACAAGTCAGAAGTAAGAGCTAGTTAGCCCACATGCTAACATTAGCAGCTTACGTTAGAGCAGACAAACACAGAATTCCTTACATATATTTTTTTGGATTCGTTTGCTTAATATTGGACAATCACTGTTCAGGGGTCGGGTTTAGCGAACAGTCAATTGTAGCTTGTTCGGTAATTGTGGTCCTCTTTTTTTATATAAACAATATCAAAATTTGCTCTGACTGAAACTTAATATTTGCCACAGTCTTATACACACACATATGCTATCATGCACTTAGAGGCCACCTGGGAGAGCTGCACAGGTTACTCTATCTGACCTCCACACACACACACACACACACACACACACACACTGTAAAGCCCTGTAGAAGAACAGCTGATTTGGGGCTCTAGAGTACTCTAATGCCCAAACAGCCTCTTAAAGCAATTATTCTTGGAAAGAGTGTCTGTTTGCAGAACTCAGATCATAGTCTCGCAGTAATCCCTTCATTTCCCTCTCAGGAACATGTGGCACACAGCTTGTTGCCTTTGCCTCACCGACAAGGAAACCAAAACAACACTGAGGGAACCGAACAGAAAGGAAACTCATTATTTAACTTCTGCTTGCTTCCTCTCGTCTGTCCGTCCTGCAGGAAAGTTGCACTAAATGTTAAAGAATGACAAAAGAATCATTTCCTGTCTCATCTTAAAAATGCTTTGATATAACGTGAAACATTTAACTGTAAATAATCATAAATTTACTGCTTATTTAAAGAAAATTTCCTTTTTTCCCCACTTAAATCTATAATTTTTAGTAGATGTTTACTGTTTATTTTAAAACTGGGTTTTAAATTCAAGTTTAATAAAAGTTAAAGTAAAAAAAAGTATTTGTTGTGTAACTTTACATGGATTTGTTTGTTAATTAACAGATATCTTATATAATTATGGAAGTTTACACAACAGAAATGTTGAATAAATGCTGTTTATCAGTGTATAAGCATTGGTAAACTGTCCAAATACAGTTTTTATCAGTGAAAACAACAATTATTACTGTAATTTCACAGATAATGACTTTTATTACAGTTCTATAACTTTTAAAAGTCAGATTAAAATAGAAATATTATGTTATTTTACTGTACTTTTGTGAAGCTCTAGCTGCCAGAAATGTTATTTTTTTACAGAAAATGTTTTACAGTGTATGCACAGGTACAGGTTTATTATTTAATACATGTTCTGTGTGTTGGAGCCTTATAGCAAATATTCAGCAAAAGGATAAGTCCTATAATATTCTATATTTCTGGTATTTATGAACACATTATGGGACAAATGTTTCAAATTTGTCTCACATTCTTATCTCACATGTTTGACTATAAATTAATACTATTTCTATTTCTATTTCATTATCTGACTTTTTATATATATTTTTTTTATTCTCATAATTAAGTTTTATCTCAAAATGTGTACGTTTTATCTTTTAATTATGATTTTTTATGATTTTTATCTCATTATTTCGACTTATCATGATATTTCTTTTTTATTTTCCAGGTAAAAATTTTAATCTCCTGAGACCAGAGCTCTTTTTTGGGATGCATTTTTAATTTCTCTTTGCTATTCGGGTTTATTGGGACCTGATAAGTATAAAAACTAATCATCATCTTTTTGACATGATGTTGTTTTTGAGAAAAATTATCCACATGTGGACACAAATATTAATATATTAATATTTTAATATATTTTAATAATAATTAATAATATATATATTTATATATTTTAATTAATATTAATAATAATAATAATAATATATATTTAATAATATTAATATATTAATATTTTAATATATATTTAATAATAATTAATAATAATATATTTATATATTTTAATATATATATAATAATTCATAATAATATATATAATAATATTAATATTTTAATATATATTTGATAATAATTAATAATAATATATATAATAATATTAATATATTAATATATCTATTTAATATTAATATATTTATATATTTTAATATATATATTTAATAATAATTAATAATAATATATTTAATAATATTAATATATTAATATGTATAAAACATGCTCTATCTGTTTGTACTGTTGTAAACTATTGTACTAGTCTAATAACAGGAGTTTAATCTTATTATTTATTTTATTAGCAGAAATAAGAAACTATAGTCTAATAACAGGAGTTTAATCTTATTATTTATTTTAATAGCAGAAATAATTAACCATAGTATAATAACAGGAGTTTAATCTTATTATTTATTTTATTAGCAGAAATAAGAAACTATAGTCTAATAACAGGAGTTTAATCTTATTATTTATTTTATTAGCAGAAATAAGAAACTATAGTCTAATAACAGGAGTTTAATCTTATTATTTATTTTATTAGCAGAAATAATTAACTATAGTCTAATAACAGGAGTTTAATCTTATTATTTATTTTATTAGCAGAAATAATTAACTATAGTCTAATAACAGGAGTTTAATCTTATTATTTATTTTATTAGCAGAAATAATTAACTATAGTCTAATAACAGGAGTTTAATCTTATTATTTATTTTATTAGCAGAAATAATTAACTATAGTCTAATAACAGGAGTTTAATCTTATTATTTATTTTATTAGCAGAAATAATTAACTATAGTCTAATAACAGGAGTTTAATCTTATTATTTATTTTATTAGCAGAAATAATTAACTATAGTCTAATAACAGGAGTTTAATCTTATTATTTATTTTATTAGCAGAAATAATTAACTATAGTCTAATAACAGGAGTTTAATCTTATTATTTATTTTATTAGCAGAAATAATTAACTATAGTCTAATAACAGGAGTTTAATCTTATTATTTATTTTATTAGCAGAAATAATTAACTATAGTCTAATAACAGGAGTTTAATCTTATTATTTATTTTATTAGCAGAAATAATTAACTATAGTCTAATAACAGGAGTTTATTATAAACTAAAGAGAATCTCACCCACCGGAGTCGATCTGCTGTGTAGTGTGATGATGACGCAGAGGCTAAATCAGGACCCGCCCTCCTCGGCCCCCGATTGGCTACTCCTCGATGCCGTCGTTGCTCTGATTGGTCGGAGCTGCGCTGAGCCAATCAGAGGCAGAGGAGGGCGGGCCGTCACGTCGCTCTTCCTGTGAAACAACAACAACCGTTAGCAGCGGCGGTTGTTTCCAACCGAAGGTAAGATTCAGACCGGGGCCGCTCCCCGTGCAGCTGTCGGTGGACTCACACTGCTGCTGCTGCTGCTGCTGCTGTTGTTGTTGTTGTTGTTGTTGTTGTTGTTGTTGTTGTTGTCCGCCTTCCTCGTCACGTGCCGAAGCTTGTGTTTACAAACAGCTAGCCACCGTTAGCATTAGCTAGCTCCCTGCTCAGTCAGTGTACAGCCTTTAACTCTCAGTAACTCCTATATTACATAAAATATAACATATATAACATAAAATATAACATATATTACATAAAATATAACATATATTACATAAAATATAACATATATAACATAAAATATAACATAAAATATAACATATATTACATAAAATATAACATATATTACATAAAATATAACATATATTACATAAAATATAACATATATAACATATATAACATAAAATATAACATATATTACATAAAATATAACATATATTACATAAAATATAACATATATAACATATATAACATAAAATATAACATATATTACATAAAATATAACATATATTACATAAAATATAACATATATTACATAAAATATAACATATATAACATAAATATAACATAAAATATAACATATATTACATAAAATATAACATATATTACTTAAAATATAACATATTTATACACATATATATCTGTATATATTATATCTACTCTTTAATACTTTACTGGAAACACCTGGAAATGTTTTACAATGTTAAAAGAACCTGTAAATAAACAACTGGTTCTAAACCTTTTATTTATTAAACTGATTCAATTATATATTTTATGGATATTTCATATATAAACTGTAAAATAAACCCAAATAATAAACTCAGATAAAGTGTAAAACAGGTGATTTGGATTCAGATTATTTCCTGTTTATGAAACTTTTTATACAATCTGTCTGTATTATGTATTTTAAATCATTTTTAACAATCAAACAGACTTAATAAGATTATTTTTTGATAGATTAAATGTTTTCTGCTCTGCCATCGTTAGATTAAAACATTTCAATGATAATTTACTTTTCCTCCAACAAGTTACAGGCTTTATAATCAAGAAGGTTTTATGACCCCCGGTGAAGCTTTGGCGACCCCCGGTGGGGGTTCGACCCTCAGGTTGGGAGCCGCTGAGTTAGTCGACTCAGGATTGATAATTAATATATAATAATAATAATAATAATAATAATAATTAATTAACTGTTTCAGTCATTTTTCAAGCGATAATGTCAAATATTTGTTGGTTCTTGCTTCGTTAATAAGAGCTTTGTCATTAATGCTGGTTGGACAAAATGAGACGTTCAAAGACGTCAGTTTGTCCTCTGGTTAGTGAGTTAGTTAGTGAGTTAGTGAGTTAGTTAGTTAGTTAGTGAGTTAGTTAGTGAGTGAGTGAGTTAGTTAGTTAGTGAGTTAGTTAGTGAGTGAGTGAGTGAGTTAGTGAGTGAGTTAGTGAGTGAGTTAGTGAGTGAGTGAGTGAGTTAGTTAGGTAGTTAGTGAGTGAGTTAGTGAGTTAGTGAGTGAGTGAGTGAGTTAGTGAGTTAGTGAGTGAGTGAGTTAGTTAGTTAGTTAGGTAGTGAGTTAGTGAGTGAGTGAGTTAGGTAGTGAGTTAGTTAGTTAGTTAGGTAGTGAGTTAGTTAGTGAGTTAGTTAGGTAGTTAGTGAGTGAGTGAGTGAGTGAGTGAGTGAGTTAGTTAGGTAGTTAGTGAGTTAGATAGTGAGTGAGTTAGTTAGTTAGTGAGTTAGTTAGTTAGATAGTGAGTTAGTTAGTGAGTGAGTGAGTGAGTTAGTGAGTGAGTGAGTTAGTTAGTTAGGTAGTTAGTCAGTGAGTGAGTGAGTGAGTTAGTTAGGTAGTTAGTGAGTGAGTGAGTGAGTGAGTTAGTTAGTTAGTTAGGTAGTTAGTGAGTGAGTTAGTGAGTGAGTGAGTGAATCTGTGTGTGATCGGCTCCAATAGCAGCTGATTCAGTGGTTGTTGAGATATTTCAGTCACAGACTAATGTTGAGTGTTTAATAATATGATAAAAACGTATTGCGATGTGATTCAGTATTAATGTGGGAATGATTATTATTGTGTCACAAATTCAATCACGCGTGAAAACGAGACGTTTTTGCAGTTCCGTAACAAACAAACATCTTTTCTTAAATCTGTAGAATAATATTTGTTGGTCCTCTAATCTCCACAGAACTACAGCACTTCATTATAGATAGATACTTTATTTATCCCGAGGCAAATTCAAGTACCCAGTAGAATACACAATACTAAACATACATTAAACTAAAATTAAAAACCCTAACCTTAAGAATAGAATCTAAAATAAAAGAGACAATATAAAGTATTATATAGAATTAACAGTAGCTACAGTTAACAGTGCAAATACAGGTAGAAATTGTCAATTGTGTATTATCTATTGTCCTGTATTTGACACCATTTGTCACATTTGAGGATAATATTTGGTCCCATTAGTTGATTGTGACGGTGGAAGATGACCCACAGGTTGGTCCAGTCTCTCTCTGAGGACCCGACACCGTCTTTAAATACAAGAAACAGCTCTTTCCAGCATCTCTTCCAGATGAGAAGTTCCTCCGACTGAAGCAGGTGTTAGACGGATGTTGTTAAAGACGAGGTTTCTCTGCTGCTCTCTGTACTTAGGCCTAATGAGAGGTTGTGTATGGGGGCATTACAGTGCTCACACAGCGCTGATGACACGGTTGCATGAAGCTGGACTAATCATTTTCACTTCGGTCATTACGCGACCGAACGAAAAAACCAACGTTTAACAATTACATAACACTTGTAGCACGAAGTCTGAGCTTGTTTCAGAGAGCAGATAATGAACGACTCACTTCGTTTCTATTTTAAGGGTTTTTTGTTTTTTATTGGAGTTTTCTTCAGGGAGGCACAGAGATCTTTATTTATCTGTTAGTCCCATAATTCAGTTACAGCTTATAAATTACATTTATTTTTAATTCGTATGCAAAACATTTAACAGGTTTTCTGTTCAGTGGAAGCCAAAGTATGTTTGTGAAAAGTAAAGAATAGTTAAATAATTTGAGTAATTTTCTGAGTTTATATTAATTTAATTTAATGTTAAAATATTTTATTTCAATAAAAGCAACGAAAGTTTGAGGTCTTTTTTTAAAGTTCTGTTGTAACTTCATTGCAGTTGTAAAATCAAAGTTTTCAGTTTAAAGTCTGATGATATTAAAATGTTCTTATACTCCATGACAGTAGAATAAATTACTATAAACTTATAACATATAAACTTATAGCTTATATAGCTATAATAACATACAACATTTATACATTAATTACTAACTACGTAGTACTATTCCCAACCCATGCTAACCGGTTCTTTACAATCCTATTTTGTTGTTTTTACTAGCTAAAGTTTTTCCTTCAGCATCCTGCAAATGGATCTTACCTGGTTGTGAGAAATAGCAGCTCGGTCTCTTTATTTAATATCAAACTCTTATTTTCTGTGTATTTTCGAACAATATGTTTGCGGGTTAGCCTTTGTTTTATACTAGCATAGAGACAAATCTAATAACCGTTATTTTTCTCTACTTTCGTATTTCCAAACGTTTTGTTTGACATAAACCAGAACCAGCAGAGAGCAGGACAGAGCCGCGACCGTTAGCTTAAACTAACCCGAAAGACGTTATTTAGCCTATTGAGCCTATGATAACGCTAGCAGACAATAGTATTGAGTGTTGAGTTTCCTGATGAGTTTCTGGTCTCAGTCTCTAGTTTCAGTCTTCTTCCATACAGCATGATGTTCATTTAGTAACTGATGGTCCCATTGAGAGTAAAACAGACCATAAAGCAGGGTATGCTTTCATTATAATTACCTGAATATCAGTTTATGATTAAAATGGATAGGCAGCGAGTGTCTCAAGGCTTTAACAATATAGTGTTTCACCATCTACCAGCCCCCCCCATTAGCAGCTCTGAACAGTCGGGCCTTGTTTGTTTTCTCTTGTGGGGGCTTCTATGTTTGTCCTGGCCAAGCCTTATGGGGTCTCTGATGGTTTACAGATCCGTTCTCCCTTCAAACCTTCAATATATCTTCTATTCTCTCTATAAAACCACAGCCCCCCCCCCAACCCCCCCTGCAGACAGCTCAATCCACTGCTGTAAACCCGGACCCACGTTCAGGAGGAGGTTCTGGTAGCGGAGGCAAAGTGTTGGCTGTGACTACATGCCAGGAAAATGATGCAAGAGCAGCTGTGGGAGTTATGACAGATCTCCACCAGGTCCGACACACCTCCAGCAATCAGTGACTGTTCGACTCGCTCGCTGTTCTGGGTTTAATCTTTAAAGTTACATTTTACAGAGAATTACATAAATCTGAGTGGAAAAGGCTCCATGAAACCTGTTTTCATGCGTCAGTAAAGGTTCCATATGCAAGATTCAGAAGTGTTTCGTATTGTATGAATCACTTTTAATTGTCAATGAGGATGTAATGTAACTTAAATGAGACCTCTGACTCTCGTGGTTGCCTGTGGACGGATTTATATTGTGTTTCTTTGGAGGGACGAGGGTCAGATTTTCCACAAATATCCAAAGGTTGTGGCGTTTATGACAACACTAGCTATCGTTAGCTTGGGGTTGTCTTGGCTGCGCGGTGTGGATCTGGCGTCGGTCGCTTCGTGGTGTTGGCTGATGGGCTGATTTGTAAACGGCGAGCTATTTAGTAGCATGGAGCTAACGGTCCAAATAAAACATAGGAACATTATATATTATATGGTGTAAATGTTTCTGTCCTCTGACTTTGTGTTTTTGTGTGTTTCTGGTGTCGTCTGCAGAGATGAACACGTCAGTGCGTGAAATCCACACCTCGTCGGAGCCTGACTCCTCCTACTTCCTGCGTGTGGACTGGAGGGGGCGGGGCTTGGGTTCAGGCTTCCAGTTGCTGCTGACGGATGGACGGGACGCCTGGAGAGGAGACGGTAAAAAAAAAATCTCACCCGGCGTGACCTCACAGCGCGTCATGTCACACGTTAACGTGTCCGACCTGACAGATTTATGCTCACCTGATATGTGGACGGCCTCACCTGTTCGACCACACACACACACACACACACACACACCTTTATCACTTCACCTGGAACGTTTCAGGGCGTGCCGTCGTTGACCTTTTCAACTGCTCGGACAGTTTCACTCAGAGGAAGATTTATTAGTTTATTAGATTTATTAGTTTCTAGACACCAGGACTGCAGTACGTAATAAAACTGTTCAGTACATTTAAGTATAAACTTTAGTACAAATTTTTGTCTTTTCATTTCATGCCTGCTTTCTATTTCTACTGTACTTTTACCTTTCATATAATAATAAAACACACTTCAAACTGGACAGAAATAACATAAAACTCACCAAAACCGTCTTTTTAACACTTTCCAACAATCACCAACTCTGGTTTGGTGGAAATAAATCCTTAATTCACCAAGTTACATGTGAAAATATTCACGAAACGGGCCGGCATTGCTGGAAATTAACGTCTTTGGGGACAAAAGTGCATCCACCATTTCTGCCACTGACAGACTCAGGTTGTTATTGTCAGTGTCTGACAGCATTATGGAAAGGATCCCTACAGAGATAGACCTTTAGTTTAACCACAAACAGCCGTAATATCACTATCACTCTCCACCAGACTCCAGAGACAAAAACACTAATTTTACCTTCAGATCATTGTAACTTCATTCAAAGTGGACAGAAACAGAATAAAACTCATTAAAAGCGTCTCTGTTAGTGTTTCCAACAATTACCAACTCTGGTTTGGTGGAAATAAATCCTTAATTCACTGACGTAGATGATAAAAACAGCAGTTTCAGTCGGAGCAGACCGGCTATGGAAACAAACCACAGAGAGGCTGCGATACAACACAGGCAGAGGGAGAGAGACACCATGTGACTCTGTGTCTTTATATAGAGAATATAAAGTTATCAGTCATTATCAGTGTTATTATTTCTTTGTAGTGAGCGAGGCAGCAGTGTGTGAGGAGGCAGAGGAGCTGGAGATGGAGACCCAGAGGTACATCCAGGACCTCCAGCAGGCGCTGACCGAGACAGAAAGCTCTTCGACGTACAGCTTCAGCCTGACGCCGTCGCCACCCGACCACCGCTCCGCCGTCACGCTGGCGTACGAGAAGGTTCAGAAGGACATCTCTGTGAGTGAAACTACAGTCAGCATTGTTCACGGTATCTCAGAGTGATACTGCAGCATGTATGGGCTCGACTACACTGTAAAACAAATATATAAATATTAATATTAATAATATTAGAAAAATATCCAGGGAATTTACATGTTTAATGTAAAATAACTTGAAAAATCTGTAACTGTAAAGAATCATAAAATTGCTGCTTATTTAAAGAAAATGTCCTAAAAAGAAGATAAAAAGATTTTTTGCAAATCACAGATATTTATTGTTTATTTAATAGATTAAACTGTTAAATAGAAGTTTAATAGTGTTAATATATTTAAATTTATGTAAAATTTGTGACAGCAGGAAAAAAAGAATTTGCTCTCTGACAGATATCTTTATGTTGAATAAATGTTGTTTATCAGTGTATAAGCATTGGTAAACTGTCCAAATACAGTTTTTAATCCGTGAAAATCAGTTCACCTGTATTTATAGCTAACTGCATTGTTTTTACAGTGTAAATATCTTTAATTAAACATTAAAAAGACAAAAAGGTACATAAAATTAAAGCTCAAAACTGTATTTTAATGATAAAATTACTGTATTTATTAGTTATTTTCTGTTATTTCACTGTATGTTTTTGGTGCTCAGCTGGAATATTACAGGTATTTTTTTACAGTGTTCCTGGTGTTGTAGAGTGTGTTGATTTAAACTCGGCTCTCTCCTGGCCGACGGGTCAAGAGGTTAATTTGTGAGAGTGCTGGTTGTGTTCTGACTCTGCAGCTTTATCAGTAAGTTGATTATTGACAGTAAACCATCTTCGGGGTTGTTGATGTTTCACATGACGTCGGCGCTGCTTCCTTAATCTCCCTCTGATGTGTGAAAGCTCCAGAGAAACGTACACCGAACCGAGGAAGTGATGAATAGAGTGTGAAATGTTAATATTATTTCAGAAACTTGACTCGTGGCCTTCATGTCATTGTTACTGTTACCTCACCAAAGACCTGTAGTAAAAGTATCTGAACTAATACAATAATAACCTCATGTGAGGATGCATTCCTTTATATTTCTGCTTCAGATTAACACAACTTGACCCATAACCTATAATATTAATGCTTAAACGGTTAAATAAATAGCAAAAAGTAATAACAAATTCTTTAAATTAGGTTGATGTAACTGATTAAGAGTTGAAATAGTTAGCTTAAAGTATTAAATGGTGACAATGTAACTGTAAAGAATGGATAAATGCTTTAAAATGTTAAATCTACTGTAGATTTCTTAAAGTAATGGAGAAACAGTTGAAGTAGTCCGCTAAAAGACTGGAAACATTTGTAAAGAAAAGCTAAAAGTCATAGAAAAAGCCAACAGTAATATAGATATAGCTGAAAAAGCTAAAGTTAAGTAGCCAAGTACTAGAAAAATGATTGAAATATGTTTAAAAAAACTAAAAGTAGTTTAAGAAATGGTTGAAATATGTTTAAAGTAACAGACAAATGGTTGAAATGTGCCAGTTTCTACCTCTGCCAATGTAAACGAGTCCAAACGGACCTAAACATTCACAGTTGAGCTTTATTAAACATAAATGAACACATTGAGAACAATAACGGGCGGTGCTCTAGTTCATCTGACCGGACTGTGGGGGTATATCAGAGAGGTTGGGGGTAATAATCAGTCAACAACAGCAGTGAAATCCAGCTTTTACATTAATACTATATCATATTCAATAATACAGCAGTCACAGTTTAATACTGAACTTTCACTGATGTTCCTGTGAGTATTTCTCCAGCGGTGTTTAGCAACTGACTGAATAATCCCTGTTCAGGGGTCAGTTGTGTGACTAACTCTTCGATGCCGACACAAACCTTTGTTGCCATGGTAGTTATGACAGAATGGAAATCTGTTGCAGCAGAAGGGAAATGAATCGATGCTTCTGTTCTCCATAAACGAGAGTTGGAAACAGTGGATTTGCAGAAGTGTGCTGCAATGTGTTAGCGGAGGTGTGCGAGGGGTTTCTCTTGCTCAACGTAAAAAAAAAAAAAAACCCAGTAATTCATCTGTCATAAAGTTATGAGTCATAATGAAAGGCCTCGGTCTAATGTCGGCTCGTTCCCCTCTAATCGCTGCTCAACGCTGCACAACACGCCTCACACACGTACAGGTGTTACCTGAGCTGGTTAGCATACCAAACGCGTGTGTGTGTGTATGTGTGTGTGTGTGTGTGTGTGTGTGTGTGTGTGTGTGTGTGTGGTGATGCTTCTTGTCAGCATGTTCTGCCGACGTCCAGCAGCAGTACAGAGAGAGAAATGTTTTCTGTCGCTGACTTCAACAGATTTAAAGACTTATTCTCCCAGCTGATGCTACATTGTGTAGAATAATCATCATCAGATGGTCACAGTCACAAACACTGTTTAAACTCATAAGATATGTATTTAACAACAAAGCAGAGTTTACACAGTGACACAGTGAGCAAGAGTCTGCAGCAGTGGTTCCCAACCTTTTTTCACCAACCCCTTTTCATTGAGTAAAAAGGCTAAAAGTAATAGAACAATGGTTAATGAAGCTGAACTTGGTTAAATAGTTAAGAAGAAGATACAACTTGTAGAAAAATGTATTTAAAAAATCTAAAACTTGAAGTAAAATGGTTCAAGAAGCTAAAAGTAATGGAGACGTTCTGTTTGTGTTTTCTGTCGCTGACTTCAACAGATTTAAAGACTTATTCTTCCAGCTGATGCTGCATTGTGTAGAATAATCATCATCAGATGGTCACAGTCACAAACACTGTTTAAACTCATAAGATATGTATTTCACAACAAATCCTCGAATACAACTTTATTATCCACCAGAGACAAGACGTTGTCTTTAGTGCATCAAAAACATAAAAGCAGCACAACAACATTCAGCCTATAGATCAACGAACAGTGAACAAGAGTCTGCAGCAGTGGTTCCCAACCTGAATACATTCAACACAGAACATAAACTGAACAATGAACACAAACAGTGACACAGTAACTTATTATCTTCTGTGAATATTCATCAGATCAGAGTTTTCTGATATTTTTAGGAACCTTTTATACAATCAAGTAACACAAACTCAACTTTGTGAGTTAAAAACATTGATGTTTAACTTGTAGCACGTGGTTAGCTCAGGGCAGCGGTTGGACGCCCACTGCAACGTTCAAGTGCTACAAGAAAGTAATATATTCTGATAATATTTCCATTGCTAACATTATACTGAACAACAAGCAGTCGAACTACAAATAAAGACCTGAAACCTGCTTTCTTTCTGTTTGCAACAAACTAAATTAGTTCTTTAAAATAGGTTTGTGGTTTTATTTATTTGTATCTGAAATTGATATGAAACAACTATAATCTTGCAGCCTGGATTATATTGTCTTTTTGACATCATGTTGCGGACCGGAGGGCGGGAGATTGAGGGCCGGCACTTTGAGATCCCTGGTGTAGGGTATTAGCATGCTAACATTAGCTAATTAGCATTCAACAAAGTGCAGCTGAGGCTGATGGGAATGTCGTTATTCCTGCAACCTGATGATGGCGCTTGAATGAAAAATCACCAGTCTCCAGTAGTTGTTGAGATATTCATCCATAGATCCATGAAACATACCAATAAAAGACTTCAAACATCGCAGTAGTTAGTAGTAATAGCTAGTAATGAGGGAGAGATACAATCAAGGGCCTCAGACATTGTAGTTTATGGTCGGCAGCCTGATATTTGAGTCTTTAACAGTTTCAACCAGTTGAACATGATGTACAACAGGCGCTGTTATGAAATCCTGCTTGGCACGAATAATAAGCGAGCAGAAGATGAGCAGCGTCCCCGAGAGACGATAAACAAACACCAGTGGTTACCGGAGGAATAAATAAATGAAACTTTAACAGCAATGTGAACTGAAACACTGAATAAAAAAGGACTTCCAGATGACTTACTCTGAATAAAGAGAGTCCATCCACAGTCTGTGCTGGTGGAGGATTAATGAACCTCAGGAAAGTGTCGCTGCTGCTGTCAACGTTCATAGGAACTGTTGTTTGATTCATTTATAGGAAACTAAAACTTAACATGAATCAAAACAAAACTCAAGTGCTCATTTTCAGAAAATGGAAACTAAAAGTGCAAATGTCCTAAAAAAACAACCTCCTTTCATTATTATTATTTCTCCCGTCATTATTCTGCAAAGACCCGACCTCTTATTCTGAATCCTGAGCATCGTCCAGAACGGGAGTTTGGACTCGAGTTCAACCTCAGTACCATGTATTGAGGAAGCTCCATTGTTTCACCATAAACCTGCTGTTATATTAACGACTTTAGCGTCCACTAGCTCCGTGGTAGCGCCCGCATTCACCCACACTGGCAGTAAATTTAGAAAAGGTGGAGCTGCACTCTGAGGTCTCTCCCCAAATAAAAGTGTGCGGCAGTTAATTAGTGTGAATCAGTGAGTCAGAAACAGCTTTTGAAACAGTAGCGTCTCTATGACGACATGAGAAACCTTTGCCCACATCAACAGTGCTTCTGCCAACGCGGCCCAGCCAACTCACCGGCGTCTCAGACCCAGTCAACAACATACAGCTCTGACAACAAAGATCCTCCTTAATGTGAGCACTCAGGTGGCAGCTGAGGTTTCTTGTCTGTGGTGAAATTAAGAGCTTAATACCGAGTGTGTACGATGAGGCAACAACCTGGAAAGTGTTTGCCAAGAAGAGCTTAGAAGAGGTATTTCCATTGCGAGCAGTATTTTACTCTGAAGTTTATTTACTTAACATTTCTAAGAGGTGGTGAAGTAATAGTTGGCAAATATTAGACAGGAAAACACTGGAGTGGTGGGAAGATGATGAGACTGAAACGTTTGGTTTCTATCACAGTCAGAACGCATTGATTGATGTAAATAATGTCTGTCTGTAGCTCAGTACGCCGTTCTGGTCTGAAATAACTCAATATGTACCGATAGGATGATGAATGTACCGCAACGCTGAACCCTGTAGACCAGGGCTGCCCAATGTGGGGCTTTGGCCCGCGACCGATTATTTTTGGGCGCTGCCCATGCTCGAATTGTTAATACTTTTAACTATTATTATGTGCCAGCAGTCGGAATATCTCTTTTATTATTTATTTATTGTTGCACTTTTTCTCCTGACCACAAATTAACATTGTATTACATTGGGGTTAGGGTGGCGCTGTTGAGCTCCCGTCAGCTCAAATCCGACCGGCCGTGACCACAGAGTGAGAAGATCTTCTTTGTCTTCTTCTAACGGCGTCGCTTAGAAACCAACGAAAAAGAGTGAGAAGATGCTGTGATGGAGCGCGGGAGGCAGTGGCACTGTGATAAGAGAAAGTTTAAAAAAACTTGGGAACATGAGTACTTTTTCACAGAGATTGATTCCGTGGCAGTTTGTTTGATTTGTAAGCAGAGAGTCTGTGTTTTAGAAGAATACAATATTCGTCGCCATCACGAAACGCGGCATTCCCATCAGTTCTCAAAATACACCGGAGAGGAGAGAAAGGTGAAGGCTGGAGACCTGTTAGCAAAGCTAACTTCCCAACAACGCACCCTTCTCCAGCCCTCAACTGAACAGGAAAATGCCACTCGGGCAAGTTATCATATTTGCTCCCTCGTGTCCGAAGCGGACGACCTTTCGCGGTGGGTGATTTTGTAAAACAATGTCTGACAGTTGCTGCTGACACCGTGTGCCCAAATCAGACGCAGGCTTTTTCCCACATTAGTTTGTCACGGAACACGCCGTCACCCGCCGTGTTGAGGATATGGCCGAAGACATTAGAGGCCAAATTGTCCAGAGAGCAGGTCGATTTTCTGCCTTCTCCATCGCATGTGACGAAAGCACCGATATATCGGACTCAGCTCAGCTGTTAGTCTTTCCGCGAGGAGTGAATGAGGACTTTGAAGTGTGTCAGGAACTCGCGGGCCTTGAAACACTAAAAGGGACAACAAAAGGCACAGATGTTTTTATGGCAGTGCAGCGAGTTATGGATAGGAACAGCTTGAAGCTTGAATCAGGTATCACGACAGACGGAGCCCCGGCTATGGTCGGTAAGAGAGCAGGTCTCACTGCACTTGTGTCAGACAAAGTCCGCGAGTTTGGTGGGTCGGTGTTAAAATACCATTGTATTTATTTGTACAATTATATTTCTATTACTTTAAAAATTATTGTTCAAGGCAGTGGAGACTATAATATTTTGGTCTCATAGAGGCATGTTGTTGAAGGCACAGGCCTGTATTATTATTTTTCTGCTTTCAATAAACAGCAGTGTTGATTTTCCAAATTACTTTGTATGACTGTTTATTTTGCACAGTTATATGATATATTGAGGCATATTTAATTTAATAAACTGCAATATGAATGTCTAATTTTGGCCCGTGACCCTCCACCCTGAGCCATTTTTGGCCCTCAACTGAGAAGAGTTTGGGCACCCCTGCTGTAGACGTTACTCGGCCAGCTCCCTCGTACAAAGTATTGTCTGACTGAGCGTGTTGTTGATGTTTTATATCCCTGGTGCAAAACCTTTTCTGAAACTTTGGAGAGCAACTTTTTACCCTCAGAGATCCATATATTTGAACTTTATTATGTTAATTCCTCACTACAGAGGAAGCAGTCCCGTAAACCAGCACTGTCCACTCACTCTATGGGACGTTCCTGCCGACTAATTTCTTAAATCGGGGAAAACTTGCAGCATGAAATCATTTTAAATCAGCTTAGAAATTTTAACCAATCACAGTGAGTTTGACCAGTTGAGTCTATAAATGTTGTAGTTCACTGTAACTAAAGTCCCTGTTTGTCTTACTGTCAATAAACTGAAACAACACAGTTTTATCTCCTTATCCAGTCTGTACAAACACACAGCGGTGCCCCCCCAGTAAAGGTCAGTTATTCGGGGCGCTGATGGTCCGAGAGGTCAGTGGTGATAGTCGGCACTCTGCTTCTTATCTGTGCGTAAACATGGAGGCGTCGTATTTGAGGGTAAACTTAGTTTCCGGGGGGACAGTGGGGTCAAAAAGGAAGAGCTAACACAGCCTGTAAACGTTGTATGCAGAGCAGTTATTTCCATTAACGATTAATCTGTTGATCATTTTCTCGATGAACCGATTTGTTATTTGGACCCAAAGCCAACGTCCTCTAATGTCTTGTTTTGTCCACAACTTCAGTTTATTGTCACAGAGGATTAAAGAAACTATGAAATGTTCACATCTGACAAGCTGAAATCAGAGAATTTGGAAATTTTTCTGTTAAAAAATAACTAAAAACGATTAATCGATTATCAAAATAGTTAGTGATTAATTTAAGAGTTGACAAGTAATTGACAGATCGTTGCTGCTCTTCATTAAAGCTGCGCTAACCAATGCTGAGAGGGAAATATACCAGAAATTACGATACCACCAGTGACTGTTGTTTTCCTCCAGTTCAGGTTGGGTTCTGTTTTGCTGATGGCCGTCACAGAGCCGGCGGAGGCTGTGAGGGAGTTACTGATCCACAGTCTGCAGAGGGGAAACTCACTGGAGCACCACAACCAGAAACTGGAGGAGGAAAACCAAAGACTGAGACGAGAGCAGCGACGCATCACTGCAGAGTAAACACACACACATACACACACACACACACACACACACACACACACACACACACACACACACACACAAAACTAGGACCAAGACCAGGACCAGGGATGGGGGTGATTTCCACATTGGAAAAATCCAGTTTCATAAATTCTCTCTGAAAGTTGGGGGAAATTCTGCACAGTTATTTACGTGTGAAGTTCTTTTTTAACACATTTATGACATTAAATGGTGGTTTAAAGCTCAGATTTCTACTTAAAACCCAATTGTAGTGAAAATTAGCCTGTTTCTATATATGTAATATAAATGTAACAGGGTCTATACAGTCTCAAAATAAATAATCTGAATCTTAGGCCTTAAAATGTCTTAAATATGATTATAAATTGATCGGATTAATGAAGTTACCTGTATAAATATCACCTTTACCATCCGGATACTTTGGCCTTGTGTCAAGCCCCGCCCACTTTTGGGTGTCCCTCTAATTTGATTGGCGGTAAATGTAAATTCAGAGGTCTTTACCAATTTTATACTTTACAATAAGAATACTGTATTGGTTTTTAGTTATTAGGAGCCAAAACCGTCTGTGGTGAGTCCCTCTTTAAGAGCGCCCAACGACACGGCGAAGTTAAACGTTTTAGTTCCCCTAAAATCCATCACAGGGTTGGGAGTAATTACCCAACTCATGTGACACTGCGAGCGTAACGGCTGATGTAACAGCTCATGTGAGTCAGAGGGGCCCCTGTGCGTCAACATACAGTTCACCTCCAATCATTATGTATTTATAAGGAGGGTTTAAAGGTTCCATATGTTAGATTCTGAAGCATTTTACAGATTATTTGGGTTTATTACTTACTGTCTGAGTGGATATGTTAGTTGGCTATTATAGCTTCTCCAGCTAATGTGATCCATGATACTAACTTATGTATTCTGACAAACGGTGTTGATTTTAGCCAACAATAAATGATGTAGCGGTACAAAGCAAACGATAGCTTTTTACTAGCCAAGAAAGATGTAAGGCAGGAGCATCCAGCTAGCTAAGCTAAGCTGGGGTTGGGCAACAGGACGCTGACAGCAGTTCACTGAACGGCTACTGGTGCCACTGTTAACAATAGTTTCCTGAAAGTTGCATACAGAACCTTTTGCTAAGAATAATCCTAAATATGGAGAGTTTGTAGGACGACAAACACAACATTCTGGGTCGAACCCGAGGGGCCCGAAAAGGGTAACCAATGGAAACTGTAAGGCATAAAAATACTGCAAAAGTACAATCTGTAAATGAGCATTGTTCATTTGCATAAACTTATCATTGCAGAAAGGATAAAGCTGCTGCAGCAACGTGCGACTTCCTCTCTGAAGCTCGTTGGTTCCGACTGAAGACGTAAATCTTTAAAAACACAAAGTTTCACTTAAAATAGTGCATTTGTTGGGGACTATTTTCAGCGGCGTATTAATCCACATTTGGTGCTGTAGTGAGTATTTATACAGCAGGATGGTGTGTAAATAAACTACAGTGTGTGTGATTGTGGGTTTTTAATAGTTTCTGGAACAATGGAGCTCTGTGGCACAGAGGAAGGCTGATACACACAATGCTTGTTAGTAGATACAGTCGCTGTTTTAAAGAATATCACCAGACCTTTACTTACAGTCATCAGACTATCATGTCCAGATTAATCACCTTGTATGATTGATGGCTTTATAATCCCTCACTCGATCAATCAGGGGAACATTTGTGCTCGTTTCTCGACATCCCAGAGAGGATTTTGGGTGGTCGGTGTCCAGATTTTAAGACTTGTGTGTGTGTTTGTGTATGTGTTTCAGACTGAAGCGCTATGCGGGTGGTAAAGAAGCCCTGGAGGCAGAGCTGTACTCTCGCTTTGTCCTGGTCCTGAATGAGAAGAAAGCCAAGATCCGCAGTCTGCAGGAAACCGTCACACACCTACAGGAGACGAGGTACGTTGCAGTCAGTCCTCACTAGTGTTGTCACGATACCAAAATTATTGTTTCGATACCGATACCAAGTCAAGAATTGCAATTTCGATACTTTTCCTGAAAAGTAGAAACACTCTCAAATATCATTGCTGTGCTTTATTTTAAAACCAGGACAACATTTTAATCAAATAGCACACTAATGAATGAACATGAACAAAATATGAAATATCAAAATATAAAAAATAAATTAGAGCAATGACATTCAAGGTAAAAAAATAATACATTTAGCAGCATTATCTCAGTTATCATAAGAAACATAAGAGAAAACATAACTTTATCTTGATTCTGAACTTTGAATAAAAACATGAACAGTGATTTTATTAAACAATGTAAACATTCAAAAGATTAAATATCATAATGCCCGGGGTACTTGTTGTGCTGCTCAAACATAGCTTGGAGGGTTGGCTGCTGCCTTTGAGGAGTTGCTCTTTCGGAGCCCGTGGCTCAAGACTTCTGTAGCAGAAGAAAATTACAATCTTACAATACTTACAATCTGGAACGCGGCCATTCTTAAAAGTATCGATACTAATAAATCTAGGAATCGTGACGTTTTTAATTTACGAGAATCGCGATACTTTTGAAGTACCGGTGCACCGTGCAGCACTAGTCCTCACCTTGTGTATTTAAACTGAGCTGCACTGAAATCATAAAAATATGATATTTCAATCCTGTTTTAGTCTCGTTGCTTTGTAAAGAACCAACTCTGGTTTGGTGGAAATAAATCCTTAATTCACCGACATAGATGATAAAAACAGCAGTTTCAGTCGGAGCAGACCGGCTATGGAAACAAACCACAGAGAGGCTGCGATACAACACAGGCAGAGGGAGAGAGACACCATGTGACTCTGTGTCTCTATAGTTTATGATTTATTGATAAGCTCTCTGGTCTCTGTAGGAGTTCTGATGGACAGAAGAAGGAGGATCCAGTGAAATCAGACCGATCAGCAGGTCAGGAGGAGGACGAATATGGAGGAAGTACTGACGAAGAGGCAGAGGAAGAGCAGTCGACTCCAGCCTCTCTACCCACCCGAGGTAAGATTGATAATCCAAAACACTACAGCAGCTGCTCCACTGATGGTTTGAATTCCATGTAAAAGTAAAAGTCCCCTAATTGCCACACTATTTCCAGTAATGTGTCACAATTTATTAAAAGGGGAACTTTCTCTGGAACGGTCCTTAAAGGAGACCTCCTATTATCAGTGTCGGACATATATCTGATGTTACATTGTGGGATGTTGATATTTAAGGCCAAAGTGTCAAATAATGAGATAAATGTATGTAAAAGTAATTAGCAGTTAGCTAACAGCAGCTACATTAGCAGTTAGTGGAGTTGAGGCAGAGCAGCTGGAGGACGTCAGAAGGAAAACCAGACAATATTCTCTCCATAAAATATGATCCAGTTTCACTGAAATCACTGATAAAGTTGTAGAAGTTGTTCTGGTTCAGGTTCACTCCCCAGAAACACTCCGCTCTGGCGCCGTCTATCATTTTTCCGACCCCAAATTCAGTGCCTCATGTTGCTATTGTCCAACCTAAGAAGGTTTGACGGTTATGACCACGTCTCCATTAAATGAAGTCAGTGACAGTTACACGGCTTTCGGGTGGGAACTTTAATGGATCACCTACGGTAAGTCGTTAATTCTGTCATGTTGAACGTGCAAGTCGGCATTAAATCATATGAGGCATAAAATAACAGTTGCAGGTGTTGGAAAACACCTGGCGAGGGCAAATATCAGACGCAATGGAGAGCAGAGCACCAACATAAGTTCACTACTCCTTCGTAATTAGTGCTACAAACTCATTTCTTTGTAAAGTACTTTCACTTTGTGTTGAGATATGATATTTTGGGGAGCTGTTGTCATGGGAGCTGAGTGTGTGTTTTTGCACCATCGCTGAGACTTTTTTTGTGTTTTTTGTGCCCAGAAAGCTAACCATGACATCACCGAGGAGTTATGTAACGCAGAGTGGTGGGCCTCCATTGAACTGACATCCCCAAAACACCTTTAAACACACGCAGCTTCTAACGTTGACGTTACACTTCATCAACCTCTAGACTCGCGCTCCCAGAAGGTCTGGATATGATTAATGTGCCACTGGCAGGAGGTTGGATGTGCAGCGTGTCGGTGTGTGTTACACTAAGATGGATTTGGGCAGAACATGGAGCAGTGAGGGGTATTTTAGGGGAGTTTTTTACCCTCCTCTCAGCTGTTTATGTCCCTGATTTTTCCACATTCTCACACAAGTTAAAAGCGTCCACAGCCAGGTTGAATTCGTTTGATACGTCAGAACTCTTTCAGCCTCGGTGTCCCCGCTCTCTGGGCCTTCCCCTCCGTCTGAGGAGGAAAAGCTTGCTGTTGTTTCTGTTGCCACGACAGTGACTCAGACGGCAGCGTGTTGCCATTTATGACCAACAGATAGAAGGAGGGAAGTTTAAGGAAATTAGTTTGTGTGTGTGTGTGTGTGTGTTTGTTTGTGTGGAGATGGCTGCCACTGAAAGGTCAGAGCACAACAAAACAATCGACTGTTGATGTCAAATCCCGAGATCATTCGGGTGAAGTAAGCTTCTGTATGTATAAAACCTTTTTAATGGTTCTACCTTGTAAAAAGGGAAAATCAATTTCTTTGCACTTCTTTCTTCCTTCATGCACTAACAATAAAAATATTTTATTTCCATCTCTTCTTTTTGCAAGTTTTGCAGCCACCGTAGTTTCTCCTACACACTTCACAGCCCGCTCTCATTCGCAAGTTGTCAAATACAGACGCAAGCGGTGTTCAGTTGGTTGCAATCTGAAGTGTCACCACTAGATGCCGAAAACTCTGGTTTGGTGGAAATAAATCCTTAATTCACCGATGTAGATGAAGAAAAACAGCAGTTTCAGTCGGAGCAGACCGGCTATGGAAACAAACCACAGAGAGGCTGCAATACAACACAGGCAGAGGGAGTGAGACACTATGTGACTCCATATCTTTATATAGAGAATATAATGTTAGCTGATATAGTAATGTTTATAATCTCACATATATAATCTTTTTAAAGAGAAAAGAAACACCTTTCTACTTTCTTATGTTTTTACTTGCTTCTGCTGTTGGGTCATTGAGTTTAACAGGCAGCTTTTACAGACTGCTTTAGAGTCAGTATATCCACAGAAAAACAGGACAGACGATGTGGAAACCAGTCACCAAACTGAACGGAGAAAAGTATATCAGCGGCGATTAATGCAAGAAAATGAAGAAACACGTAATTTTTGAGGATGTCTCTATATTTTCCAGCAGCGTCTTCCCGTTGCTGGCTTCAGTCGCAGTGTTCCTCTGCTCTTTGATCCCTGGAGAACGTGCTGATTTGCTGGTGGAGAGCCATCATCTGCCCCTCTGTTGTTCCACACACTTGTTATCCTCACGTTTAAGGACAGAGGCAGAGAGGAGAGGCGATGAAAGCAGAGTCAGACAGCTGAAAGAGGGGAGACACGAGCAGATGTTGGCGAGATGCCGGCCGCCGTCTCTGGCGCTCAAACAGAACAAGAATGACATGTAGGAAAAAATCCCTTCAAAACTGCTGTGAGTTACGTAATTATCCCAAATGTTAGACATTAAACTGGATATCTCCTTTACTGCTCACCTGGATGTGCATCATTTCAACCACAACAATGACTATGTTCAACAGTTAAAGTCAGAATTTAACCATATAAACGAAACCTCTCGCCGGCAGATGTTTCTTTACATTGTCCTGATAAATCAGTCTCAGTCTGACTCAATTTGAATACCCTTTTTCAATTATTATGGTTTATTGACTTACATAACCTTTTTAGCTGACGTTTTACAGATTTTATGGATTTGAGTCATTTCAAGATACTCCAAGAAAGATAAAAATGCCAATGTGGGTTAAAACACTGATTTTACACATAAAGAGTATCGAAACAGTTGTATAATGTCTGTTTAAACTTAAGAAGACGTACATTTTAATACATTGGAGCTGCATTTTAGACTCAAGGAAGCTCAGTTATTGGTGCGAATGTTCAGACGTAATATTTCTTCAAATGTCATTTTGTCATTGACTTGTGTCACCTGTGCTGTGGTTGTGCATAAGAATATAGAAACCCTCAAAATGATCAAAATCAGCCCACTGGGAGTTGACATGTGGCCACTTCTGGTTTAAACAGTCATTGGAAATGGATTCAACATCCTCAAAAACCCCAAAAAAGTCTCCAAATCAGCCAAGCAGTAGCATAATATTGTCCATATAGGTGATTAATGCTAATTAATGCTAATTATACTGATTGCCCAACATATACAAGTTAGCATCTGGCAGTTTCTACATGCTGGGGACTTTTGCGGTTTGAAGAGCGATCAGATGTGGTAGTTTTAAATTAAAACGTAAACACAGTGAAACAGAGATAATACCAATAATGATTCTTCCTCATCGCTACTTTTATTTTGGTAAGTATGTTCTTTTTTTGGCTGAAGCAGAAACTTCCTCCCTCGTCTCTCATCAGACCGCCGCTATAGTGTCATTAAAATGCATTTATACTCTCTCACTTTGAGTTTTACGCTGACTGACTCGTGTCCTCCTCAGAGTCCTCGACCGCGAGCCCACTGGACGACAGCCTGAGGGACATCACGGATGTGGCCCCCTGCCGCAAGCGCCGCTTTCGTCACCTCGGGGCCCCCGACCCCGCGGTCAAAAGGTCGACCCCACAGAGCTCCCAGGGAAAGAGGTACAGCCCAAACAATGTCATTCACAGCTTTAACGTCGTTTGTTCTGCCGACGTGTGGAAAGTGTTTGTGGTTTCAGTCGTCTTTACTGGCTCTACAGCTCGTAAACTGTTCGTATGTTAATCCTCAAGTTTGTTCATCCAGCCGGGGTGGGACACCTCCAACCAAAAATAGCACTCAAAAACACACATTTAATCTATTTAAATATACTTTATTGTCACAAGTTGAGGTTAAAATGCACCTCCCTTCTATTATATTATCCACCTCCTCCCACTTTCCTCACTCTCTTCTCCCACCCTTGAATGGGAAAATCAAACATCATAAAAGCTCCCTGTCAGGGATCTTCTTTACATTGGGTAATTACACCCAATCTGCAGCGGCTCTCTTTGGACCTGAGCATTCAGAGGGCTGGAGGTCGTATGGGAAGAGCACACAAGACTGAAGTGGCCGCAAAGCTCATCTCGTTCGTAAACCTGCTGATTGAGACCACAACACAATCAGTGAATATGTGAAGGAATGTGGGTAGTGTGTGTTTCACCGGGGACACCAACACACAAAACACAACCGGTTGTTTCCAGCTTTTATTTCTTCAACAGAAACTAATGAAAGATATGAATTAACTTTAAAGATGTATTTGTACTTTGTTATTTCTGACCTCCGCCCGGTGCTGTGCTGCAGAACTGATCCAATCAGTGCTGCTACAACAACCTTTACACACAGTGACCTTTGAGCCCTGATTGAAAACAGTGAGTGAGGGACTGTGTGTCGCTCTGAAGAAGCCAGTTTTCATTAATAAGACATATTTACAACGCTGCATAGCTCAGAGGAGAGAAGATGAAGAGCAGCAGCAGCGTTGTGACCTTGTTCCAGTGTCCGAGCTCTTCCAGCAGCAGTTTCCACTCCCCCCCCCTCCTGTTACGTCCAGCTGGACACCTGTAGGGCGTTATCGCGTTTACAACATTCCTCTGAGAGCGAATATCAAATTCAGCTCTCTCAAGAGTTTATTGGCGATAAAAGAGCAGCGTTGTCCTTCAGGTTTATGATTTCTGCTGCTGGTCTTTTTCTATCTGTTTTATCTCTTTAACCACACAAACACATGCTGCTTGGCTTCAGGCGGACCAGCTGGTGATGAGCAGCCTGGTGGAGTCGGCCTCAGGAGACAAGACCTTTTCCACCGCGGACTTTATGTGAACACACAGCTCCACTAATGAGTGTGTGGAAAACATCAGGAGGCTGCATCAGGTCCACACGTTTGTATTCACATCAGCAACTGTGGTGAGAGCAATGTTAAAGGGTTGGTTCACCAAATTACAGAAAATAAATCTCTATGCAGATTGTTTTTATTTTAATCCACGAAGATGCTGTGAAGAGGCTTCACTAGAACTGCTTTCCAGTGAGGAAATAGTCCCTATGTAATCTGTTGTGTGTCCTGTGGTTTATCCAGAGCAAAGGAGAGACATATTTATTAAAACATTTCTTTTTAAATGTGTTTTTTGAATTATTTCAGCACCACAAATTACAAAATATTCCTCATTTTTATTTGGTTGGAGGAAAAGATCTGGTTACGGTTTCGCTTGAGGACTGTCAGCGTCACATGCCTGCCGAACAGTTGAAGGCATCAGTAGGCAGATTTTTGGAGATTACAGATTACTTATCTACTTTTACTGTAACACGACAAAACTTAACTGTTTTGTTATTATTCTTTTACCTTCATTAAGTTTTGACAAAACAGCAACTTTATTACTGATGTAATAAATGCAAAACATTAATGAGAGAAACACTAAATATTTGAAGCAGGCTGACCTCCCTCCAGTATAAACACGCCTCATGAATATTAATGCAACCATAACTTCATTTTAATCTACAGAAACCTTGCTTGCAATTATTTTTTTAATATCACAAGTTCATTATTTTGATATCTCAAGAAAACTTTAACTTGTGTCTTAAAGATAATAATCAGAAAACAAAGCTTGTTTTCTTGTGACAACTTGAAATCTCTGGATCATTTATTTCGTTATCTTGAGAAAACAAAAGGCTGATTTCTCGTGATAATTATGGAAAAACTCAGTGTTCCGTTGCAGAAACGTTGAACAATAACGGGAACTCGCATACAGTTTTATTATCACCAATTATCCCCCAGACCAGTTTTTATGTGTGTGTGGTGATTCAAGGTTGGAGAAATCTCACAGATTGATGTCTCAAAACTTAGATACCACCAGAGTTCAGTGAGAAAATGAACCAACCCTTTAATTTGTTGGATATTGGTGAATGCCATTATTCTGGGGTGCAGCGGGGGGATTTCTAAGGGAGGTCTAGGACATGAACTGAGGAGCCAAAGTCAGTCAAAGAAACAATTATGCAACTTTCTTCTTTTCTACAGTTTCTCTTTCTCCTCCTCACACTCCTCTCCGCTGTGTCTATAGTCTCAGTATCTACACTCAAAGTCAGAGCGGTCCACATCCAACACCCTCACAATGCTCGGGTTCCCGTATCTCCTGTGTGCCAGTTTCTCTTTGGATAATATTCCAAAGACACGTCTCAATCTGACGTTGTTTCTGGAGCCTTCCAACAGAGGCTGAATATACTGTGTCCAAGCTCCTCCGAATGCCAGCCCCCTGTGAGCTGTGCCACATGCAGATGGCCGTAAGGGATGCCATCCATCCCCAGCTGCTGTCAGTAGTTGGTAGTAGTGCCCATTACCGAGGCTTATTACCAGCTCCGACGGCTACAACAAGAAGCAGCAGTGAGCCGATGAGCAGCTGTGGCTGGCTGGATGTTTGATCGCTGCAGAAGCTGACACCCCCCCCCCCCCCCCCACCACCACCAACCTCTGAGCTGGCAAACAGCGGCCGCAGAAGAGAGGCCTTTGTCTGGCTGTTAACGTGGGGGGTTCGGGGCCGTTGGCAGTCCTACACTACTCATACCGTCTACCTTCCTCTGTTACCTCCATGTTTTTCTGTCCTCACACAGAGAGGAGGAGGAGAAGATGAAGGGAGTGAGAGAAGAGAATTAAATGAAAGCCACATGAACAGAAGACAAGGATGACTAATTAAAGGAGTTGCTCAACATTTTGGGAAATGAGCTTATTTGTTTGTTTTGAGAGTCAGATGAGACGATTGAGTGTGGGCCACTGTCAGCTCAACGTTTGATCGGCGATATATTCACATTCGTTCCTCATTAACCAGAAGAATTCAACCTTCTGAATATAAGTTTCTCTCTTTTATCAAACTGAAAGAGTTAGATGTGAAAGTTTTCTGACTCTACACGCTGTTGCTGTCTCTCTGATGCCCGTCCCCGTCGTGTCTCCATCGCCTCTGGAGCGGCTGTAAATCACCTTGTTACTGTATTCCCCGTCGTCAGACTGGTCCAAATAAACTCTTAATTCACAGAGTTGGATGTGGAAATATTCTGGCTCTACAGCTGATTTTCCTCACACTCTGGCTCGTGTACTGAGCTGCTGAACGTCTGTTACCGAGCAGCAACTCTCGTTCTTAGCAGGCAAATCAAAAAAAACTTTTTATTCGTACAGGAGCCGACCCTAAGATAGAGTCAGGTTGGGGTTAGCGTAGCTGAGCATAAAGACTGCAAGCATTGGTAGCACAGCTACACAGCTAGCCTGGCTCTGTCCAAAGTTTAAAAATACTAAAAATATTTTTAAAAATCTTGTTTTTTTAATCTGTACACAAACAGTCAGTACAGTGACTCTGTGCAGCTTCCTGAAGTCTTGTCGTCACTGTGAGGTTGATTTGTTTCATCGTACCTGTGCAGAGACCAGAAACAACACCTGTGCTCACCGGCCAAATCTGGGAACATATAAATGTGCGATATTGGGAGCAGCTGCTGGTTCTACTGGTTCTACTGGTTCTGCATTTCAGATATTTTATTTAAATCATTAGTTACTGAACAAAAGTTACATAAGCTGATGATTATGTAATATACGAGAAATCATGATTCATCATGATCATAATACTTAAAGAGCTTTAGAGGTGTTGGTAGGTGTATTTCTGAACTGTGGACAGCTAGCTGTTTCTCACTACTTCCAGTCTTTGAACTAAGCTAAGCTCACCACTCCAGCTCCATAGACATGGGGTTGTCTTGTCCTCTCACTCTCAAAAGAAAAGCTGTAATGTGTGTTTCCCAAGATGTTGGACTGTTTAGCAGAAGCCTCTTTATGTTCCTTCCTTAGAAAATATAGTTTTGAGTTGTATTAAACAGCTGGTTGCTCTGATCTGAAATCTAATTTTTGACTCCTTGTACTTCCCATTAACATTTCCTTCAGATGTAAGTGTTTGTGTACTCAAAGGACTGTTTTTCCCACGAAAAGAAACTTACAGTGAAACCCTCTCTTCCTCTCTCACACACTGGCCGGTTCTGTAAGCTATCAAACATCGCTCCTAGCCATCACAGATAATCACTACAAGACCAGGGACTGCTCGAGCCTTGTTGTGTATTACAGAGTTTTTATGGTTGGAGCCGTGTCCCTCTAACATGATCTTAACTCAGCTGGAAAATCTAAAACATTTGTATAACATATGAATGTTACAGTGAACAAAAGGGTCTAAAAGATAAATCTGAGAGGTTATAAGATGGAGAAAACCCTATTTATGCTTTAGAAATGATGTATTTTATGATGTTTCTCTTTTGTAAACATGAAATATTGGATGATTTTACTTCTTCAGGTTTCTAAAAATTAGCTTATTATCAGTTCTTCTCACAATTGGAAGTTAAAAGACAGATTTTATGCATATAGTGGCTTGTTCCTTATACTTTCACTTTGATTACAGTATCGCAATATACTGAATTGATACGTACCGCCAAATTCCTGCCAATACACAGCCCTACTTTCATACTGACGGCACAGACATTAGCTGTAGCTAGCTGGCCGTGTTCAAACTGTCTTTGCATTGACTTTACATGCAGTCACTTCACCTCTACATTGGTTCAGTCTGAAGGAAAACTATCTAGACAGAGAGAGAGACAATATCTGCACTTAACATGTTTTTTTTGTTATAATTTGATGCACTGAACCTTGAAGTGACACAACTTTGGTTTTAATTTCTTTCATTTAGACAAAACTAATCCGTCTGCCCGGCTCTGAACCTCTGTTTAGTTTCTTAAGCTACAAACTTGCACATAATTGGTGTGCATGCTGCAGCTCTGGTATGCCACCAGACCAGCTCTGTGTGGGGGCTCCTGTGTGTCCAATGCCTGAGCTTAACCTCACCTCTCAGGGTTGAAACCGCTCTCGTCACGTCCCCCCCTCCTCCATGTGTTCAAGTCTCCGGTGGTCCTCTCCGTGGCAGCGTGGAACAGCTCCCCTCTGCAGTGAACACGTCTCTTGTTTCCTCTTAACTGGTTCCAGCAGTGTTTGTCATACAGTTGGTAATGATTTAAACAAGCTCAGGGCCTCCCCTCTTCTCCTTTCTCACACCGCTCTTTTCTTCTTGTTCCCGTTCGGCTAATCATCGGCACAGCGGAGCCGGATCGGAGGGAGAAAGTCGGCAATCTTGCGTTCTCGTGTCCTGAAAGTTCTTCAAAAAGCAGCTTAAAGCTCGAAATGCTTTTGTGGATTGTTGGTTGTCCTCAGGTCAGATTGTCATTCACTCGTACAGTACGGTTGGAGGTGCTCCATGTTGGATGGTCGCAAAGTTCAGTTATTTGTCTCTACAGAGGTTATATTTCATTGACCATACGCAACCCACCCATTGTTTTGTCGGCTTTTGTCTCTAAACTTTGGGAAAACATCCACACCTATGAGGCTATTAACACCTCGTTTAGATCTATAATGCGTAAGATTTCTGCATTAAAATGTCTGTGAACTCTTTTGTTCTGTATGTTGTTGAGTTGTGAACGTGGGATGGAGAGAAGATGAAGCCAGGTGAATCAGCAAGTGAGAGCTGCACCAGTAAAACAACAGCACAGGCAGAAAACAAGAGCTCAAATTAAATCTATAATGTGTAACATTACTGCGTTAAACAGTGTATAAACTCTGGCTCTATGTTCTATATGTAGTTGAGTTCTTCCATTATCCCAAATGTTTCCAACAATGTTCAAACTCAGAGAAATCTGTCATTTTATTCAGGTAACGCTGCGTTTCACCGGTCGCCTGTCGATGGCGTCATATCCCCTTTGTGCCTGCGTCAGCGTTGTGGTTGTCTGCCAGAAGCTGTCATACATTGACTGTTGATCCAGTCTGAAGCCACATTGTTACCATCCACTGTTTAGATCTTGGTGCTTTTTAACTCTAGATTTGAACCGGATGAAGGATTTTAGTCATCGGACGTCTGGATCTTAAGTTATCAGAGAAACAAGCTGAGCTAACGTTAGCAGCAGCTCGGCTCGCAGCCCCTCCGGGACGTCCTTTGTCTGTCCAACAGCGTGGGAGAAGCAGTGATTGTTAAGGTGGAACTGCTTTATTCAGTGTGTTTAAGGTGGAACTGCTTTATTCAGTGTGTTTAGTGGTTTTAATCAGCGGGTCTGTTTGTGTTGGAGAGGAGGAGACCTCTGTGGATCATTGGGCTCCCGGTAGAAACCTCCTGAACCATGAACACTGAAGGAATCCTAACCGGGAGAAGCTGACTGCAATGACGCCAATGGTGGTGAAGACAACAACTCCCATGATCCCACACTGCTAACCACCTCATCACACTGCAACTTATTATTAGAAATTACAGAGAAATCTTAGAAGTTCTGTATATACAAAAGGGAATTATGTCCAGGTTTATTTGCATGTAGAGCCGAGGAGTGACGTACCTGACAGGCTGCTGGCTTCAGACTCTTCATAAGAAACTCAACAGTTCCTCTAAAGCAGCCCCCCCGAGGAGTCCTGTTGGCCTACATTTGTGCCTTCCTTCTCAGTTTCTCTCCCTTGATCCCCTCTTGCCCTCTTTATTCCGCTACCTGCTGTGCATCCTTGATCCTTCCTTCATCCTCTGTGCGTCTGAAATTGTGCTTCCTGAACCCTGAACGTCACACGGCGTTACATTCAAGGGAAGGCAGAATATATGAGCTTCTGGAGGAGAACATGAGCCTGTACGTGGTAAAACACATAGGTAGTCAAGTCCAGCATTTGATGTAGACCACTTAAGGTGGGGGAGCTGCTGGGCCACAATTAGACACACACACACACACACACACACACACACACACACCTACCTACGTACACACAGGTATAAAAGTGGCCCATGTGTTTCTAGTCTTGCTCCCTATGGGCCACATGATACACTTCCCGTCTCAACAGGAAAACTCTGCTGTAAACCAGCTTCATTAGCCCACTGACCTGTGTGTGTGTGTGTGTGTGTGTGTGTGTGTGTGTGTGTGTGTGTGTGTGTGCAGGACCGACCCCCCTGCAGGATCCAGTAAGCCGCGGACTCCCCAGCGCCCTACAGATGTTGCAGCAGCAAGTTCAACAGCAGATGAGGACCTGTTTGAAGACTTCTGACCCTGTTAGATAGAAACACTGATTTATATCCATGAAGATGTCGTGTTTTTGTTCTAATTTAAGAGACAGAAACTGTTCCTGTAACAACAGGAGAGAAAAACTGCTTCATGTTCTCTTCATGTTCTCTGGGTTTGTGTAACTCTACTGTAGGTCTTCAACCAGCTAAAGGAAACATACAATCTCTGGAGGATTCTTGAGTAACACTAGAACCACAGAAATAAACTCTAAAACCTCCTAAATGATCTAGAACCATCCTTAGGACCGCTTGAGGTAACACTAGCACATCTTAAAAAGCCCAAAACTACCTAAAACGGCTATAATCTCCTAAAAGACTGCAAGATCCACCTAAAGGAACCCAGGACATCCTAAATGATCATTAGAACAAACAAAAAATTCCTAAAGGATGTCTAGAACCACCTGAAACAATTGTAGAACCTCCCAGAGGATGTCTAGAACCAACTATAGACACCAAAGAACATCCTCAATGATCATTACAACAAACTAAGAATACTAAAGGACGTCGAAAACTACCTGAATTAGCTCCTTGAACATCTGAAAGTATTTCTAGAACCAATAAACATCCGAAATGATTGTTAGAACCAATTAAAAATCCTGAAGGAACCCTAGAACCACCTAACTAACAATCTGGTACCACAGTGAGGTTCACTGAGAACTGTTTGCCTTTTTAAATGTTCCTCTGAGATTAGTTGTGATTTTTTACAGATTTACAAATGTGGCATTTTTAATATTTGTACCAATAAAAAGTGTAAACGTGTTATTTTCTCAAACAAGGTTGTTTGTGTTGTTTTTATCTATTAAAACTAAAGGAAAGTCTGTGTTACATCAGTTTTAACCTCACTGGTTTTAAAGGTGGGGATGGTGTAAGTTGCATTATGGGAAATGTAGGCGAGGTGTTTTTGAGCTGTATTAAGTATAATCATATTTTGAGGATTCTTGTTTTTTAATCCGTCTCTCGCGGGTCGTCCCCCGCCTTTATGGACGAGTGATAATAAATCTCCGGGGTGGCCCTTTAATGCCTCTCTCTCTCCTCCTCTCTGTCAGTGCCTCTCCCATTCTTTCACTCACCCTCCTCCTTTTCTTTCTCTTTCAGTCTCTTTCTCAGGCTTTCCCCAGTCTCACTTCCTCCCTCCTCTCTCTCTCTCTCTCTCTGCACTGGGCGGTGTATTATGGGGACAGAGGAGTGGGCGTGTCCTCGTCCTAATATGTGGATAATAGCGGGTGTAAAGTGGATTTGAACTTGCAGCCAGCGCTGAGAGGTGGAAGAGGTCCGACCAGCAGACATCTGCTGCTGCACAGAGTCAGAGCTCGTTCGGGAGTTTCTGTTGGAAAAGTTTAAAGTCAGAAACACAAGTGGATTTTTTTGGGGACTTTCAGGTTTTACAAGGTAAGATTGACATTGTTTTAAACCAGTTTCTTCAGATTAGTGCACAGAAATGTCTTTAAAAGGTGCTGTTTGAGGCAGATGTGATAGTTTTAGGGGCAGTTGATGCTGTGTGTGATGGGCAGGAATGTTCCCACACTGATAATGAGAAGAGACCAATTAGCTCCATTTACATCCTCTGACAGCTTTTAACTGCTTGATCTCTTGATAAGTTTTATCACCACAGCAGCTCTAATCTGCTGCTGCTTCCAGCTGTGATCACACATCTGCCTCTGCACCAGATCTGTCACTCATCACTGTTTCTACAAATACACTGTAAAACAACAGACCTTAATAAAAGTAGTTAACAGAAATTAATCATAAGTCACTAATTCACATGAATTAAACTCAAAAATTAACTGTTGAAGCAACTGTACTTAAAGTTGTTCAGTATTTTAAATATTGGAGATATAATTACAGTTGAAGACTTGAGAAAATACAGTAAATTAATTGGCTGCACATTCTGATAATTATAAATAGTTTTTAATTGTCCACTGAAGCTAAAACATTTGTATAAAGAGGATTTAAGTGACTTTATTCGCATAAATTCTGTCCACACATTTTAAATAAGTTTGGAGAAATTCTGAATATGAGTTTAACATCAATTAAGTGAATGGAATTAATACAATTAACTTGATTTACTGAAGTTACCTTTTAATAACTACTTGAGTATCTTCTACTCATTTCAAACATCTTTCATACTTCAATTGTTTGAGTTGATACACTTAACTGAAGGAGATCGTATACACTGTAAAACCTGATGAATTAGTTCAACTCAAACACTTTAAGCATGAAAACAAGTATGAATTGAGTAAAAGGTACTCAAGTATTTAGGTAACTTAATGTACCTGAGTTACCATGGGTAACTGTTTACTTTTACAGTACAAATAAAAATTTCAAAATGAAGTCACTTAAAATTACTAAAGCAACTTTATCAAGAATGTTTTTTAACCTACAAAATAGAGTTTGTGTAACTTAAAATGTTCTAAATATCTTCATTTGGGGGCTTTTCCAAGCAAATATTGATATATGTGATTGATTATTGCTGCCACCCTCTGGCCACCCCATGAATCTTCCTCTAGCTCCGCCCCTGCAACCATCCACAACCCCAAAGATATTCACTGTAATGTTATATTAACTCAAAGCATTGTTTACATCAAACAAACCCAATTTTATGAGTTCAATATTTTGTCTTTGGGGTTTAGATGGTTACAGGGGCGGCAGCAATAATCAATCACATATATCAATATTCAAAATCTTTTTTCATTGAACTGAAGCCGATCACTAAGTGTTACTGTGGTGACATCCATCTTAGATCAGATATTTGTTGCCACTCTGGACTCCTTGAGTTTCACATATCTTCATATTTCAGAGCATCAACTTTTTATTGATTAATGAAGGAAATGATCAGCAGATTAAACAATAATTATATATAAGATTCTTTCTTTTAAGATCCCCTCCAGAAATGTATTAAGAACAATAATAAAAGTGTAATTTCCACATTCAAATCCTTAAAAAGTCGTTGACTCCGACTACCGACTGGACCAGGACCGACTTCCTGAACTATCTGTGATGTCATAAATCCTGCTCGTAGGCCCCGCCCCTTAAAATCAGACGATCAATGAGCTCAGAGAAACTTTCCACTTTCAACAGATGAACTTCAAACATCACAATGATCCTCGCTGGTCTTTGTTAGTAGACATTTAAAAATAATAATATTTAATAATAAAATAAACAGAAATTTTACAGATTATTTGTTTTTTACAGTTTTACCATCAGCTGATATTTGTTTATGTTTTACAGATTGTGTTGAGATGACTTCACACATCTTCACGCTCCTGCTCTGCCTGGTGTGTTTGTGTTCAGCTCGTCCTCAACCAGGTGAGTCAATCTCTCTCTCTCTCTCTCTCTCTCTCTCTCTCTGATTACACACAGACACATCTAAATATCACAATACTTTAATCACTGGGCTCAATAACCATAGATTGTGACTTTATTATATATATATAGTTATGAGATTGTCACTTTAAAGCTCCTCAAGGAACTTTAATTTTGTGTTGACTCTGGCGCCCCCTGTGGACAAAAGCGGTAGTGTTTCTACCGCCTTGTTTCATTGATTTCAAGGGGAATCCGACCCAGTGGCATTAAGCATATAGAAATATATGTGTTGTTTGTTTATGTAGATCATATAGAGGCATCAGTATTAAATAAGCTGATAAAGCATTATAATAAATCTTGTTCTACAGATATCACAACATGATCTTTCCACATATTCTGCAGCTCCAGTATTAAACACAGTGTGTCATTTCTACCACTAGGGGCTTTTCAATCATTAAAACAATAACAGAAGAAGTTTAATGAGGTGGTGAAGCAGCGTGGGATCATGGGAGTTGTTGTCTTCACCACCATTGGCGTCATTGCAGTCAGCTTCTCCTGGTTAGGATTCCTTCAGTGTTCAAGGTTCAGGAGTGATTCCTCCTCTCCAAAACAAATGGACCCGCTGATTAAATACACTAAAAACACTAAATAAAGCAGTTCCGCCTTAAATATGACTTAACTTCTTGTTGTTTTGCTGGAGCAGCTCTCGCTTACTCATTCCCTGGGCTTCTTCATCCTCTCTCCATCCAACTTAATGCAGAGATGTTACAGATTATAGCTTTAACCTTGTAGTACAGTCGCACTCATGCAGGATCCTGTTTTCCAGAGTCGGCGCACTCAGTGAGGATGAAGACGAACTCTCCTGCGACCGGCCCTCTGGCAGGCAGGGTGGTGCTGCCGTGTCACTTCATAATGCCGGTTTCTACCAGCACCTCCACGCACACTCCCTCACTCTCCACGCCTTCACCTGGACGCCTCCTCCCCGGTGACTCTTCCCACGCCACCCCGAGCCCTGCGGAGGAGCTGAGGATCAAGTGGACCAAGCTGGAGGGAGACGGGGAGAAGGTGGTGCTGGTGGCCCAGGCCGGGGTGGTCAAAGTGGGGCAGGACTACATGAGCAGGGTGTCGGTGGCCAGCTACCCTCTGTCAGTCGGGGACGCCTCTCTGATGATAGTGCGGCTCAGGGCGAGCGACGCGGGGCTTTACCGCTGTGAGGTCATGCACGGGATGGAGGATACCCAAGACACCGTCAGCCTCAACGTCACTGGTGAGTAAAACCAACGCATCCTGCCAAAGTCTGCGCTTTTATGGGTCGAATTAACAGTTAATATCGAGAGTCTACAAAACGTGTTCGGTGACTGAATCCAGATGTGTAAATTTGGCAGAGATGTCGCAGCTGTTTGCGAAGCAGAAGGTGAATTAATTCACATTATTTACTTAGTATTTAAGACCAGAAACTGCTTCTTCTTTTGTTTCGTTAATCAAAATTAGTCCCATTTCTGGAGGCTGCAACTTGTTCCAGAACTCATGAAACTTGGCGGCTGATGTACGATGTACGTATTCTGTGGGTGTCGCACATTGGCTGGTAAAAAGGCTCGACAGCGCCCCCTAAAGAGCAGCCCCACGGGCACGTTTCAGAGATATGCATGAAAATCAGTACACATGCACGTCATGTCCAGATGTACAAAAAAGCCTCTTGGACCCGTACAACAGGAAGTCAGCCATTTTGAATTTAGCGGCCATTTTTTGTGTTTTTCACACACAAACTCTTCGTATGGAATTGGTGTTTTTTTATTTAATTTAATACAATACTGTTAAAATACTACTTAATGTTTAATGAATGTATTTTTAAACAAGTTTTGCATTTCCTGTAATATTTAGTTTCTATATCAGCCGGCTACGTAGTCACGTTCATACATCCGTGATTAGTCCAGAGCTAAAATGTGCTGGTAAGATAGTGATGGGAGGTCAAATGAACGGTTCAAAAACTCTGGATTTGTGAACCAGGAGGACCCTTTTACACCTAATTATCTCTGGTTCTTTAACCGGTCCGTCAACAATTAATAATCTGATCAGGAATAAACCTGCCTCCTGTGTAATCTGTTACAGTATAAACAGTAGCTTGGATATTAAAGTCGCAGCTACTTCATGTATTAAAGTGAAGTGAATTATTTCTGGGGGCAGTTCATCTGGGGGAAACCCCAGAGAGCCGTGTGGAAGAATATCGGACAACCGATCCAACCCTCGTTCCCAGACATTTACACAGATTCCACATTAATACTGAACAGGACTCTTTGTTGAGCAGCTCCGGACAAAGACGCTCCCTATGAGTGACACACAACTCTCCATTTAACAGCTCAGTCATCTATTCACGTCCTCCTGCAGCTCTGCCAGGATATAATCCTCCCATCCAGCTGGAAATAAAGGACCTAATGACACAACACAACAGTTACATATAGTCAGAGGATGACAGCTGAAATAGATAACTGGCTTGTGTTTCTCTGTACCGACATGAGTTGATCTGGAGTTCAGGAGAGAATCTTTAGTGTAATAATGCCAACAGGAAACGGTCTCCAGGTAGAACAGGTGTCCAATATTTCTTCTGTGTTCATTATCGTAGCAGCCAAAGATTAACAGCAGCTATGTGCACTAGTTTTTAAACCATTTGAGATAATAGAAAATCTGCCTGAAAATCTGGACAACATTTGGTAAAAACATGATAATTTACCAAGAATAAAATCACCTTATAGTGTTTTACATCCTTTATATTTTGTATTTAATTGTTCTCAAACTGAACCAGAAATGTTTGTTGTTTAGGATGATAACGTGATGTAAGTTGGTCAAAGTGCGTCCACTAACAGTAGTTGTTGTTTGTTCCACTAACAGTAGTTGTTTCTGCCACTGACAGACTCAGGTTGTTATTGTCAGTGTCTGACAGCATTATGGAAAGGATCCCTACAGAGATAGACCTTTAGTTTAACCACAAACAGCCGTAATATCACTATCACTCTCCACCAGACTCCAGAGACACAAACACTCATTTTACCTTCAGACCATCGTATGAAGATGTCGTGAAAAGAAGAGCTTGAAATGAGACTCTGTGTCTAACGTTGTCCCTCCAGGTGTGGTGTTCCACTACAGAGCTTCAACAAGCCGGTACACTCTGGACTTTCCTACAGCCATGGAGGAGTGTCGTGCTGCAGGTGCCACCATCGCTACACCTGAACAGCTGACGGCCGCTTTTGAGGACGGCCTCGACCAATGTGACGCAGGCTGGCTCGCCGACCAGTCGGTCAGGTGTGTGTAACACATCTCCACATTATCACATCTTATTTATCTGAGTTAGATTTTTAATGTAAATGTAAATCAACTTGTATTTTCTGAAATCAAGATCCATTTTTCTTGATTGTAGTGCAGCAACAAACAAATTTAAATTAAATTCTGTGTTCATGCCTTTATTGTTTCTTCAGATATCCAATCACACTGCCCCGTCCTGGCTGCGCAGGCAATCTGCTGAGTCGACCGGGAGTGAGGACGTACGGCATCCGCGACCCCACCGAGAAATACGACGTGTACTGCTACGTAGATAAACTAGACGGTAAACACGAAAGTACAAATACATTTAATGGGATCGATGTCAACCTCATTTCTGTGTGTTCATTACAGAGCTGGAGTCACACCTGCAGATGATTGATTGATTGATTGATTGATTAATGACGCCGTACTTCATGGAGTAAAAAAGTTCCCGTACTGAACCTTTAACCTTGTATAACTGTCTGTCTGCAGGCGAGGTCTTCTACCCTCCGTCCCTCAGAGATAAACTCACCTTCCAGGAGGCCAGAGAGGAGTGCGAGAAGCACGAAGCCGTGTTGGCGTCACCTGGTCAGCTGTTCGCAGCCTGGAGGGCGGGACTGAACCGCTGCGACTACAGCTGGCTGTCCGACGGCAGCGCCCGCTACCCCGTCACCGTCCCCAGGCCTCAGTGTGGAGGAGGCCTGCTGGGCGTCCGCACGCTCTACAAGTTTGAAAACCAAACCGGCTTCCCGGACCCAACTGACAGGCACGGAGTCTTCTGCTTCAAGGGTGAGACTGAAACATAAACAGATACGAATCCGCTACTAGTTTCCTCTACGGACACATCAGGTTACTTTCCAACAAAGTTAGGTTGAAATAAACCCTTATTCACAAAGTTAGATGTGCAACAGCCACAACGTAAGCTAACGGAGCTGAATCGGAACTGATAAAACCTCTGGGTGCATCTCTAGTCCGAATATTAAGCAAAGGGTGATTTGTTTTTGGCTCTGGGGTTGAATTTGAATAATTTTAAGAGGCACGAGAGGGTAAAAGTATCCAGTGTTTCACAAGAAAACGGTCTGAATCCGTCTCCCTGTCCTGTTTATCATCTTGAGATCCACCAGATTTATCGGCGACCCCGTCTGGGTGTCGTAATATTTTAATGAGGAAAACCCATCAAGTGCTGTTTCTTTACTCATCAGTTACAGATTCAGTGACGCATCGGCACAAATTTAGATCAAACCTTTCTGAACGCTCCAGACCGACCCCCGCTCTATAAATACAGAGGTGTCCTGCAGCACAACCAGAGAGGGACGACAAAGGAGAACAAACCCAAACAAGAGGAGAATAAACTGCCCTGTTTATGGTGGGGCACGTTCTTTTATGAGGGGAAAACCCAACTCATGCACTCTAACATAGATAAAGCAGAAAGGGGACAGGTCCCTAATGCTTCACAGCTGGACCCTGCCCAAACAGACAGACAGACGGACCGAGGGAGAGAGGGAGGGAGGGAGGAGGTGGAAAAGCTCTCCCATAAGTAACATCATCATTAAGAAACACTTTAAACAGAGAGGTTAGGTTAGTCAGTGTGAAGTAGGTATGCAAGCAGGAGGAACCTTTAAGTATGATTCTTTACAGATGATATAATTACAGTCACATGTTTGGCAACCTGAAGGTACTTTCTGGACCTGGAAGCTGCGTAATGTTGTCCTGCCAGACATTAAGTGAGGTGGCAGAGCAGCAGTAATGTACAGTAAAGTGACAGCATAAACACGGGACCCTCAGCCCCCCCCTCCCTCCACCCACCCCGCCCCGCCGGGCCAGCTCGCCAAACACATGACATCATATCTGGGCAGGGTCCTCCTTCATGGTGCGAAAGACCAGACCGGAGCTCAGCTAATCCCCAGAGTCTGCAGGCAATAAACACCTTCAGTTTGCAGAAGAAGAAGAACTCAGAAAAATGCATCAAAAGTTATTTTTCTGTAACAGATAAATTATTGTAATATAACATTATGAGGTTGTTAATGCTGCCTGCTTTATGTCAGTTTAATTTTAATATTTTAAGTCTGGAGTTTCAACTGTTTGCTAGTTTAGGGCCCAACATAGGGGTTTGCGGCCCTTCTAAATGATCACAAAATAAACCACAAGGGTCCTGAGATCGAATGTTTAAGATTGAAGTCAAGAATTTTCAGTTTTTAAATCTCATTTAAATTACGAAATGAACATCATGCTGTTTGGAAGAAGACTGAAACTAGAGACTGAAACCATAAACTCATCAGGAAACTCATAAATCAACCGAGAAGTCTGCTCATTTCTCTATAAGACTCAATACTACCAGACTTATTTTTTGCAACCAGTAGAGCTGCCCCCTCCTGGGCATGCAGGTTTAAGACATTTGACAGACCCAGAAGCTCTCATGATTTTCCGCTTTATAATCTAACCAGCGTACGGTGGCCCAGACATTAATCAGATATAATTATTGATTAATTGATTACATCAATGTGGATCCTCTTCTCCTGAATCCTCCCGTATAAGAACAGGTAGCGACTCGTTGCTGCCCTGTAGTGGTCGGGAGTATTAACAACTAGACAAAAGTTACTTTATTTAGTAACTAATTACTATTTTTCAGTAACTCTGCTAATTATCTGCCATCAGTGGGTGAAGTGGATGTATAAAGTAGCATAAACTCTTTAATACTGCAGTTAATGTGCATGAAGAGGAGAATATAGGAGGAAAATAAAGAGCGAGAACGGGAACTCCACCTAACCCCTCTCCTCCCTGCCCCGTCCGTCTATACGTGCCCCTGACAGCCGGCAGGGTGGGATGGAGGGGAGTCGATTACGTACCGTTTATTGAAGCATTATGTCAGTGCAGTCTGCTGCGTACTCCCTGGACACCGACTGTATGAACTCAGACCTACACAAAGGACAGCATTGTATGTCTCATATGGTATGTATTCCATCATAACGAGATATAAATCTGCAGCCAGCATCACAAAAGGAAGAAACAAAAGCCTTCTGGAGGGTTTTTAAAACTCAAAGATTGCAGAAGAGGAAAAATAAATTATCTCAACAGAAGATTAGAGGTCAGAAAAACTTGTTTTTAGTTAGTTTTAAAACTTAAAAGTTCCGGTTTGACTTTAGTGAAGAAAGTTTTCTCTCTTTTATTAATGTTATTTTTAAAAACCATGATTTTTCATTGTTTGGATGCTTAAAAATTAAATATTTGCAATTAGAAATATTTAATTATTTACAGCTTTTGACCATTTTTTAACAAGTTTTGGAACAGCAGTAAGTAAAAAATGTTTTTAAAATACAGAATTTTCTGTTTTTAAAATTATTTCAGTTTCTCTAGCGAAGAAAAGTTCATTATCATTAATTATTAGCAGTTTATTTTAAAACTTAAAAGTTCCAGTTTGACTTTTTGTTACAACCCTTCAGATTTCTTCTTGTGACCATTTGAAGGGCCCCGACCCCTATGTTGGGAACTCAACAAGCAAATAGTTTAAAATTATAGAAAATAGAAACAAGCTGGCAGAATTGTTATTATTATTATTATTATTTACTTTTCTTTTTTAGAAAACCTTTCTTTAGTTTATAAAACAGAAGCTAGTTTGTGTGTTTAGTCTTTTCCTCATGTTGTTACATATTTAATATAATATTGAGATATAAATCTTCAGTCAGCATCACAAAGGAAGAAACTAAAGTTTTCTGGTTCAGAATAAGTTTAAAGATTCAGGAAGTGCGTCTGTTAGCCGGCTCATAAAAATCTCTGCTCGGACGTCATTTCCCTAAAAACAAAGCTTTCTGGCCACATTCAGTAGTGACTGTTATTCAGGTCTGAAGCTGTTTTATTTCTGACAGGTGACTTCATGTTTCAAAAATAAAAAGCTGCTCCATTCCCTTTTATAGGCTGCTGCGAGCTAACGGCTGTTTGATTAGCGTTGTCCAGATAGTACGGCGTTATTTTCTCAGTGAGTCATGAAATACTGATTCATTCTGTAAACATATTGACTGGACCCAGACTCTTTACTTTAACCTTTATTTTTAACACGATAGATCAAGGTTACATAATGTAGCTCTGGGCTGAAATCATTTGAGCTCTTTGGTGAGAGATTTATTGGCACTTGGACATCAGTTGTAAACATTTCACTCAATCATCCATGAAGCTCACAAACTGAAACCTCAAGTAGAAACATGATTTACTTACATGAGACGGAGTGACATCCATTAAATTCAGTTTCCATATGTGAGTAACTGCTGATTACAGATTAGTTTTATTTTAATGATCTCCTGTGTCTCCTGGATAATGTAACAGCACTACAGCTTCTGTGAGTAGTTCTCAACCTCTAAACTGACACAAATCAGACCCCAGACCCCCATTTCAAGAGTTTTTGCTTTTAGATGTTTTATTTAGACGTGATTTTAATACTCAGTGTTTATGTTATCAAATTTGGAAATATGAAATATGAAAATATGATTTTCTTCTTAGAAAGTGTATAAAACCAATTGGATGGAAGGAAAACCAATGACTGATGTTTAAATCAGTTTTCAAGGGCCAAGGTTCATCCAGTGGAACATCGACTTTAAGGTTTCTGTTCTGCTCTCAGTTGCTCAACTCTCCACAGACTGACTGAGTTCCTGTTCTGTGTTTCCCCTCTCTTACAGCCAAACTACCAGAGCCCACTACCACGAGTCCACCGATGACTCCAGCTGAGTACAATCCCGACAGCCCTGCGTTCACTCCAACACCCGGACCCCTCTTAGACCCCGAAAGAGCTGAAATTCAAGCAAGAACACCAGGTCTTGTTGCACCTTCACCAACGCAGAGACCACACACAGCGTCACCAGACCAACATGGAGTCCCCCCCACAGAGACAGACCCCACCACTCCCGTGTTTGACTACGATGTTCAAGATTTCAATAACTCACACAGCGTAGAGTCGGTACCAGTTAGAGGAGACATTTTGTTCCCCATCCAGATCCCTCCTTTACCCACCGCCCGCTTGCAGCCCCCACACCTTGACATCTCCCAGGGGGGAGGCCCGTCGGGTTCAGGCCGAGGTGAGAGCAGCGGTAGCGGTGAGGCAGGCAGCAGCGATGACGGCTCCAGTGGGGCTGAGGTGACCCCAACACACTGGGTGGAACCCACATCGACACCAAGTTGGCCTCTCGATACCACCACAGAGCATCTAGAGACCTCCTCTGACCCCCCAGGACCGGGGAAGTGGATGGAAACCACAACGAGACCACTTCTGGAAATCCCTCCGGTAGTGGTTCACACCCCAGAACCAGGACACCCAGCCGGTCCCAGAGAGGACGGACCCGCTGTTGTTTTTAAAGAGGATGTCACTCCTGGAACTGCGCTGACCTTCGACCTCGACCAATCAGCGGCCGTTACTGTAGACAGGGAGTCGTCAGGCAAACCACCGTTTCATCTCATCATCGTCAATGTGCACGACCGGAACCAGTCAGGTGAGTTAAAGCGTTGATCAGGAATCACAACACTCACAATACACACGTCAGCAATACAGAGAATCAAGTCAATTTTCAAAATAAAATACAGCGTACAAACTCCAGATTGAATTTAATGCTACATCAACATCGTAGCCAGAAGTCAACCAGTCAGAGGAGATGTTAAGACGAGAAACACGAGTAAACAACAATATGGCCGGCAACACAATCTGTGGACCCTTCGCTACTAAAACGCTCTCACACGGATCATGAAGCCAAACGGTTGGTGGCTGTTAACGAAAGGCCAAACCACAATAAAAGTTTACAGTTTTATTCCAGAGCTGTTGTCGTGTAAACTGGGCCTAAATGTGAACGTTCAATATAACAAATTTGGATGAATTCAATTCAATGAGAAAATTTTCATGCCATTTTTTTGACATGATTGAAAATAAATATTGCATACTGATCAGTATGACTCAGTATGGATGCTGTAAAGGACAAGTGTTAAACACCAGTCGTCTGTCTGAAATCTCTGATCCTCGACTGGAATTACGACTCTTGTATTTGCCCCTGATCCAACCGACAGTCTCACATTACAGTGAGAATGCTTCTCTTTCAGAATGACCTCATGTTTGTTACGGTGTGCTGCCGGGGACTTTACAGTAATCTGATTTAGTGCCGTTTGTTGTCTTCGTAGGAAACAACTAATGGTTTGTTACCTTTGTGTTTGCATGCTGACAGATTCTCTCTCTCACACACACACACACACACACACACATACACCCACACACACACACACACTGTTTGCAGAGCCAGATGTGGAAACTCATGGTCATAAATCTTCGCTCGGCCAATTTTGTAGCTAAACATATTGTAAACACATCACAGGGAAAGCAGCACAGCCTCATGAATAATCAGATACATCAGAACAAATGGAGCTTTCCCGTAACCTTTCTCTCGTTTGCTCGCACACACAAAGACACACTGGTGGTCCGATGGAGTGATTAACCTCTGGTCTCTTTAACCAGCTGTGAATTAGTCAAATATCTGAAGAAAGAGCCGACAACAAACCACAAATAGTTGACCTTTATTGTCTTTTCTCAAGGGAGCTGCCTGAATTGCCTAAACTAACAACTTTTCCACCAATCTCCACAGTCTCTTTCTTTCCCCACATTAGTCTGTTCTGATTGTATTTCCACCATGGATGGATTACTGAACTTACCAGGCACAGGCCCAGGGGCCCGAGGCTCAGGGGACCCCAAAGCCTGAGCGTCTGGTTAAAGTGACGAACATTTCTTGTTGGAGCTCAGTCAAAAGTACTGTAGGGATGTGTTTTTGGCTCCTGGATCCCTACAGAGATAGACCTTTAGTTTAATCAGAAACAGTCGTAATATCACTATCACTCTCCACCAGACTCCAGAGACAGAAACACTCATTGTACCTTCAGATCATTGTAACTTCATTTAAAGTGGACAGAAACCACATAAACTCACCTCTTTGTTAGTGTTTCCAACAATCACCAACTCTGGTTTGGTGGAAATAAATCCTTAATTCACTGACGTAGATGATAAAAACAGCAGTTTCAGTCGGATAATAGCTGTTAGCTGATATATTAATGTTTTATATCTCACACATATATTACCTTTAATACCAATAACATTCTCAGTGAGGAAGGCATGAGGGAGGCCTAATGCCAAGCGCCATAAAATCACTAAATATGAGTGGGAGGGTTGTTGCAGGGGCCACTCACACACCCCCATACACTCACTCAAACAGTCCTTGTGTGTTTGTTACCCTCCAGCCAAGTGGTGCCATCTTCCAGGAGTTGTTTATTATTGAAATGTCAAAGGCGTATTCTGTTGCAAACGTAATATATCATCACATGAAGCAGGTCTGGTTTGTGTGAGGCCCACAGACTCACTGTTTCCACGTCTTGAGGAAATTAGGAAAATTGAAGAAATGAGTGTCTTAATGAAAACTTCCTGTTTCATGCGGTATCAAGTTCTGAGTCACACAGAATTTTTTTCTACTTTGGGCGACATGTTTCGGCTAACACAGGTTAACTAGTTAGATTTGTCCAGTTCAAAGAGGAGCTCTCAATCCGGTCACAACATGTGTCTACGTTACGTTTTTGCACATTTTTACTCCAGTTCCCACGATACGCTACAGCTTCCATGTGTACCATAAAGTCTTAATGAAGAGACACAGGCGTGCATTGTTCGAGAGATCAGCCCCTGGCATCGACTGACCTTCATCATAAGCTGACTGTTAACCATCCAGATATGCACTTTGCCTTGTTTTAATAAACAAAAGAAATGAGCTGCCAAAGAAAGAGGAGTTGTTTTTCAGGCTGTGTTTAAACCACAATACATTTTTGCACTTGGTTCCCTCATGATCGAAAGAAACGCAGCAAAAGTGCCCTCTGGATGCCCCTATGGTGGATAAAACATGATCCCCAAAATAGACGAACATTAGTTAGACCCCTAGTGGAGAAAATGCCCTTATAATTTCCCAGATTAACCCTCTTCAGATTGCTTTTTTATCTCCACAACCATGCACATTATTGCCTGTATTTCACTTTTAAATTTGGCATTTTAGGTTTCTATTTCTCGTTGGTTTCTAGTTGACGATATCCTGGACATCTTAAATCAGCCTTTGAACGGCATCGGTGGCTCCCATTCCCACATCCCTCAGATCACCGACTTTTCGCAGGTGTCCAGCGAAGCCGTCCAGGGCAGCGGAGATGTCGATCCTCTCAACCTACCTCCAACTGTCAGCTTCGTCAATGGAAAACATGAGGTAACATCCATCCAGTGGAGTATTTACTATAATAACGGCTTAGACTGGGGCTCTCGGTTGTGATTACATTGTAGTAAGTTCGTTGAAGAGTTAGTCGTTTACTCATCTACCTACTTTTCAGGTGACCTTTGAGCCAGATCGGCCAGCAGAGGAAGTCAGAGGAGATCAGTTTGAGACGGCCACTCCTGTTCGGGTTGATGAGGGGGACAAAGAAGAAGAGAAGGAGAACACATCTGCCTTTGACTACAATACCATAGTAATCCACACTGAGGGAACAACTACAGAGGAAACCGGTGACACTTCTACAGATGTATACCCGGATGTCGCTGCAGGTTCAAGGGTCTCTGATGTATCTACTGACTTAGAGGGAGTCAAAACTCAAGAACCAGGTGATCAAACAGCAACAAGAACCACCACCATGACACCATATACACTCCCTGTCTCATCTCCGGTATCCACCACACCATCAGGCCCAGCCGTCCCCGGTGTCTCCCACCATGTCACCGATGACGTCTCCACTTACGAGGACATCGAAGGCTCTGCGAGCTTTGGCACTGATGACGAGGCCGGTGCTACCCAGGAGGGCTCTGCAGACGATGCTCTGCCCACCCCGGCTTCAGGCAGTCAGTCCGGTGTGATGACTGATGAGACTGAAATCGGAGTGACGGAGCTTCCCACTTTTATCCCAGACACACAGTCACGGGAAACCACCACAGAGACCCAGATCGAAGACTGCGAAGGGTCTGCCTCTGGAGAAGACGAGGCTTCAGGACAAGATGTTTACCCACCAGAGATGCCCAAGTTTACCAGTACGCTACCACCGATTTATTCTACCCCTCACACCCAGCAGCCTCAACCTGCAGCAGGTACCGAAGTCGCAGAAGAGCCAGTAGTTGTACCCGCTGTTGACCCAGAAACAGGCTCAGGTGCAGAGCAGCTGTCCGGAGAGGGGGAGGTTTCTAGGGAACAGGGTGGTCTGGTTGACCTTCCTAGAGAGGTCACTGTTACTGTTTTACCAGATGTGGCAGCTGTGACTTTTGGAGACCAAACTACATTCACCACAGAAATAACTTCTGAACCTAGCACGCCGAAATACTCCACACACCACTCCCTTGCTTCCACAGCTGACAAGAAACATCCCACCAAGCTGTTATCCACAACCCCTGAAGACCACACCCCTCATCCCACCGAGTTGTACAGACTCCAGACTGAGCAGTCCACCACAACCTCCACACAGTCTGTAAGCCTTTCGCCCTTGTACACTTTCGACCATAGCCCCAACTCCGTCCCCCAGTGGGCTCTGATCCCAGACCCCGATGCCACCTCTCTACCTGATTCTGTGGACTACGACAAAGAGATAGTCGGTCCCCTGCCTGAGTCGCTCCCGAGGAGACCAGAAGAGACCCTGGCTACAGAGCAACCAGAGAGCGGCACTGACACAGCTTTCTCTGTGGAGGCCAGCACTGTGAATGTCAGAGGTACATATGAACTTCATTGTTAGTGGTTTGTTCCTACAGCGCATGTTAACGTGGACAAACACTTTTATTCTTGTTTAAGGTTAAAAAATAGACATAAAACCTCAAACTCAAAAGTATTTAGAGCAAGTGTTCCCAAACCTTTGCATGTCAAAGCCCCTAAAATAGCATTAGCTTATGGCTGACGCCCCCATTAAAGAAACAACTTCCGAATTTATTTCCTTACTTATTATTACATTTGTATTTCCAATCCCGAACCCTTTGAACAACACTACATTAGAGCACTGCTAATGTCTGTTACTGTGTGATTTTAATGCATTGTGTCACTTGTGCAGATCTCCTGCCATGCACAACCGACGTGTGTCACAATGGAGGCTCCTGCTACAAAAAAGGAGCCCAGAATATCTGCGTGTGTGCACCTGGATACACCGGACAGCATTGTGAAACAGGTGCTCGTACTTTTCAACCTCCAACCAAAGTGACCTCCCCTCTTTACTGACAGATGGTTGTGGTTGAATAATAACCGGTGTTGTGTGTCTACAGATGTTGATGAGTGCCAGTCTAACCCGTGTCTGAATGGAGCCACCTGCCTGGATGGAATCAACTCCTTCACCTGCCTCTGCCTGCCCAGTTACGCAGGAGAGCTCTGCGAACAAGGTCAGCTGCACCCCAGTGTTTCTGCAGTCTTTGGCAGACAGATAATGAAAGTCCACTTTCAGCTTGAATTATTGTAGAAGTACTGCAGGAGGTACTTGTACTCTTGTATTCCCATTTTCTGCTACAGTTCCACTTACTAAAACATGTATGTTGGTTTAATTGTCCAGTCAGCGCCTTTTTTGATCCCAGGGTAGCAAGAAATAAAGGATCGGCATTGATCGTGTATCGCAGGGTACAGTTAGGAGCTTCTCAACCATGAAAACACAACACTTTATCGATTAACACTGCCAATATTCAAAAATCTACACAGTAGGTTTCTTGCTTCAAATATCCTCTAAAGTAAATTTAGTTGTGAAATAATTTGGCATGGGGATCATTCAGTTTTACCTCTATAGATAACTTCTATTAGGGACTGAGGTCCTTGCACTGTTTACACATAACCTAGCTAATTATTCTAAACTCTAAATGACTTTTATAAACATTAGGCCTTTGAATAACATATCAATTATGAATCATTAATTTGATTTAGCTCAGAGAGAGACAAATGGAGATAGCAGAGAGTGAGCAATGGACTTCCACATGACAATATTCACAACTTGGATTCATTTTATGAAAAAACGTGTTGATCAGTCGACAGACATTCAGACTTAATGACCGGCTGAAGGTTTGGAGTCAGCACTTTCTTTTCGTCACCCTTTCATCAACATGATAGTGAGTCTGTTAGTTTAAGGTAGAAAAGCTTTAATATTTATAGGATATATATATATATATATATATATATTCAGTGCACACACACAGGTAGACTCAGCGTCTTCAGTCATGACAGTGTTTGCTGCTCGCTGTCTTCCAGCTCTGGGTGTTGGTTCTTCGGCAGATTAGTTCCAGCTTCTCGTCCAATATTTCTGCCATTACTCAGCAGCTAATGGAGGTTCAGGCTCTAAGGATTAATATTTTCCAGGGAAATTTACCAGCTTTCTCTCCCAGTATTCTTCGAGCAACAGTAAGATGTTATTACGTTTTTAAAAAAAAAAATGAAATGATAAGGCCATGTTCTTTTTTTTATGGTTGGGTTTGATTGTTATTGTACGTCGTAACTCTGAACTAATAGCTGATTTAGCATCGCCCATCAGATTTAACAGATTTAATAGTCAGGGTATTATTTCTTAAGTAGTATAAAATGAATTGTTAAAAGTTTTGTTGGATTGTATTTTCAGTGAACCTGAACTTTTATTCAGCTTGCTGAGAGCACACACGCTTTACAGCAAGTTTGATGCATTTTATATACACAAAATACATGTATTTATGGATTTATATCTATTATATATAGGGTACTAAATATATCATTGTTTACAGTTCAACATCATTCGTTTCTCAGGAACAGCTTATGGAAGATTTAATGTAAAAATACTCCATTACAAATAAACTCCTGTTCACAAAATTGTACTTTAATTATAGAATAATGTAATGAAAGTATAAAACCTAAAGTTCCACTGCCACTAAAGAAGCAAATGGCCTCTGTTTGATTCACATTTTACTCTATAATATATAAATATTACTGACTAATGTTGAGCTGCTGGAGTTGATTCGAGCTATCTTATATATTGTTAGGTAACTAATGTGTAACAATGATTTCTATATTAGATATGCGCCGTAGGCTGTAGCTCAGTTTTAAAGATAGATGGTATACAATGAAACTAGAAGACTTCTGAATGTGTGAGAACAATCAACAAGGAGACTGAACCTTTAGTTAATTTATTCCAACACAGTGTAACATCACACAGTCTGGTTGTTCAACACACGGAATAAATAACTTCCGACTTCACTGAAACTAATCCTGGTGGACTGATCTGTACGATGGATGATGGATAATGTTAACAGTTACTGACTGATTAGAGTTCTGCCATATCTTAGTAAAACTATTACAAGTTCACTTCTTCATAGATAGATGACAGATGAGAAAGGAAAAGCTTCAAAGTAAAATACAAATGATAAATGCTTTTAATTCCAACCTGCTTTTAATTCACTGTCATTATAAATTCTGGGTGAAAGGTGGAGTGAAAGTGGAACTCCCCGGACCCAAATATTCCCAGCCTGCAGCTTGTATCCGTGTGTGTCCATGTATGCAGGACGGATGCAGCATGTCCAACGAAACGTAGAAACTCTGATCCATCCTGATACATGCAGCAGAAGATACAGAACCACAGACACAGCTGTCCTCTCGTAGCTTTCTGCCAGTGGAAAGAAGGAGAAAAAAGACAGATAATTGCTCTATTATTTTGCCAGAAAGCTTTTGCAGCTGTGTGGCACTGAATCAGTGCTAAATACTGCCTCGGACTTAGTCAAAACTCCCCTTCATCTTCTGGATGAAGCCGTGTTTAGGCTGGCCTTTACTCTCTGTACTTAGAATTAAAGCCCTGCATTTATTAGTGGGCCCGGAGACCTCACCTGACCCTCCAGGTGGCTGCACAGCGGACTTATTAAGAGGAGGTGGGCTGACGATAGCTAATACCCCGAAGCATCGACAGCAACTTTCCATCACGGCTTTATTGGCACGGACGTTATTCTGAAGCTACTGATACAAAACAACCATTGTTTACTGAGCCCGACAAAGCTGATTGTGTGGCTTTAAGTCATTGTGTATAAATGTGCGTGTTATACATGTGTATGTGTGTGTGTGTGCTTTCTGACCTACAGACAACTGGAGAGTTGTGAGGGTTAATGAAGTCCAACTTTGTGTTATTGAGCTCATTCAGTGAGGGGCCTTTATTCCCCAGCTGGACCTCAACTCTCTTTCTCTCTGTCTGGCCTGAACAACAGAGTTTGATGAAGAAATAAACAAATCAGAGTTGTTGTGCAGCTGCAAGACGTTCATTGTTACAACTGGCTGTGGGCAACATTATGTATATAATGAGGATAAAAGTATACAGACTGGACTGTAATATGAAGCAGGATAAGGAATACTTTAGTTAAAGTTGTAATATGTAAAATTTCTGCATTAAAATGTCTATAAACACTTGATTTGTGTACTTGGGATGGAGAGAAGCTGAAGCCAAGTGAATGAGTAAGTGAGAGCTGCTCCAGCAAAACAACAGCAGAAAACTCAAATTAAATCAATAATCTATTATCATTAAGGTGTATAAACTTGAACCGGATGAAGGATTTTAGTCATCGGACGTCTGGATCTTAAGTTATCAGAGAAACAAGCTGAGCTAATGTTAGCAGCAGCTCGCTCCGGGACGGAGAAGCAGTGATTTTCAAGGTGGAACTGCTTTATTCAGTGTCTTCAGCGGTTTTAATCAGCAGTACATTATTTTAAAAGTTACTAATTGCAGCTTCAACTATAAACTATCCACTCCTCGAGTTGAAAATGTCTTCTTTCTGGATGAATTGCAGTTCTTTAACACTTTATCTTTCCCTCTCTGCAGACACTGAGGTTTGTGGCTATGGCTGGCAGAAGTTTCAGTCTCACTGCTACAAGTACTTCACACACCGTCGGACCTGGGACGCTGCTGAGAGGGAGTGTCGGCTGCACGGTGCCCACCTGGCCAGCATCCTGTCGCAGGAGGAACAACTGTTTGTCAATCGTAAGTCCACGTTGTGGCATTTGAGCCACGGTTCTTCCTGTAGCTGAAGCTGAAGTGTTGTGGCCCTGACACGCCTGTTGTGTCGCCTGTGTCTTGGCCGATGAGATGATGACACTAGAACACTGCACAGACTACAGCGAACGGCCAACTAGCACGTTCGTTCTGCACCTGCGCATGAGTCCAGCAGGTGGCGGTGGTCTGCATTTGTAAGACCTGTAGGTTATAAATGAATGTAAGTGTCGTGCAACTGCGTTAAATTGAGAAATACTTGAAAAATGAGACGATCATTTTGTGTGTGCCCTCTTGACGAACCCGAACCAACCGCCCGGTTTCACTCCTTCATTTAATCCCGGACGAGCCCCCATTTCGTCACAGCCCGACTCGAGGAAAGGACAACAAAAGATTTATGTAACAAAATATAACTTAAAACAATGACGATATAAAATATGTAAATCAGTAACATCATTAGTGTTTCACGTGTTTGAGTGAGTGGACATGAACACAAGGAATCTAAACCAAACAACAAACCATACGGCCAGAGAGAGAGAGAGAGAGAGAGAGAGAGAGAGAAACTGACTCAACCATCTTATATATATGAGGAGCCGCGGGCGCTAATCAGTGATGCACTTCCTGTTTCCTCAAGAGGGCCGTCACACATGCCTCCAACAACATTGCACCCTGAAGACTGAAAAACATAAAAAATATGTAAATTATGACCATAATCTGTAATAAAACCTTCAAAATATTTCCAAAATACTATCACTAACCCCCAGATATAAAGTATACATTACTTACACTCCCAACCTGGGTGATTAAACACTAATGAAAACATACCGATGGATATTATATTTCAGACAATAGACCCTTTCCACTGATATAGAAATCTTTAAAGTAACTTTGCCTGTAAGAGTTTTGCTGCTGCTTTATAGGCCTTTGCACTTTAATGAAGCAGCGTGTTTGGAAGGAGGCCAGTCTCCAATCTAATCCAATGATGAGTGTTAGTACGGTAAAATAAAGTCGTTTCAACAGAGAGTTTCCACAGACAATCAAAGCTGACTGCAGACTCTCAGTTTATTGAGGAAACTGCTGACTGACATTAAATGGCCACGAAGCAGCTCAGCCTGAACACTCCCTCCGCTCGTTTGTTCACACTCTTGATTGTTCAAACCTCCTCCTGCTGCCACACACATGTTCAAACCACAAACTTGTAAATCAGTGCATCAACCCTCCTTCTCTCTCTCCTCCTCTGTCACACCGTTAGTCCGTCCGAAGGCGGAGTGTTTGCTCTGTTTCCCGTCCGCCGTACGAGCTGCGAACTCAGATCTCTGACGTGTTTTTGCCTCTGCAGGTCTGGGCAGCGACTACCAGTGGCTCGGCCTCAACGACAAGATGTTTGAGAGAGACTTCAGATGGACTGATGGCAAGCCAATGGTAAGTAAGGGGGTGAGAAAATATCAATAATTTGGGATAATTTGGGATTTTTGTGGTTAAACAACAAACGCAACTTGAGGTTAAACAAATGCAGATTTCAGTGTCCTGGTTGCATTAAAACAAATAAACTTTTATTTAACTTAAAATTAAATCGTAATATATTGAACATAAACCTGTGTATCGTGATACATATCGTATCGCTGGTTAATTAGTTAATTATAGAAAAATAGTAAGTAAACATATTTCTGCTGTAAAGATTTAATATGGGGCCTTATGGAGACTCAGTGCTGGAGCCAGCCTCTTGTGGCCGTTAGAGGAACTGCAGGTGTTGTTACTCCCCTGTTGGCTTCATTAGCATCCACAGAGGTTTCTGCTTTAGTAAAACATCACTTCAGCATATCTGTACTGTGTTTAGGAGAATAAAGACAGCATGCATTACAGTTACTCCACCGTCCTGCTGCAGTTGAATTAAAGCAGGAACATAAAACACTTCCTGTGTGCCGACGGTGACGCAGCTCTGCAGACTGTCTCTCCGACCGGCCGCTGCACTCGTCTGAGTCATGGTGACACATTCTCACACACATTGTGCGTCCGCCGGGAACGCTCAGCTGTTGAAGCATGTGAGCAGTGGAAACCAGGCCTGATGAGAGCCTGAAATCTGATCCTGCTGGTTCTGGTTCTGCTGTTGTAATGTGTTATCATTCAGAACAGAGGCACACCCTGACTAAGGGAGGACGTTTTGTCTTATGTTTTGTGCTCGATGGCGTGTTGTCCGTGTTAATTTTTCTGTATTTTAAACAAACTAAAGCAGCTTCTTTGTGCAGATCCTCCTGCTTATAAGCTACAGAAAGCTTTAGGTGTGTTTGTGCTGTTGGTTGTCCCGGTAGCGCCACCGTCTGCTCCTTCTGTGAATTACAACCAGTCACACGTGTTGAATGATCTCATGGGGATAGGCGTTGTTTTCATAGCCCCTATACACACATACAGTATATGGTTGAGCTGCATTAGTGTAGAGATTAAACAGAGGTAGAAATGCAAATACTTGTGTAAAAATGTGTAGTATAAAAGTAAAAATATGACAGAAAAAAAAAGTAAAAACACCTGAAAAGATCTGCAGTACAGTGACGAAGTATTTGAACTTTATTACTTCCGACGTCCGGGATTAAACCTGCCTGTTTATTGGGACATTTATTATTTATTTATTTATTTTTAAATGTGTGTTCTGGCAGCAATACGACCACTGGAGGCCGAACCAGCCAGACAGCTTCTTCCAGTCCGGAGAGGACTGCGTGGTGATGATCTGGCACGAGGGGGGCCAGTGGAACGACGTGCCCTGCAACTATCACCTGACTTTCACCTGCAAAAAGGGAACAGGTACGCGCGCACACACACACACACACACACACACACACTCTGTAAAACACACCTGGTAGAGCTGTGGAAGCCCGTTTCTGCCAATAAATAAAAATATAACACCTTGAAAATAATCACGTTGGGTCAAAATTTGGATAAAAATTATGAGATAAAAAGTCAAAATGATCTAATATTTTTAAGTTTTTATCATTATTTTGACATAACATGTAAATTCTTTAATCCTTGGTGAGTTTCCATTTTATTTTTTTGTCCTTTTACTGGCAGAAATGTGTTTCCTGTTTTAAAATGAGCTAAACAATACAAACACACTAAAATCTGAATATGAATTATTCTGTTTTTACGGTGACTTTGATGCATTTACAGCAATAATTTATTAATTACTTATGATTTATATTTTATTTGAGTTTTCAGAACAACAAGAGACAATTATAACTTAATTATACAGGTGTCGCCATATAAAACAGTAAATAGATAAATATATGTATAGCTGGGTAAGACAAGAAGTGTCAATAATAATCTAACTAACTCAATAATTATTGTATTGTATTGTATAATAATAAATAATTTCTGTTTCCTACCATCAGTCTCATGTGGGCTGCCCCCTGTGGTGAAGGATGCTCATGTGTTCGGGGCCATGAAGCCACGCTACGAGATGAACTCACTGCTCCGGTATCACTGTAAACCGGGCTTCATCCAGAGATACGCCCCCACCATACGCTGCCGGGCCAACGGCCAATGGGACGCTCCCAAAGTCACCTGCACAACCCGTGAGTACTTGTGACGGAGGAGCTTTGAGTGTCTCGAAATGTTTCGCACTTTTTAACACTTTTCCATCCGTCTCCTCAGCCGCAACCTACCACAGGTCTGAGTCTCTCCGGCGCCGCAACAACCAGAACAACGAGCAACAGAACCGGCACTACAACAACCACGTCCATCACAGCGCGAGTCATCAGAAACAGAACCAGGAGGAGCAGCAGCAGAGCTACAGCCTCCTTCAGAACCTGTGGAAGTCCTTCCAGAGGGAGAAGAGGCATCAGCAGGTCCAAACACACAACAAGGACCAGATGAGACACTGATTGGGTTTAGTGGTTTTTTGTAAATCAGCTTAGCAGTGGCGGCCAAACACAAGCAGAGCCGGCTCTGTCGGTCCAGAGGCATCGATAGACAGAGACACACTGAGCTGTCTATCAATGGCTCTCAACAGGAAGAGGGAACCAAGCACATTGTCCAAAAACATTCCAGGATCTGAACCGTAACACTAGTGAGAGTTTAGTTTCGTTTTATAAAGTTTGTTTTAGTTCACGAGTCTGAGGAAGACTGGTGCCTTAATGGCTTCACTGTGTGGGACTGAACACACTAAACCCTGACCTGATAGAGGATCCGAACCCGGTCTCTGTCATCGTGTTTTAAAGGTACCCTGTGGAGTTTTTTTTTTTTATGAACAAAAGTTACGTTTGCATAAATTTTTTCTCACCAAATCAAACAAGCAAGGAGGCAAAAACAGTAATTTTACCTCACAGAACACGGGAGTTTCTGGGCCGCCGCTGCTTCAGATGCTAATATTAGTTTGGATTTGAATGAATGCGTTAAAACACCAAAGTTGAACACGAACAAACAAACCGATGGAGGCAGCTATAAACCGCCACTTCCTGTGTCCTGTGAGGTAAAATTACTGTTTTTATCAAAGGAGTCTGGTGGCTTTGAAGACATTTAACAACGTCAGAAAGGTCAAGAATGACGTCCAACATATGTTGTGATTTTTGTACCTTTATTTTTAATATCATTTCTGCTTTTCACTTCCTGCCTTCCATCTCAATTTCACGCGTCATCAAAATCATATAATATATTATATAATGGGCGGGGCTTAAACTGGTGTGGGTGGTGATTACTGGAGGTTAATTTAAGCCTGATATCGATACGGGTTGATCAGAAGTTGCAGAACAGCCTTAGAATTGAGCTTCAGATCAACGTCATTGATCACAAGAGTAAGTATACGTTATCTGTACCGGATACTCAAACCTCCCAGTGGTCAGAAACTCCACACGGTGCCTTTATTTTTGGGGAAATCCGGCACATACAAGCTGAGCATTGCAGCGTCAGTCTTACAGAAACACATTACTCACTGAAGTTTATGTTTTACCCAGTAGTTTAGAGGATTTAGATAATGTCATTGATAGACTATAAAGAGCATGAGATCATCACTTTAAATTATTATCATCAGTTTGTCCAGTTTCAGTTTGTGCTGTTTGTTACGACCCATTTTTACTGGTTGATTCCCGATGTTGTCGGTTTGCCGAATGTGAACCCGCAAATGTTGAGTACCCCAAAGTTTTATGTTGTTCAGTTTGGGTCCCCAGCATTTGGAAACGTGCATATGTTGGGCAATTAACATTAGAGCAATCACCTAATCATGGGCTTGGCTGATTTAGACAATATTTAAGTGGTTTTGGAGGTTATTGAAGACGCTGAATCCTCGGCCACATCGGTGATTAGGCCAATTAATGCCAATTATGCAAATCTGCCCGACTTATAAATAATCATCTGGCAGTTTCTATAAGCTGGGGACCCAAACTTTACATTTCTAACATAAAACTTTGGGTTACTCAACATTTCCGGGTTCGCGTTGCTGGCAGGTCGACTAATGTAGATTTTTGTACAAAATATTGTAGCTTTGAAAAGGTTTTTTAAAGGGGAGATTTAAAGAGCGGCACACACGGAGCTGAAGAGGAGATTATTATGAATGTGTGGTGTGTGTGTGTGCTGTGGCTATTAATCATAGGATTTATAATATAGATACTATATGAAGCCATATGAATTTAACTTATTGTATACTTTAAAACTATGAATGGACTGTGATATTAAATAAAGGTCATTGGAACTGAAGTGATTCTGTTAATGATGACTTCTTGCTGTTTACAGATTCTGTAATGAAAAACATCTTATCAAGTAGTAAACTCTCATATATGTTAGTTGCACGTTGCTTTTGTTGGGGACTGCCCATTGTTCCTACAGCCCTTTAGTCCAAAATCCCAATAGTCCGAACAATTGGACCCATTGGACCAAAACCCCAATAGTCCGACAGCCTGTTGTTCCGAAAAACCAAAGCCAACTAGAGTTTCTTGCTCTTTATGGTAACAATAAGGTTTAGGTACCGAAACTACTTGATCAAATGTAGAAAAAGTTCAATATTGCGATCACAACAATCAACGCAAATTCAACCAATGCCTGTGAATTTTCGCAGTTTTGTCCAATTCTTGTTTTCACCAATCACAACAGTCCCAAAACATTGACTCATACGTCACCGAACTTAACTTACCGGAACAAGTTGCCAATTTTTCAGGATTTTTGGGGAATTTTCACACAATTTAAATTTTTTTAAAAGTTGCCTTGAAATCAGGCATTTTTGGCTGCAACGATCCCAAAAAAACATCAAATCCTGGAGGGACTGAATGGGCGTTTGTTTACGGGATAACGGCGGATAAACGTTCCGATACCGATCTGATTAACAAGCGTACACCACTAAACCTCTATGATTCCTATCATTGTTGTTTGAACTTGTTAAACTCTCAGAGCAGGGTGAGTCATGACTTCGCCATCCGGGGAAAGAAAATGGAGCACTACGGGGAAGTATCAGGGACTCGTTTCGGGGCAAAGTAATTATGTGGTATCAGATTGGTGCACAGACACGAATACTCACCGATTCCCGTCCTGGTATCAGAACAACTCTCCGTCCAATGGGACCTTTTTCGGACTATCTGGGTGTCGGTGCATCGGGCAGTCTGAACCTTAGCGCAGCACCCGTTTGTTGAGCAATGTTATCTTGTCAAGCTGTTGAATTTTTTATCGTGCTGTGACTCAAAATCAACCTGACGAATTCACCACCAAAATGCTCCTGATTGTTTTAAGCTGGAGGGACTGTGAGATGTTGCTTTTTCTTCAGATCTGGAATCTGTGTTTTTAATCCAACCAATAGGGGAATGTGAAATAATGTGCATCGAGACAACTTCTACATCCTCCATTTTTTTTTTTATGTATCCTTTTGCATTCGACCTTCATGTTCTTCATACATTTTCCTTTTTATATACTGTTCCTCAATGTATATGCATTTTTTAAAAAGTGTTTTTCTACTCCATGTGGTTAATGAGGTTCACTGTATCTGTGGCACAAGAGCTTATTTTTTATGTAATCATTGTTTCTCCATTTGAGTTGCTGTAAAAATCCTCCTGATTTCAATGTCATTGTCATTTGCTGTGTGTGCAATAATAGGAACTATTATAACACAACCTGTGTTTGTGTGGTTTTGTTTAAGTGATAAGACTGGTGTTATTCTTTTTCCCATGAAAAGACCAAAACCAACAATGTGTCAGTACTTTCTGACTTCCTTTGTGTCCTTAAAGCTGCACTAATCAATATTTTTGGATTAACAATGGATCAAATGTCTCTAAATTAGAGGTCCAGGATACTTTATGCATATTATTATTATAAAATCACAATATCTTTACCTGAGAAGTGTTAATTACATACCAGCTCTACACACAGGAACTTTAATAATGATAATAATATTATGTATTGAAATAAAAAAGTAACCTTCTAACTTTGATTCTGCGCTTTGGCTTCAGTCTTAAACTGCTGCTATAACTTCTGAAAACCACCAGATGTCACTGTGCTGCTGAGTTTAGGGCCCTGAAGCCTTTTTAGCAAAGAAGAAGAGAGTTCAAAAAGGATTCATCCGCCCATCTAGTTAGTTGCTGGTGAACATAATGGAGCATTTAGCAGCTGAAGATCCAGATATTTCCCTCAGGAGTTGGTGGAGACCAAACACTGAGCTAAAACAGAGCTTAAATAGAGTGAATATTGGATTTATATTCATCAAATGGATGGTTTAAGCGAAAAAATATACAGATTGATGCCTAAAATGGATTTCAAATCCTGGAAATAATCTATGTTTTACTTTGTACTGTGGCCAATTCAGGAAAAAAAAAAACTGTCAAACCATGACAGTAAATACAGTTTCTGTAAAAGTAAAACACCAATATTTCATGGCAAAACCTTTAGTATACGACACTAATATTTTTTTTATCTAGAATAAAGTTAAAGCCTGTAAATTGCACATAAAACTGTAATATCTACAGCACTAATATCCATTCACTGTACTAGTAGAGAAGTTCTACAGTATTTATTACAGTAAATAAATAAAAGTTATTTACTGTAAACTGTGAGCTTCCATTTAGATTTTGCAATATCGTAGTAAAATGTACATATCAGCATATCTGTGGTCACACCTGTTATCCCACGTACCGCACCATGAATCAACAACCCACGTCGTCACCAACGTGCCGTCACTCAGTCCCGAGCCTTTGGCAAAACAAACTGTATTTCAGTCACAGAATCAACTGAAAGCAGCACCATGAATGGCCTCGCTGTTCCTGCGTGCGAGCAGTCGCCCTCCCTTCGGACGCACATTACTGCATCACCCAGGAACTACACCTGGCAGCTCCAGCCAATATGAACTCTGCTGACTTTTATTTTGGAACTGCAGTGCGACTGCTCGTAAGTTGTGGTGATGTATTTCGGATAATGGGCGAACTCAATGAGCCCTGTGTAAAGAGACGGAGGCAGAGTCGTGGTTTATGTACTGTTTTATTGTCCTTTTGTCTTTGGGTCCCTAAGGTTTCCTTGCGGTTATTCACAAGGCTCCTGATGGTCAGATTATACACAAAATAAAAGGCAACAGATTCTGGGATCCTTTAAGTCTTTTAAGGAATAGTTTGACAGTTTGGGAAATACACGTCAGCTCTTCACTTCTCATGTCTGTGTGCTACATATTGAAGCTTGAGCTAGCAGAAGATTAGCTTTGGTTAGCATAAAGACTGGAAGCAGGAGGACGCAGTTTAAAGAATCTGCCCACCAGCTCCTCTAAAGCTCACTGATTAATATATTTCTCATTTAAAGCTGTAATATGTAACATTTCCACATTAAAATGTCTATTTTGTCAATGGCTTCAGATCCCCTGCGTCCTTTGGCAGAAGCAGCGATTTTTAAGGTGGAACTGAAGACAACAACTCCCATGATCCCACACTGCTTCACCACGTTATCAAACTTCATCTTTTGATGTGAGAGAACCACTAGTGGCAGAACGAAACCAGAGTTTCTTGGTGAGCTTTAGAGTTTATGTGGATTTTATGCTAGCTGTTTCTGCGTTTCCAGTATTTGTGCTAAACTAGGCTAACCAGCTGGTTAACTTTAATGTACAGATACAAGAGTGGTATTAGTCAGCACCTCAAAATCTTACTAAGTGACATCTTGTTTATATAACTCGTACACACAGAACAGAAACGTAAACGCATCAAGTATTGAGTTAAGAGCTGTGAAGTCTTTTCGTGAGCTTGAACTCCCAAAAAATATCAAACTATTCCTTTTACAAGCTGACTCTTAACATTGGTTTGCAAATTGTTTACAATAAATGAAAATAACACAAATTAAAAGGAACAAATCTCTTTAGTTTTGCAACACTGCACAAGACTCTTCAGTAAGTGTTTACTTCACAGCTGCTGTTCTGTAAAATCACCATTTTGTTTCCCACAAGGCAACAGAGAGCTATTTTTATGAGTCTGTCCTTCAGTGATAAGCGTAGCAGGACTCAGTGGCTTGTCAAAGGTGGAGCCAAGTAAAGCTAAACCCTGTACCAGGCCCAAGTGGATGACCTAAACCAGTGTCCGGGCCAGCTGGGACCGTGTACGGTGAGCTTACACTTGATCAATGTGCACCGTTTACTCTCTGATACCCTTACATGGAAGAAGCCCTTTAGTGCCTCCATGCAGGAATTATTGGTATTTTGAATGTATTGTATTTCTGTCTCATTCAGCAGGCTGGTGCAGGTTGGCTGTCGGCCCGCTGGGTCTGATCGGAGCCTCAGAGACAGGTCGGCCGGTGCAGAGCTGAGATAGCAATCAGGGAGCCGGTCGCTGCCAGGAAAACCGTGCTCACTCCGGGTCCTGGCTTAGTCCCATTTGTGACCTGGCTTAGTCCCATTTGTGACCTCAACTGTTCGTACTTTACTGTGTCACAACTCAGTTTTCCCTCCCTGTGCAAACCTCTGGGGGAAAAACCAACACAATTTTTGGGATTGCTCAGATGTCTACTTTAAATTTGGCAGCTGATTTTGGTTTAGTTTTACGCCGAAATCCCACCGGGCACGGCTTTATGACGTCACGTCTGCGGCGCAGTTTGGATCCATCGTCTGCTCATCTTCAAATCCCACACAGGGTTTCTGAAGCGTCTTCAGAGCGTTTTGATAAACTTCTCGTTGTCCGTGGTGTCAAATCTCTGACTGATTTTCATGAGAATCACAAAAAAACAGTTCAAATTTTGACTTTTTCCCCAAAGGTTTGCATAAAGGACTCTATTAAACAGATTTGTGGAGTTAGAGGCGAGGCAGCTTGACTCGTGAGATCGTAAAATCACGAGAAAATCGTGTCAGAATCCATCTTTCCAGGCTTGGTGCTGTTGTACCGGACCAACCAGCGTCCTTTGAGGCTGATACGGGAGGCGTGACGCAGCGAGAACAACAATGGCAGCATCAGTTACATCAGAGCTGATAGTGAAAGTATTTTATCATAAGATGTTTCCGCTCTTCTCCCGAATGATTTTGATTACGTTTTCTGGTTCGTTGATCTGATCAGTTAAAGTTCGACTATTAACTGTTGCCGCAGTCACAAATGGGGCTAATCTTGGCTCTGCTCATTCACTCTAAGAAACTACAGTATTTGTATCAAAAATAGCAGTTCATCAAGGCGTTAGCTAGATAGTGAGCGTAGATCTACACTGAGAGCTGCTTGTAGAAGCTAAGTCATGCTCTGAAAGCCAAACAGAGAGATACAGCTTGTACTCTGCAGCACTGTTTTTATTCAGGCCAGGCATTTTCTACTGCTGCTGTTTGCTTCTCGTTTCTACAGGTTCAGTGAAAAAAACTTTTTATTTAATTTATTGTTGTGGAGTTTTGTTTTTGTTTTGTTTTTTCCACTGTTATGTTATGTTTTATGTAAACCAAAGAGACTTGGATAAGTTTGGCCATAAAGACGAAAAATAATAATGTAAGTATTTCTACAGTATATCAAAAAATAAACAGAATTACATTTCTAGATTAACAATCTACGTACTTAGAAAACATAAACACTAACAGTTGGATCTTTTGGATCATTTCGGTGATGAGACTGATGTTTGGTCCAACACATTTGTATAAAAACATAAAATACTGGACGGTATGATGAAGTACAAAGTACCAGTCGTAGCACCTTGTTGGGTATGGACAGCAGAAATCGCTTTAGTTGTGCTAGGCTCGTAATTCCTTCCCCCCTTCAGCACCGGCTTTCTTTGTTTTGGTGTTTTCAGCCGTGTTTCATGGCGCTGCTGCTGTTCCAGGTCTTGAACGAAACAAGATTAAGTGCCCGAAGTATCCGTCCAACCACGAGTCGGTTTGCTGTGAAACAGTTCAGACGATGACGAGCCTGGTCCGTCGTTGGATGGCTGTGTTATCCTCCAACCCTCACCCCCCCTCCCACAACAACCCACCCACCCCCCTTTCAAAGGCATTGATTAAATAATATGAACCTTAAATATGTGTAAACTATCCCTCGTAGGTCCCCGATTACAAAGCAACAACATGACATTAACGTCTTCCATGAAATAAAGCGTCACAGTTTTGAATGTGTTTCCGAATTCCCTCCTCTGTCTCTCGTTCACTCCACTAGCGTGTTCACTAGCGTGTGAATGTGTGTGTGCATGCTGATGTGTGTTTGCGGGGTCGTCTGCGTGTGTGTGAGCGGCTCAGTTGTGGCCCTTGAAGCAGTAGACTCCGTACAGCTTGTGCTTCTTGTCGGGGAAGCCGCTGAACCTCACAGCGGCCTCCGTGGGACTGCAGCGCCGGCGGGGGCGGGAGATGGGATAACGGACGCTGCCGTCGGCCAACCAGCCGGCGTCACAGCGGTCGTAGCCCAGCAGCTTCCAGGCGGCGTACATCTGCCCGACCTTGGCAATTTGAGCGCCGTCTTTTTGACACGCCCTGACCGCCTCGTCGTAGGTTAGCTTAGAGGGATGGATCAGGTAGTAGAACCGACCTGGGGAGATAAAAAGACAAAGGGAGATAAAGTTGAATCAGGTTTTTAATGACACACACACACACACACACACTCTCGCACACACACACACACACACACGTTACCTTTGTAGTGGGAGGTGAAGCAGAACACATCGTAGTGGTTCTTCTCTTTGTCTCTCAGGCCGTAGTTGCGAACCCCCGGCACCGTGTTCTTGCCTCCGCAGGGTTCCCTGGGGTTGGTGATGGGATACTGAACCGTGCCGTCGCTCAACCACCCGGCGTTGCACCAGTCCATGTTTCCTCGCCATGCTTCATACAGCTGGTCGAAGGACGCCACGATGGCATCCTGGTCCCGGCAGGCCCGCTCAGCGTCGTAGAAATTGAGGTTGTAGCGACCCAGGCGGGGGTAGTAGGGGAAGACGATACCTACGTTGAAACAGATGTGATAGACAACCTGTTAGGAGACACTCGGATCCGTCTGTTTGATGCTGTTTTTTAACCGAAGGACTGAGAGCCGGTCTCGCTGTGTAAGCACAGCTGTTCCTCTGTCAGTCCGGTGCCAGCGCCTTCTGGCTTCAGGCAGTAATGACTGCCTACTCTCAAACATAATGAAGCTGCTCTGACACTGATGTACACTATGCTTACACTTGCTCCTGACTTTCCCCCAAGCAGTCGCCGCTCATGCTGCTAAATTTAGGCCGACTGCAGTACAGTGACGTTTAATGGGCACTTTGTTTTTAGACAAAAACCTCATTCCCGTTAAGCCGACTGTTACCTTCTAGGTCGAGGGACACCACCACTGTTCCGTCTTCCAGCCCGTCAATAACTTCACATTTATATCTCCCATAATCCTCCAGGGTGATTTCTGTGATGACCAGGGAGGCGTCCATGGGAGAGGAGCCTTGCAGGTGGACACGTCCGTGGAAACTGCCGTAACTCCTTTTGTGGTAATCCATGGCCACGAAAACATCCACCTGGAGAAAGAGGAAGGAGAATCAGTTAACTCTTCACATTGCTGCTCACCTTATAATCAGGATATTGTACCAGCAGAAGAGAGTTTAAGGCAAATAGGTTTGTTGGCTTTCTGGTTGAGAGTTGAGTAGATTGATACCACCTTAAATATAAGGCTACAGCCAGTTAGCTTAGCTTAGCATAAAAAGACTGGAAAAACATTTACGTGTAAATACAGGTTAAAATGTATGATTTAATTTAATCATTTTGATGTTCAGAAATGGATAACGACCTCTTTCAGGTAGTCTGAGGTCAACTTGGTCCATTTGATCCTCATCTTCCGATTCGGTGCCATCGATTGGTCCCTTTGGATCCTGCACGGTAACGTAGCGTTTCCGCCTCGTCTCGACACAACCTTCGATTGTTCTGCCGCCACCGACAGTCGGGGGCCGTTCTCTGCAACGCAAAAACAAAAAAATAACACGAAGAACATATGGACTCCCCCTCTGTCTGGACCCGTTCTCTTATATATAGATACAGTATTTATATTGATGTACTTGAATTTAAAGAGTTAAAACATTTTGGGAAATCAATCTTCTATCAATCTTATGTCTGTATGCTAAATACAGAGCTGGAGTCAGGACGTTAGCCTAGCTTAGCATAAAACTGAACACAGTTAGCCCGGTTTGTTCACCCTTAGTGTCTTAGCATGCTAACATTAGCTTATTAGCAGTAGTTATATATAAAGAAAAATGACGAGAAGTTAATTAATTAAAACAATAATAAAAATAATGAAAACAGCTATAAAAACAACCCATTTATGCTTAAATGCTAAGCTAACAACATCCTTCTGACTCTAGTTGCATCTAGTGGGTTACAGATTGCAGCTCCCTCACTTCACACTCCCTTTACAAGTGAACGTGGCCACGAAAAAACAAGAACAGCATCAACATGGTGGCCTCTGTAGAAGTCAAAAACACAATAAATACTTCACGTGATTAAACACTAATGAAAACATACTTTTAAATATTATATTACAGTTCTAAAGATATAGATCCTCCTCAATGTTACACACTCGTAGTCTGGACCAAGGTGACATAAATCGATACCTGAATCCTCCACTGGAACTATTAAATAATGTCCTATTACCTGTCAACCTGCCAAGTGATGTGTGTTTAAGTGTTTATAAGAACGTACACACTGTTGGTTCATCGGCTGCTGTGACCTTCAGTCACTAACCAGGTTTTCAGACTCTCCTCAGACCGGTTTCACCGTGTCTGCTGCGTTAGTATCACATTGATCCCATGTTCTGTACCGTGATGCAACTGTGTGTTTCTGCCGTCACTTACAGAGTTTATATAGTCATTAAAGCACTGACACACAGCTGTAGATATAAGTTAGATATTAGTTAGTTAGTCAGCACAACATTCATCAAATTCTATTCTTACAGTCAGATAACTGAAGCTGTCTGCTGGAAATGAGCAGAATAGGTTGATATGAGTTAGTAAGTCATTAGTTGTTAAGTAATTGGTTATTAGTCAATAATTAGTTCTTTTTGTCAGGTTTTTCTTACTTTCTTAGCCTTTTAATTAGGTATTGGTTATTCGTTAGATACCGGTTGGTTAGTAAGTCATTTGTTAGTTGTTAAATAGTTATTCTTAGGTTAGTAGTTCTGTTTTTGCTTGCTTAGTTATTACTATTATCAATCCCTCCAGGATTTCACAGGCCTGGATTGTTGCGGCCTAAAATATCTGATTTCATGGCGGCTTTTCTAAAAAATTGTGACATTTTGAGGCATTTTTTGCAATGAAATTACTGGAGAACATAAAAATTCAGGAATAGTTACTGAAGCTGTCTGCTGGAAATGAGCAGAATAGGTTTATATAAGTTAGTTAGTGATGTGTTGGTTGGTTATTAGTTAGTCACTAGTTAGTTTTAACTTACTTACTTGGTTTTTATGTAATTATTGGTTATTAGCTACTTTGCGGTTGCAACCTGGAAGGACTACTAGTTAATTACTCATTTGCTAGTTAGTACAACAGTGAATTCATTAAATTCATTAGTTACTGAAGCTGTCTGCTGGAATAATAGCTCCCCTTTAGACACGGAGGTTTGGGTTCAGCTGTAAAATAACAAATAATTAATTTCTGAATAATTTACCAGTGATTCTCTGTACACTGTATCTCCTCAGCTATGAAATCTTGACGCGTTCAAACAAAGTTTTCATCCCCTGCGAGAGCGGAGGAGATAACTCTAATCTCGCTGAGCTAACAATCCCCACATAGCAGCTTTATCTCTGAGCCGCAGCGGCACAACCAACTGATAAAGTGAGGAAACAGACGACGCTGCAGAGTGAGTGTCGTGAAACGAAACTCAGAGAAGGACGCTGGAGAGAGACGGCCTCTCTCCGGATGTGTCACAAACACACATATGAATGAATCCTCACCGATGACATAGATGGTCCTCGAGTGCTCCAGTTCTGGGTACAGAGTGTCCAAGTCGTTGTCTGCTACACTCAGTGAGATCAAAGCACAGATCAGCACAGGAATCATCTTCACTCACCAAACTGGGGGTCTGATCACTGCAGAGACACACACAGAGAGAAGGGGGGGTAGTTTAGAGCAGTGGTTCGTAACCTGGGGTCGCAAAAGCTTCACTGGGGGTAGGGGAGGCCTTCTTGATTTTAAAGCTGCAGTAGGTAAATAATTTGTTGTCATATTTGCTGAAACTTTCACTGAATCCTGTCAGTACAACATGAGACTGATAATCTGTGAAACAACAAGAAAGATAGTTGATTGTTGAGTCTCATTCCCAGATTGTTAAATATGGCTGATTGGTTGTTTTCATTCGGGTCCGGTGGATTCTTACAGATGTCATCAGGAGCACCAGAACAACCAGAGGAACCTGATATATTCACAGATTATCTATCTTGTGAACTACTGACAGGATTCAGTGAAAGTTTCAGCATATAGGACAAAATTGTTTTTATAAAAGTAACCTACTGCAGCTTTAATGGGTGTAAAATACACACAGTATGTGTCAGCATGTCAGTTGTTTCTGTGACTAAATGAAATTATTTTATTTTTTAAGTGTAGATTATAATTTAAGATTTGATGAAGTTACATTCACTCTCTTATAAACAGCATCGTCCTGCATTAGGAAACAACCAGAAAGCTAATAGAACAATTGTCAAGTGACGGGGAGACAAACTCTACATTTCATATCAGAAAATAATATTATTAAAGTCTGTATGATTTAAAAAAATAATAACAAATACATAATACAGACAGAGAATTACATAAAAATTCAAACTTCCTACAGTTATTGTGTTCACTCGGGTTCATTGTACAGTTTATCAGCTGTTCTCTGTTGTTATTATTGTTTAATATAATATAAAATACCCATAAACACTTAATCAATGATAGAAGAGGGGTCCATTAGGGATAAAGCTTGTAGAGAAGGTTTTCCTGTAGCTAAATTGTGCAACAGAGAGAGTGAAAGTTATTCATATCCAGAAACGTTCTGCATGCAGCTCAGTTCACAGTGTGATTCAGTGTTTCTATCTGCAGTGCTGTTTCACCCCCCCGAAGGCTTCCGTAATTACAACGGGAGTGCAGAGCGGTCCGCATCCCCCGTTACCGAGCACATCTGCAGACAAAACCTCAAATCAAAGTTGTTCAACGACATTAAAAAAGCATCACTTCGTCCTTGATGCACAAACCAGGACGCCCCCCCACGAGAGCCCCCACCTGCCCACCCCCCCCGCAGACGTTAACACTCAATAAGCACAACACACACACAAATGTGAACATATGCAGTACATACTGTGCAGTAAATAGTCCCTGTCATCCAGCAGAGCGAGGCAGCAGCATGTCCTGGTGACACTGACAGCCCACAACTTCAGAGGGAGACTGAGCCACAGTGCAGCGTCAACCCCCCCCCCAAACCTTCACACACACACTGCAGCCCATCCTCTGCACACTCACACACACACACACACATTAATTCACTTCCACTTTAGGAATGTGTGTATGGAAGTCCAAGAATGCCGACGTTAAATTGAGGTCCCTGAATCAAACTGAAATGTTTGACAACATTACAATTTAAAAGACAAAAAGTCACACTTTCTTCATTTAAACACCTTTTACAACTTTAAACCTGATGAGTTGTAGTTAAATGTGGTTGTCTGTTAGCATAGATTAGCTTAGCATATAGCATATCTAAGTACAGGAAAGAAGGAAGTTGAACAACTGTGATTGGAGCACAGAGCAGAAAGGGGGCGGGGCTTAGGGAGGGTCAATTAATAAAGGTATTTAATTTAAAGTGTTGAACGCTACTTTGGACTTTGCAAGAAAACAATATTGAAATTATGTCCCGTAAAATAAACAATCAATTGATTAGCAAAATTGCTGCTGATTAATTAATTGATCGATTTAATTTGATTAACGGCGGCCTTTGACTTCCATACATTGTTTCTTTTGAGGCTTGTGTGTGTGTTCAAGAAGTGTGTGTGTGTGTGTGTGTGTGTGTGTGTGAGGGGGGTAGTCATTTGGATTGATCCCTCTTCAACCCCCCCCCCCCCCCCACCACCCCCCCCCCATCTTCATTCACTCCGTCCTGAACTGCTGATGCGTCGGCCCGCTCTGCCAGGTGGAGCTCCCGCAGTCAGCAGAATAACTGCAGCACACACACATCACTTATTACCCCTCCCTGCCTGAAAATAGTCATTACGCATACCGGGACAGGACGAAGGGGGTGGTGGTGGGGGGGAGGTTGCAGCGATAAGTAGGTGGAGGGAGGGAGGGAGGGTTGAGGGTTGAGGGGGAGATGTGACGTCCTTTTTAAAAAGGGTAAAAACTTTGAGTCAGACTGTTCTCTGCAGGACACGAGGAGAGCAGGTGATGTGTGAAATGAGAATAGAGGAGACAGAGAGGAAGGTGAAGACAGCGAGATACAGCAGGAAAACAGCTGAGGGAGGGAGGGAGAGAGGGAGGGAGGGAGGGAGGGAGAGAGGGAGGGAGGACTCTGCAGCAGCAGAAATGATGCAGGGGGCTGGAGTTTCATGCCCCATTAGCACCAGTGGTTGAATTTAACTACAACTGTGAAGTTTACTCGAGTTCATGCAACAACAAAAAAATACTTTAACTAATATTTTACATACAGAACAAAACCTCTGACTTTGATTTATTGTTTAAAAACTACCAAACTGCATAAAGCTTTTAGCTTAAACGATTATTGGAGTCATCAAATAGTTGATTAGTCGATTGATTCTAATGATACGATTTATTTAGTGGTGCCTTTCATGACACTCAAGGTCACCTTACATCATATAAAACATCAATACGATCAATAAGAAGAGATCCAATAATTAATAATATATAATAGGATGCAGTTAATAGTGAAAGTGAGTCGGCTGTAAACGATCAGTCTTAAAGGTCCAGTGTGCAGGATTTAGTGGCTTCTAGTGGTGAAGTTACAGATTGCAAATCTCCCTTTCCAAGTGCAAAGGAGAAACTACGGTGGCCACGAAACGCAGAAATAAACACAAACTCACCCAGAGGCAGTGTTTGGTTTTTTCCCTTCTGGGCTACCGTAGAAAAACATTCTAAGGTAACGAAAACACAAAGATTCTTATTTTCAGGTGATTATAAACCAATGAAAACATACCTGTGAATATTATATTGGACTGATGCTTTAAATACAGAACTTCTTCCATTACGATGTCCCAGAAGCTTCTCGTTGACAGCTAGCTAACAAATGATGCAGATTAGCTAGCAAGTTAGTTTCCAACATTAGCTTTCAATTTTAGTTTCAGTTTTGCTCGTCTCAGTTTAGTTTTTATTAATCTGTAAGTATAGACTCTCTCTCTCTCTCTATCTCCCCCTGGTGGCTGACTGCAGTATAGACTCTCTCTCTCTCTCTCTCTCTCTATCTCCCCCTGGTGGCTGACTGCAGTATAGACTCTCTCTCTCTCTCTCCCCCTGGTGGCTGACTGCAGTATAGACTCTCTCTCTCTATCTCCCCCTGGTGGCTGACTGCAGTATAGACTCTCTCTATCTCCCTCCCTGGTGGCTGACTGCAGTATAGACTCTCTCTATCTCCCCCTGGTGGCTGACTGCAGTATAGACTCTCTCTCTCTCTCTCTCCCCCTGGTGGCTGACTGCAGTATAGACTCTCTCTCTCTCTATCTCCCCCTGGTGGCTGACTGCAGTATAGACTCTCAGCTGCAGTTAGCTGACTACAGATGATGATGATGATGATGGCTAAAACATCTTCACACACACAGCAGTCAGTAAATGTGTCCTCCACAGCGACAGCATTCCTCAGCGTCCATCTGTGCGGAGGGTAAACAAAGCCTCGTCTTTATAGGCCAGGTGCGTGTGTGTGTGTGTGTGTGTGTGTGTGTGTGTGTGTGTGTGTGTGTGTGTGTCCTGTTGATGGTTCCTCTCGTTGACAGGTATGAGGTCAGTTTGAGGCATTCTGAGAGAAACAAAGCCTTTAATTCTGTGTTTCCTCAACAACAGTCCCCAGAAAATAAAGTTATTAAGCTGCCATGTTGTATTTTAGTTCCTCGGTTTTCATGTCAGGGAGGTTATTTTACATCCTGAACCTAAACATACTAAAACAAGTTTTTAACTAGTTATAAAGAGTCTAAATATAATACTGATGCGTCTATATGAGCTACATAAACAGACAACAGAGAGAAGATTTCTATATTCACAAAATGAAAGTCCCTTGTAGGAGCTTTAAAGTAAAAGTACAAACACAACAATGTAAAAATACTCCATCGCAAGTAGAAGTGATTTAACGATTTTTGAAATACAGATTTTAATTTACAGGGTTTTTCTAGAGATTAAAAGTAAATTATCATTAATTATTATTAGTTTATGTCAAAACTTAAGAGTTAGACTTGAAACTAGGAGTTTTCTTAACTTTTGTTTTGCCTCATATTCAGCTTTAATAAAAAGAAAACAACATCCATCCATGTGATGAGATCAGACGCACTGATTGGTTGGATCTGAAGTCATCTTTTATCCCACAGAGAGCAGAGGGACTCCTCCCGGTCCCTGATTGTTAGGACTCACAAATACACACACACTCATACACACATCAGCACCGTGCTGAGGGAGATTTATTTTGAAAGGTCAGCAGTGTGTGTGTGTGTGTGTGTGTGTGTGTGTGTGTGTGTGTGTGTACCTGTGATTTTGGCAGATGTTTTATTATGATAATTACATGACAAACTATTAATTCTTTCTTCACCAAAATCATTTAGGGAATACACAGATTACAACATTATTTTAACCCTTTAAGGTCACATCCTCAGCTATATTGTTCCCATATTTAACAATTTATGTGTGGAAATCTATTTGTATTTTATATGAGAATCCAATCATTGTGTCTTTCTGTTAAACTAAATGTAACACGTGCTTTCCTCAGCATGAACTAACTGATTTCAACCAATAATATCAGACATTGACCCGTCAATATATCTTATCTAATAGCTAGCAGAGCTCACTGATTACTGTACAGTGGAAAAATCCCATTGGATTATTGTCGAAGGAACCAGGACGATGCTTATTA